GATAAAATGTAATCAAATTGATCGACATTCATCTTAACATCAATTTCATCCTCATCTTTATCTTCTTTATCCATCTTATCATCTTCATCTTCATCTTAATTTAAGAATCTCAATCAAATCTTCAATTCGATTAAAAAAAATTTTTCTTCTTCATCAAGTTTAAGGTCAATTATCAAGATAAGAAGAAGACTTTTTCTGTATTACATCTTCATCTTTTCATCATCATGAAGATTCTCACTCTTACTATTGATCAGAATTTATATTCATTAATAAGTTTCTCTTTTAAAGAATTGATGAATCAAATATTAATCAATCGACTATGGAAATGTATCATTGTACTGATAAAACGGTTCTGAATGACCAAAAATCGTGTTCAGTTGATCATTTGAAATTAAATTGTTTCGTTAATTTTTCATTTTCTGTATCTTTCCATTCAAACTAGGTTATTATACTATCAATTTAACTCAATCATTATGATAGTTTATCATGATAATGATGATGAGGGATGATAAGTTACAGAAAAACATAATGCACATTGTTACCTTATTATCATCAATGATTACAAATCTAAATTGTTACAATTACAATGAAGTTAGAATAAAGGTAAAGATGATTATGATGATAAGTGAAGATGAGTTTTGATTAGAACGTGAATATTTTTGTCAGCTGATGATCCTTTTTTCATCATCATCAATGGTTGTGAATAAACTTCTGTCAATCTTGAAGATGATGATGAGGTATATATGGATATCCATATGATGATATTTGTATATTTGCAAAATGTTTTGACTCTTTATTGTTGTTGACGACTGTCAGTTGTTACTATTATTTAGCGTAGTAAATTATGAAGATGATGGAGGATAAAGATGAAAGAGATGATGATGATAAAGAAAGGAAAAAGAAAGAGGAAGATAACATTTATTCACGATTTTTGGTTGAAAAAAACGTGATTTCTGTTAAAAAAAATACGATAATGATAATAACTTTTAAAGATGATGCTTAAAGCTCACCATCCTCATCATTTTTTCAAGCATCTTGTTCATCATCATTTTGATTTCGTTGGCAAATTGCTTGATTAACTAATTTGATTGCTTGTTGTTGTTGCTGTTGTAATACAACCTATGATATACTAATTGCAATTGATTCCATTGATTGATTGAAATTAAAACGTTGCGATTGCAATTAAAATGCTAAGCAGGAGGTCATTTGGTCAGCGTTTATTTTAATCAACAATTAACTAACAATTATAATCATAATAATCTATAATCATTTCATTAACTAATCAATATTTTGTTACTTTCACTTTTTTTCCTCCAACCAAATTGTGATTTAGGAAGATTATCTTTTGTTAATTGTAAACAATTAACGTTTTAATCATGAGAACATTGAAATCACTTGTATCTGGTTTATTTCAGTCAACTTTTTTTGCCTCTTCTTGTTAACTTAATTGTGATTAATTAATGATTAAGTTGGTGTTGATTTTTGTTATTTTTGTTCATTGGAATCAATAATTTTTTTTACTTTCACCAAATTAGGATAATTAATTGCTTGGTATATATTTATTATAATACCAGTGAATATATCTAACCAAGATCAAGTTAATCACCGGTATTGTTTAATTAAATGTTATATTCACTTAAATAGGAAAATTGAATTGATTAATTGTAATAACAATCAACTAACAATGAAAAAATTTTCTTTAGTCACCTTATTTGACATAAATAAATACAATCAACTGATTTGTGATAACTGTTAATTTGATTAGCATGATTAAAGGTTAATCAAAAAACAGAGGAGATTGAGTTTAATCATTAATATCAATTACTATTAATATGAATTAAGTTCCTACACTATGATATTATTGTTTGCTTGGCCATTCTCAAGATCATTGGTCATTTATTGATAATATTGAATAATCAAGATTAATAAGAATCATTTTATCACATTTTAGATCAGGATAGTAGGTGAGGAATTGGAATGAAATCACAATGAGAAAGTTATTCATATTATATTTATTATGAAATACCAATTGACCAATGGTCAACATACTAGTCTATATACTCATAATTTAATTTACCCTTTTGTAACTTTTGTAAATTTTATTAAAACTTGATGGTTATAAGCAACTTGGTTATTAACCAGTTTATGAAATGGATCCAAAAATTTAATAATCTAGTCTTTACAATTGATCAGCAATTAACTTATTGTTGATAATTAATTGTTAAACATCTCAAATTGAGCTCGAGTCGCCATCTACAGGTGCGCTTTTAAACCAAAAAAAGTTTTATCCCCTGCAAGCAAAATATTAAGTCATTGGCGCTAAAGTGCAAATAAATTAAGAGAGGTAAAAATAATTATTAGATTATCTATTTGATTCATGTAATTGATTACCACGTTAATTAAAGATTGACATAATTTTCAACCGAATAGTACAATTGATTTAATCCTTTAATTAGGAGTATTCGAATAACCATTTTACATGAAATGATTAAGTATTTGTGTAATGACTGAATAATTTTGTAAATTATTAACATGAGTTAATGAGTTGATAGCATCAGAACATTTTTTTATATCGAAATTGTAAGCAATATAATGCAAGACATTACAAATTCTGTAAGATAGTGAAAACGGGCGGTAATCATTACGGAAAGACGCGATAGCTTTATCAGTACGATTAACGATAGCGAGCGCGAAATTTGTTGTACCAACTATAGTTTTATTTGCGATTGCATTGAGACAGTCGAGGAACGATTTAGCTTCCATAAGAAATACAAAAAGTGGATCTTGTGGTTTTGGTAGTATAAATTCTCGATAATATCTTGCAGTCTCCGAGTTATCATCAGGTGAAAAAGTAGGTAATTTTGAACCTGATTATAAATATACAGTCAAATTAGAATAAATTAGTCTAAACTTTAGACTCGAACGGAACAAAAAAGTTTCTTCTAAATCATTCATATCTTTGTATTGAAAATAAATATCTATTGTTTTCGGTTAAAAGGTTCGTCTAATTACAGGGTGATTTGACTGGACCCTTCAGCCTTTAAATTCTAATAACTTTTTTATAGCAATTTATCCAGTTTTTTCTTTCATAGATAAATATTAATCAACATTTAGAAAATAATTAAGGTCACTTAAATCAATGAAATTTATAAATGTGCTATTGTTACAGGGTCTTTTCTCATAACCTAAAACTGACTGATTAAACAGTAAAATCTTTGAAGATAATTTTAATCAATAGGTGAACCAACTAAGTGTTATCAGTGATGATAAAGATTATTAATTAATTTTGGTCAATAGCTGCGAGAATGATTAAAAAATCATTCTAAACTCATTTTTCACGATTGTATAACCACTTTCTATGAAATGATTCAGTATTGTCATTAATACAAGGTTTCAAGTATTTTATTCATCATCAATATCCCTACGAATTTCGTAAAATGAGTCGACTAATTCTGAACAGTCTTCTCTAAGTTTCTGAAGATAATTATAGTCCATATCTTCACCATCACTAGCCAATAATTGACAAACGCTATACGGCAATAGCGTGGTATTTTCAGAAAAAAGGGTCTCGAAGACTCTATCAGGATCATTTTGGATAACGTTAGTAAGACGGGTTGCTGCAGGTTTAGTTTTATTTACGATTACATTTACACCATCAAGGAACATTTTAGCTTTCCTAAGAAGAATATAACTCGGATCTTCTGGTTTTCTAGATCTAGGATTATATTTTTCACGATATTCTGCCTCATCAGCACTCGAGGGTCTATAGGGTGCCGGACCCAAGCCAGAACCTTGATTATAAATATACAGTTAAATTAGAATGAATTAGTCTCAAGGATCAAAAAGTTTTTCTAAATGTCAATTCATATCTTTGTATTGAAAATAAATATCTATTGTTTTCGGTTAAAAGTTTCCTCTAATTATTAATACTAGAGACAAGTGAAAATTTGTTTTTCATTTTACAATAATGTAATATTTAAATTATTTGGATAATGAATTCATTTTGAGAAGAAACTTTTTTTCGAGTAGGATCTTGAGTATTTCTTGATCCTGAACCATCTAAACACTTACCTTGCTGATATTGGTATGCGTCAGTTTTCCAATCCCCATGGAAATAGTTACAATCACCACGGTAAAGATGAAACTTGAAAATTGGAAGACTTCCATTATTGTCAGGTTTTCTTTCACTGAATTGCAATTAAACACAAAGATAACAATTTACTAGAGATGAAAACGAATTGAACTGATAGTTTAACGTTTGAAAGCTCACCTTTTATGCTCAAAAATTCTGGTGAATGATTAAATATTCATCATGAATTGAGGGAATTTTATCAAACTAATCAAGTTAATTGTTAAACAAATCCATCAGATGATTATTGATTATTTGTTCAAATGTTTCAATAACTGATTAAAAAGAGGCCATATAATCAACTTGGGTTAATTGTTTTCAGTTAATTTCTTGGTAAAATTCAACTAGATAGTTGATCCAGTTTGTTTGATTTTAGTGAGTCAGTAATGAATTTGAACACTGATAATGCTTTTACATATTCAAATATTTAATTAAAAGTTTGATTAAATATTATTCCGAATTTGAAATGATTTAATTCTGTTAATCATTTGAATAAATTTCAAGCTTAATTTGTTCACGATACCTTTTGCAAACAATTTCCCCTCCACGAGTGCCTTTATTTGATTTTTGTCACTAAACTTTATTTATACTTCAATTAACAAATTAGTTGATAGATGATTGTCCCTGTAGATATTCATTCAGCTCCTTTTACTATCAACTAAATTGTAATACTATTATTGTATGCAGAAAACGTTGATGCAAAGATTATAAGTTGATATACAGTAGTGATTTCACTTAGAGCAAATTTCAGCGCCCTCTACATAGCCAAAAAGGTTAATTTCTTATAAAAAAGGTGAACTAACCTTTTACCTTTTCCAAGCCTAATGAAACTAATCCGCTAGGGGGAGACTATGAATTTGTTGTTGCTCTAAGTGAGTTGCTGGCCAAGAGGTTAGTGTCGTAGGCTCTAGTCCACGATGACACGGGTTCAATCCTGGCTTGCCTACCCAACTGAAAAATTGTAAACCCCCCAATTCAAAATGTTGTAAACAAAATTTGTAATTTGGTCTAGAAGAGCGCCATTAAGCTCCTCTAATCGCCCAATAGGGCAAAAACAATAAAATCTAAGTGAAATCACTACTGTAAGTGAAACTCAACATATTGTGTACTAATTTGATCATTTAATTTTCTTTTTCCGTAAAAATAAAGCTTTGCCATTCAAAAATTACATATAACATTCTATTAGATCAATGGGAACTTAAAGTCATTCAAAATTAGAGTACAGAAAATTTTCGATTTAATTGTCTTAATTTATATCTGATAGGATACCTTTTAATTCACAATTGATTATCAATTGAATCTTGATCTAATTTCTCATACAATTTATAATTTCTTAGCTTATTCATCCAATCACAGTGATCGGCTGAATGCACAATATCGATGTCTACCTTATCATCAAAGTGACCATTTATTTTCCACCTCAAAGGTTTAACTTTACCAAACTTATTGGTTAAAATCGGAGGCCAAAAAAGTCGTCGATTCTTAACGAAATCTGAATATATTTCCATCAATCTTCGGCTCACCAATCTATCATGATGGTCGTAGTTATAAAGGTCACGAAAAGGATGACCAAAAAATAGCCTGGAATCATCTCCATGAGTAGCACCAAATGGACGCTCATTCGACGTTGAATAACTTCGCGGGACATAATTGAACAAGTAGAAATGGACAAGATTACCTTGGGTAGCTAAATGTTGACCATAACCAATCGATGGACATATGAAGGCCCAATCAGAGTAAAATTGGTTGATCGCTTTATTAATCATGTAATCGTCCTTCTCGTCAATTGAGTTAAAGTAGAAATCAATTGTTTGATTAAGTCGCTTGATCGTTTCAATCGAATCCGTTTTCAACATTGATCTCAACTTAGGTAACAGTAACCCGAAAGCTTCCGTTTTACTCGAAGGCCAAAAGTCACTTTTCCAATAGCCCTCATTTTCAACATTACCAATAACGAACGACTTATGATTAATATGATTTAATTTGAATCCTCGGTCGAAGGTAAATTCTGGTGATGATGGAACGAGTTTATCACCATAAACGGGAATCAGTCCATTCTTAATACTTTCACCGATTGAAATAATTTCCTCTGAATCTTGTAATTTGAAGACTGCTGTTAAATTATCTAAATCACGTAGACAATTAACCTCATCCTTAGTTAATGGAGCAACTTCCGATGAAGATTGATTATTATGAGCAACTTTTGAACAGTTAACTTTTTCAGCAATTAATCTTGTCTTTGCAATTGAAACATCAACTGAATCAATGGTCACCTCATTGGCTGGTATTCCGCTCATAATGAAGATATTATTTATCCATGAGTCGGGAATTTGGCCTGATTGAAGCAACAGAATTGATAACATTCCTCCAGCCGATGAACCTGAAAGTGTTATCGCTTCTGGATCACCACCGAAATGTTTGATGTTTTCTCGCGTCCATTTTAAGGCCAGTATAAGATCGTAAAGTCCAAGATTACCTGGCATATCATCATCATCTTGACCACAACAGGCGAATCCGAGAAATCCGATCCTGTAGTTTGGTGTGACAACAATTATGTCACCGACCGATGATAAATATTCACCTCGATTGTTTGGTCGAGCGGGTGAAGATTTATGAAAAGCTGAAGCAAAAGAGTAAAACAGAACGGGTTTTAATGGTCGATGACGATTAGAATGTCGATCAAATCGATGAGTGTGATCTGATTGAGGCACCCAAATATTCAAATGAAGACAATCCTCGCTGAAAGAAACGCCACCAAGATTTTCCGGTGCTTCGTCCCCCAATTTTTGACTACAAGCGGGACGAAAATAAGTCGCATTGTAAACACCATCGAACTTTGTTCTAAAAGGTTTAGGCTTACGAAATCTTCCATCGCCCACTGGTGGCTCAGCGTAAGGAATACCAAGGTAACTGGTCACTTTACGGTCAAGGATCGTTTCCAATTTTCCCTTGACCAAACCATTTTCAATAGCAACCAACTGGTCATCATTATCATCACCGTTTGGTTTATCATGTTGATCTCTATGGTAATCACTTTGAAAGCAAAAGGTCAAACTAAAGTTGATGATGAAAACCAGACACAACAACTGATGAGTAAATGACTGACCAATACTTGTTAGTATCATTTTTACCTGAAAGGTAAGATAGATTGTAATATTTTCTAGTTAATCTTTTGAACAACAGACTAGAAAAAAACAAGTAACCCAATCAACAGAAACTGGTTTCTTCTTCAAGGCCAAACCTCTAACTTTCACAAGTCCACAGGAACTTGATAGGGAACGGTCAAGATACACCTTGTACCTGAGAAAATTTATGACAAAGAAAACAAAAATCGTGTTAATTTTTATTTCTCTTTATTATGAACCAAAAAAAGTTCATTTTAAATTTCGAAAAATAAAAAGAAAAAGTTTAGAAATGATCACGATACAGTTTAGCCTTAAATCGGCAAATGTCCAGTTTAAGACCAACTTCATATCTCGAGTGTCCATTAGCTCATCAATGATCATTGAAATCACCCATTTAATTGTATCTATTGAGCTATATGTCATTTTCATGATTCAATTTAATTAATTCTAATCATTTATTATCTAATAGAAAACGAATCACCACCGAAATGTTTGATGTTTTCTCGCGTCCATTTTAAGGCCAGTATAAGATCGTAAAGTCCAAGATTACCTGGCATATCATCATTTCCTTGGCCACAACAGGCGAAACCAAGAAATCCGATCCGATAATTTGGTCGAGCGGGTGAAGATTTATGAAAAGCTGAAGCAAAAGAGTAAAACAGAACGGGTTTTAAAGGTCGATGAAAATACAGTTCGAACTTGTTAATTGTATTTGGCGCTTTTCTGATTTATTTTCATCCATCAGCTGATTTTGTTGTTGATTAAAATGCCATTTAAAATACACTCAACAATAATATTGTTACAATAATGTTTTCAACGATTTACCATTTTAATCAATTAAGTGAATGTCTTGGTTTCATGGATTTGATGAGCTTAATTACTGTTTTAACTCTGCCAGTAAATTAAGTTTGCAATTTTAGCTGATCATGGATTAGATTCAAAGTATTTTATCAATAGTTTAACTGTGATAATGTTTAATTGTTATTCTAAATTAATCTCTGTTAATTATTACCTGGCATCAAAAGTCGTTCCCTCAAGTATCATGGTGATAACTGGAGCTGGAATATCAACAGAAAGTGGTGTTCCTGATTATCGATCGGCAAAGGTTGGACTTTATGCTCGATCCAATCATAAACCGATTCAATATCGGGAATTTCTTACTGGTCAATCGGTTCGTCGTCGATATTGGGCCAGAAGTTATCGGGACTGGATTTGGTTTGATTAAAATCAATGTACATCAATAGGTTAGCATAGAAAAGTTGATCGGGAGAAGTTAGTTTATTGGTGTAATTTCTGGTTTTTCTTGCTTTTCAATTGCTTTAAGTATTAATAATTAGTATTTTATTCACAATCGATTATCAATATATTTTTTTATCTAATATCTCAAGGTGACATAGACTAAAATCGTAGGCTGAAAAATTTTTCTACTCTTAACAGAATCTTCTCTTGTTCTCTAAAAGTTTAGAAATGATCACGATACAGTTTAGCTTTAAATCGGCAAATGTCCATTTTAAGATCAGCTCAGAGCGAACAAATCGGCAAATGTCCGAAAAAGCTCTCAGGCTGACAGCTGCGGATCAACTTCCATGTAGTTCTTGTTGTTTTACTCTGTTTTTCGAGCTCACATTATTTGATGCTTTCATCTACAGAGTGTCTTCATTCAAGACTTAAAATTGTCGATGAAATTGAACCAAATTACTGCGTCAGTAAATCAATAAACTTTTTTTAACTGTAATGTTATAGCTTTTTAACTGTGTGGATAATATTGTTGAAAATTAGATACGGAAATTGATCTGCCAATAAAAACCACGAAATGTGTCTACTATGATTGTGAATGAATCTTAAAGTCAATACTATTTCTAACTCTTTTAGCTTTTTAGTTTTAAGCTATTGGAAGATTCTGGTGATGCTTGGATAAAAGTTTGCAGCAGCGACTCAGCGGCTTTTTTGTTACTCACAAGATTTCTTGTTCAATGTTTGGACCGCGATTTAAGGGAATAAAATATCATTACATGTAAATATTGTATCAATTTGCTTCTTTAATTTCAATCATTAATTTTACAATGTTTAGTAACGATCGATTCATTTACGCAGTGGATCTTCTGAACTAGACTGAACTGCGGATGCCATTGAGCAGCTAGTTTGTGTTTTTTGGCTGCGGATAACGAAGAGGCAGGCCTGTGCCACTGGTGGCGGTTGGAGAGTTCCCAAGATCGCCAGATTTTTCATTCGGAGGAGATTCTGAACCGGGTGTTGGAGCTTGAATTCGAGGACAAACACTGGCAGAAGTACCACTACCATCACCACATGATCGAACTGGAACTGGAGCTGGAACTGGAACTGGGCCTTGAGGACAAACACTGGCAGAAGCACCACTACCATCACCACATGATCGAACTGGAACTGGAGCGGGAACTGGAACTGGGCCTTGAGGACAAACACTGGCAGAAGCACCACTACCATCACCACATGAGCGACGGCTTCGACTGTTATCAATAGAAGAACCTTCACTTTTTCTAATCCCCATGGAAATAGTTACAATCATCACGATAAAGATGAATCTTGAAAATTGGAAGACTTTCATTATTATTAGATTTTCTTTCACTGAATAACAATTAAATAAGAAGAAAACAATTTACTAGAGATGACAGAGAATTGAACTGATAATTTGACGTTTGAAAGCTCACCTTTTATACTCAAAAGTTTCTGGTGAATGATCAAATATACATCATAAGTTGAGTGAATTTGATAAAACTAAACAAGCAAAATGTTAAACAAAAACATCAAATGATTATTCATGTTTGTTCAAATGTTAAAATTCTCTAAAAAGGCAATCATGTAATAAACTTGGGTAAATTGTTTCTCTGTTGATTGCTGTTAACTTGATGGATAATCACATCAAATGATTATTTATTTTTGTTCAAATAACAACAATTGACTAAAAAGGGAACCATAAAATTAACTTGGATTAACTGTTTACATACTAATTTCTCGGTAAATGTCAACTTAATAGATGATTTAAGTTTAGTTAATTTTAGTGCGTCAGGTAAATTTCGGTTACCAGAACAGCACTGGTACATTTGAACAAATATACAAAACTATCGATAAACTTAATCCACAATTGTTCTTGAGGGGTGGGCTTGTTCATTTTCATTATACAAAAGCATCTCACTGCAGTTATTGCAAAGAAGATTGTCATTTTAAGATGTGCACTTGTACCATTAAATTTTTCCAAAATAAATAAAGAACGCATCATAACAATTAGAGTCCCTGCAAAGCAGTAATTTGAATTTCGTTGGGATCGAATCGATTTCGAATACCCGTTGGGACGGCTTGTTGTTTCAGAAGTAATAAGACAATTCTATGAAGTGCAAATAAAGTTAATTTCCGTTAGTAAGAGGTTCCGTATCCTAAATTAATTAAATGTACCTCTATTCTAATGAGATAATATTTGCAATAGAAACAATATTTAATTATTTGCAGGTAACAAATTAATTGAACAGTAAACGCATCCTTGTAAGGTATTTCTTTTTTGATCTAATTTCTCAAGGTGACATAGCCTAAAATCGTAGGCTGAAAAATTTGTCTACTATTAACAGAATCTTCGCTCGTTCTCTAAAAGTTTATAAATGATCACGATACAGTTTAGCTTTAAATCGGCAAATGTCCAAAAAGCTCTCAGGCTGAGAGCCTGAGTATGGAGCTTTAATCAGTCCCACTTTCCTCTACCTAGAAACAACATTGAAATTGAAATTCATTTGGTTAATTTGATTGATTTAACTGACTTAATTTGTATTTAGATAACCAATTTCCCTGAATCTTGATTCGAAAAAGTTCATTACGACAAATGAAATGAGCTTTGTAGTCGAGCAAAAACAGTCAACTGAAGGTAACTTACATTACATGTACATTTACTCTTCATTATCAGTTGTCAATTGGTTAATCATAAATTTTAATTGAGACCATTTATATCTGATTGGGTACCTTTTAATTCACAGTTGATTATCAATTGATTCTTGATCTTGGTAAATTCTGGTGATGATGGAACGAGTTTATCACCATAAACTGGAATCAGTCCATTCTTAATACTTTCACCGATTGAAATAATTTCCTCTGAATCTTGTAATTTAAAGACTGCTGTTAAATTGTCTAAATTACGGAGACAATTAACCTCATCCTTAGTTAGTACATCAACTTCAGATGAAGATTGATTATTGTGATTAACTTTTGAACAGTTAACTTTTTCGGTAATTAATCTTGTCTTTGCAATTGAAACATCAACTGTTAAGGCCAGTATAAGATCGTAAAGTCCAAGATTACCTGGCATATCATCATCTCCTTGACCACAACAGGCGAATCCGAGAAATCCGATTCTGTAGTTTGGTGTGACAACAATTATGTCACCGACTGATGATAAATATTCACCTCGATTGGGTGAAGATTTATGAAAAGCTGAAGCAAAAGAGTAAAACAGAACGGGTTTTAATGGTCGATGACGATTAGAATGTCGATCAAATCGATGAGTGTGATCTGATTGAGGAACCCAAATATTCAAATGAAGACAATCCTCGCTGAAAGAAACGCCACCAAGATTTTCCGACGCTTCGTCCCCCAATTTTTGACTACAAGCGGGACGAAAATAAGTCGCATTGTAAACACCATCGAACTTTGTTCTAAAAGGTTTAGGCTTACGAAATCTTACATCGCCCATTGGTGGCTCAGCGTAAGGAATATTATCTAAAAGAAAATACAGTTCGAACTTGTTAATTGTATTTGGCGCTTTTCTGGTTTATTTTCATTCATCAGCTGATTTTGTGGTTGATTAAAATGCCATTTAAAATACACTCAACAATAATATTGTTACAATAATGTTTTTAACGATTTACCATTTTAATCAATTAAGTGAATTTCTTGGTTTCATGGATTCGATGAGCTTAATTACTGTTTTAACTCTGCCAGTAAATTAAGTTTGCAATTTTAGCTGATCATGGATTAGATTCAAAGTATTTTATCAATAGTTTAACTGTGATAATGTTTAATTGTTATTCTAAATTAATCTCTGTTAATTATTACCTGGCATCGAATGTCGTTCCCTTACAAAGGCTTTTGTTTAGCAGTTTAATTGGTTCATTTGATCCTGATTATCATCCCAATTTCGTACCTGAACATGAACCGGTTGAAAGTGATGATGTTAAAAGAGTAACTGAATTCATGAGGGAAAATTCAAGTATCATGGTGATAACTGGAGCTGGAATATCAACAGAAAGTGGTGTTCCTGATTATCGATCGGCAAAGGTTGGACTTTATGCTCGATCCAATCATAAACCGATTCAATATCAGGAATTTATTACTGATCAATCGGTTCGTCGTCGATATTGGGCCAGAAATTATATTGGTTTTGATAACTTTTCTCGTATCCGTCCAAATGCTGGTCATTTATTGTTATCCAAATGGGAGAGACAAAATCGTATCCATTGGATTGTCACTCAAAATGTTGATCAACTTCACCAAAAATCTGGTTCATTAAGAGTAACTGAACTTCATGGTTCGGGATTTACGGTCAAATGTTTAAACAGTCGAACGTCAAATTGTGACTTTCAAATTAGTCGACATATTTTTCAAGAGATTCTACACCAATATAATCCACAATTAGTTGACCTAAAGATCGACGATCTTCGAACCGTAAGACCTGATGGAGATGTTGATTTAGATGAACAATTCGAGAAGAATTTTAAAATTCCTTGTTGTCCAAATTGTTCTGGAATTCTTAAACCTGATATCATCTTTTTCGGTGACACTGTACCTAAGGATCGTGTTGAATATATTTATCGTAAATTGGACATTTCCGATTCTCTATTAGTTATTGGTTCATCTCTTCAAGTTTACTCTGCTTATCGTTACTTAATCGCTGCAAGTGAGCGATCACTTCCAATCATGTTGATCAATATTGGAACATCAAGAGCTGATAAATTACCGAATGTAACAATCATCAAAAGACGAGCAGGTCAATTATTACCTTTAGTTGATTTGAAAATAAATTGATATTATTCACGAACAAATTGAGATGAATAATTAAATTTTGTTGACAAAATTTTAATTTTTTGTTAATCAACGATTCTGATGTTCTTAGCAACAATTAACGAATCATCTATTAAATATTCGTATGCTTTATCCCATCAGTAACATTTTAACTTGAATATTCAGAGAAAACATTTACAACTGTAATTACGAAGATGGAACCTAAAAACTCAATCATATCCATTCCAACTATAGATATTTTTTAATATCTTGTCAGTGGATTCTCAGATTTTGATAAAAAAAAAGATTTTTAAGAATCCGCTTGAAAATTTGATATTAATTCAGTGTTGGCGCGTTTTTATCGATAGTCCGCAAAGAGATAATCGAAAACGAAAATTCAATTTTTTCCCCTTTACTAAAATTGAAAAATTCCTATCTAACCCATTGTTAAGACTCACATAGAGATAACATGTAATCATTTTTCAAATTTTTTTCCCTCAACTTTGATATTAATTCGTGGTCAAAAATCTCGGTCAAAATGAATAAAATTTCGCACGAGTCTTCATGAAGTAATGAAAAATCATAATCACGATTTTCACGAAATTAACACAAGAAGTTTTCTAAATATTGAAATTAAAACAAAAAGTCTCAAAATTTATCCCCACAGGTTATTGATAAATTATTGCTAACTAAATTTAGTCATTTTTCACAATAAAGTGTATTTTTGCTCAATCGAAACGCATATTCGTCCAAGTGTCAGTTCAAACTTAGAATTAAACCTTTCCAGTCCAAAATGTTCTCGAATAACGTTGATTGAAATTTATATTGATTTAATATAACAATATGGTCTGATATTCTTATCAGATCTCTGTGACATCTATTAACGATATTTCAGCTGTTCCGATAGTAATAATTTTGAAAAATTTTCGGTTTTAATCTGGACAATCAGTTCTGATTATCTTTAATACAAACCTGCAAACCTCGTTTTTCCGAAACGAGAAACATGTTAACGCGAACGTGAAAATAAAAGGTTAATCTCTTAATCTCCCAAGGGATGTCAATTCTTTTCCAAATCATTTTTTTATAAGCAAAAGAAGGTGAATTCAAATGGAAAACACTGTTCATAATAAATTGTCAGTACGATTGTTATTATTATAATAGACCTTATAAGCTACTAACTGATTTAATAGCAATTAAATACACTTAACTTAGGTAGACTTTTTACTATTTTTAGACAAATAAGCATTATACAAACTCCAATATCTCTGCATAAAATCTGGTGAAATAGGAGCACCAGTCTCAGAGTCCAATCGTGGTTGAGATCCTCCTTCTGGATATCCACCAGGAGGTAAAACAGAGATTTGACCTTGAACCAAATTTACGGGACCTTGCTTATTTTGACCATTACTAAATGTACGAGTACTAAAGGGTGTGTAGTTTAAAAACTGAAATTTAGAGATAAGAAAATCACAAAGACAGAAGTAAGAAAAAAAGATAAGCTAACCTTTTACCAGTTATATTCCAATATCTCTGCATAAAATCTGGTGAAATAGGAGCACCAGTCTCAGAGTTCAATCGTAGTTGAGATCTTTCTGTTGGATTTCCACCAGGAGATAAAACAGAGAGTTGATCTTGAACCAAATTTACGGGACCTTGCTGATTTTGATCATTAAGAGTACTAAAGGGTGTGAAGTTTAAAAACTGAAATTTAGGATCATTCTCTAAACATTCACTTACATTGATTAATGAGAAAACAGTTATCACTGATATGAAGTACATGTAGATGAAACTCACTTGTAAGAAATTCATTTTAGTAAATTCTGAATGAAAATTTGAAGAACAATTTATATAACTAGAGATGATAGATTTGAATGCTCGAAATGGCGATTTAAAATTTCCTTTTATACAAAACTGTTCTGGTAAATTATTCATAGAAAGTTAATTGATTAAAAGTAAATAATTCGTTATAAAGTTTAAACAAATGATAAATCATGTTTATTCAATCGATTGATCGACAAACTCAATTACATACAGTCGTGAAAATTGAGTTTGTGCTTTTTTCAAATCATTTGCGCACCTTTGGCAAAAATTAGCTTAATCAAAACGATTGATTAGATAAATTTAACACTACCAACTCTACATTTGTATCTATTAATTTGGTTTTATCAATCAAGATTCTCAAATGAATAAAATAAAAAGCACAAACTCAATTTTCACGGCTGTATAATATTAATAATATTTTCCGCTAATACTGTACCATGATTATCTTCAAATGATTAAATGCATGTATTATATAATATTAACTTTATTTTCAAATAATATCGCTTTATAATGGCGATACTTGTAAGTGAGGATCCGGAACTAGTTAAAGCGGAAATGGGCTTAAGTTGAAATGAATATTTAATCATTCACCAGAGATGTTTGGTACAAAAAGTAAGTTTTCTCACGTGTTATAACAAGTAAACGATCCTTTAATCATGAAAGTTTTCCGATTGACAATTTAGCATAGATATTTGATCAGTGTCATCACTATTGATCTTTAATTGTAAGTTGATTATTTATGGGAATGAACTCAAATGTTTGTTTTTTGTTGCTCGAAAAAGTTTTTTCTTTACCACTATTTTCTTAGTTAATCATCATAGAACAATTAAATTGGTAACCAATTTACTATAACGGTCAACATGGTCAATTTTTTTCTGTGAATTTCTTGACCGACAATTGATCTTGAAAAGTAATTTAATTTGATTCTGTTTGGTGAATCAAATTGTAACAGGAAAAATTCAATCAACTGTAAACTATTTCTTATTAGATAGACAAACAATCAACGTGATTAATTATTGATTGATGATGTTTAATCATTAACTTACCTGTCAGTTTGTAATTTACCAAAAGTTCAATATTAGATATTTGGGCAAACAATTAGTTGTAATGAAAGAATCAATTTTCCCATGAAAGTTTGATTATCAAACTGAATCAATTTTCAAGCTCATCGTCAATCAGTTGATTTGAAATGAAATCGCTAACAATTAGATAGCTACGAGTAACTTAAGCATTTGAATAATCTAAATCATATCAAACTTAAATTCTGATTGTTGGTTACCTTCAATTTTCACAATCAAGCTAAATTTTTAAGCTCAAATAGTAATTTAAAGTTTAACTAATCTACTGATCATTAATTAACTGTTAATTATATTCACTTTAAACTCTCCTACTCTCACTCATTCACCATATCTTTGGCTGTAACTATTAGTTAATCACTAATTTCTTGATTAGTATCCTTTCCTCGATTAATTGTCACCACATTTACCATCCAATTACAATTAATTACGCATTAATCAAAAAGTGTTACCAATCATAATCAACTAATGACCTGATAATTGATTGTCACCTTTGCTGTTGGGTAGTTGATAACAATCAACTGATTGTTGCAAATCCAATAATTTACTATAATACCAATTGCTAATTCGTTAACTAACCAGAATAGCTAACAGGTAATTACAATTTAAATGTTAATCATTTCCCAATCATTTTTTTCACAATTACCAAAATCATCACAAACACAATTAACTTTTTTTTTGAAAGTCAGAAAGCATTTAATTGTTGACGAAACAATTAACTTAACCACAAATTAGGGATGATAAATTGACCAAGATTTTAAAATCGGAAACATAATTAAATTGTCAGTCTTAATTGTCATCAACGAAACAGATCAACCATTGATAATCATAATGTAAAAGTCCCAATTAAACTAAAAATAATATCAAAAAGTAGTAAAAATAATAATTAGGTTGTTGATTTAATGGTTAAAAACAATCAAGAGCTGATCAAGCAATCAAATCAACAGGAAAGTAATTGATAAACATGATACTAATCAAATCAAATACAATCAATTGAGTCTCAAATGGCAATTGATTAATTGATAGCCAAAAATGATGGACTTATAATAATAACCAGCAATTAACAAAATGATAAAAAATTAAAAACAAAACAAAGTGCTAATTGTGAAGCTGATTAGCAAATTAAACAAATCAACAATTAGACTGATACAATTAATCGGATATGTGATTTTATGATAATAAATTATTTTTATCATCTTCTTTTACTTTCTAATCATAATCATTAAGATCACAGTCAACAATCAGTTAATTGAGTTAAAGTTTCAATTGTCAACCTTTATGATTAAGTTAATTGTGTTTCTGCAACAAACTGACCTCCAGACGAAACATTAACTTATCATTGATGATTTTTACACTTCTAATTATTAATTCATTTTGATGGTTTTAATTGTTACTCTAATTGTAATCAATTTGTTTTCCCTCTCCTCTTACCTTTTTTCCACTAATTAACACAATTAGTTTGATGTTAATGATGATAGTGATTCTTGCGACATTAACTTTGCTAATTGTTACAATTTGGTGATGTCGTTTACTTTCAATTTATGGATTTGAATAATTAATTGTTATGTTTTAGTTTGTTTTCATTTAATTGCTACTGTTAGATTGGGAAGATGTCTGATTGTTTTGGTAATCTTATTAATTAATTTTCAGGTCACATTGTTAAGTTAATTGTCAATGATGGTATTGAGTTAATTGTGATAAAACTTTTTTTTTTGTCCATTATTAATTGTTGTTAAAATGAATTTAAAAACGATGATTAAAATTAACTGTATTTATGGTTCTGTTGATTGTCAAGTTAACAATTTATTTACAATCATGAATTAGAAAATTGATCACAATTAATCTTAGGCCTGGTAAATATCATGATGACAATTTAAGCTTACAATTTACCAAACAATTTGAAGTGTAACAATTACTTTTAATTCAGTTTCTTGTAATAATAGTAAAAAAAAAATATCAAATTTGGTCAATTAGTTTATAGTTAGTTAACAATTAAGTATTGACGATAATAATATTAGATTGTAATTTGAACAAAAAACTTAATCATTACCGAGTTTAGTTGGTCAAATCAAGAGTAAATTGTTAATGATTAAATGATTTGATTCAAATGTCTGATTGTTGAATTAGCTGGAAAATTAGAAGCACAATTAAAAGTGATCTATTTGCTTGTTCTTGGTTATATTTTGAATTCTGTGTATTAATTTTAATTGTCTTCAATAAATTGACCTCTATTTTTGATCCAATTAAATAGTTGGTTAGTTAATTGTTAACTTTTTTACATATCAAGTTGTTCATTTGAGGATGATTAGTCTTAATCGTTTTGAATGTTAAACAATTAGTGATTTGATTTCCTCCAACCAACCTACAATTAAGTTATAATAATATGCCTTGATCATCAAACGGCGATGACAACAATTAACTTTAATTGTCAAAGGAAAGTAGATTGAAAATTAAATTGTTCACATCTAAATCTTGTATTTATACCTAATTAATTATCTTTATCGTTGTAGTAACAATTATCATCCAAAGACAAGTAGGAAAATATTACAATTAGTTGATTATCTGTTGATGATTCAATTGATTTACTAATAAAAAAAGTTTCAAATTAAATAACTAATTGTTCAAAATAATTTACATGATAACTTTTTGATTGTTGGAGTAACGATTAGTTAATTTTTGTAACTCTATTATTAATTAACTAGTCAGAATTATAATTAGAAGGAAAAAAAATCCTAACTAAATTAGATCAATGTAACAGTTAATTAAGTTAATTTACTAAGCTTGCATGTCCAATTTGCTTATTGTAATCATTTAACTAATCAACTAATTGTAATTGTTAACCTTGGTCAATATTGGATTTCATTAATCAACTGTAGCCTTGGTTAGTTAGTTTGATTGTTGATTAAATGTACCAATTACATTTTTTTGTCATTATTATTATCGTAAGGAAAAGTAAACAAAATTAAGAAAATTAATTTAATTGTTAAAACGAGAAAAAAGTTTAATCAACTATCAAAAAGCGCAATTTAATTTGTATCTGATTTCCAATGAAAACTTCTGAGAACTTAATCAACTTTCAATCGTTACAATTTAAATTATTTCGTTAATTTCTTATAATTCATTACAATCACAATTAAAGAAAAATATTTCTTTACAATTAGTTGATCAAACGGTAAATGATTAAATAATAATCAACTTTTTTTTCACAATAAAATTTAATTGTAAATGATTAAAATGGATAAGATTATTAATTGTGTTCTAATTGAAGATATTTTCAAATCATGTATAAGTGATTCAATGTAAATACGATTGTTAATTGTAACAATTTGATTATGAAGGTGATGACAATTAACTCTAACTGAAGGCCTTTAAATCAACAATTAAAATGCAATAATCTATTCATGATTGATTAATTGATTAGTATTCAAAATTGAGATTAATTGAAGTTGTATGATAATATTACAATTAAAGGATTAATTTTTGTTTAAGGAAATCAATCGATAACAATTTAACCTTAATCACTATAAAATCTTTGTTATTATATTTAAATTTTTATCACAATTAAGTTAATTGTAACTCCTTATTTGTAATCAAAGTCGATTTATTAACAATTGAGCAATAATAATTGTGTGAATTGTTAAATTTCCTTGTGAAAATGATTAACGGTTGTTAATTGTTGATTCTGTCATCCATCAATATCTCAACTAAGGTGAGAGGATGAGAAATCAACTTAATCAGTTATCTAAATCATGGCAACAATTTAAATTCACAAATGATTGAGCTTAATGATGTTCAAAGAATTGGTTAACTATAATTAACCAAAAGAAAAACCAAACAATTAAAATTAATTTTAGATTAAAATCAAAGAGATGAGAGGAAAAGGGAGAGAGAGAGTTTTGGAAGATGATGAGCATGATGAAGATGCGAAAAAGACACAGATGATGATTTTAGAACAAGAAAAGGAAATGGATAAAAAGACAGAGAATGGAAGATAATGTCGACAGTAAAGGGAGAAATTCGAAAGAGAAGATAAAAAATATATCGAAAGAAAGAGAATCAGAGCATTTCTCTTAGTTCGAGGAAAGAGAGAAAAAGAGTTATCATTCTCTCTCTTTCTTTTCCACCTTAACTCTCTCTCTCTCTCTCTCTCTCTCTTCTATCATCATTATCATTTGTTTATCATGACAATCAACTCCTTCCCCTGAGTGTGAATGAAGATTGATTCAAGATCTACTAACGATTCCCTATTGACACTCACTTTTACCTCAACCTTTCATTGAAACAGTTTAAGTTTAATAATTTGATCAACAATTTTAAACGTCATGACAATTTATAAATTGTTACCTTACATTCATCATATGATAATGGTCAGTTCTAGTTTGATCAGTTAAATGGCCACTAGCTTAGTCCAACCGAAAATCTTTGTGCTTAACCATCATAATTGTGTTAATTTTTTCAACTGAATATTGAAAACATAAAAAAATCAGTTAATTTTTCATCATTTCATCAAACTGTTTCTATCACTTTTAATCTGTTCCTAATATTTGCCAATATTTTTTGATTGTTTTATACTCTTTGAATAAAAAGATAATCTTTATCCTCAATTAATTAAATTGCCTGAAAATAATCAGAAAATGTTCAAGTTTAATTGTTACTGTGTCATCAACCCTTCCTTTTATACTAACTATTTATGGATATTATTAATTCAATTGACAATTTTAATTAATCCGTTGTCAGCCACAACAAATATAATCTCCATTGGTGACAATGGAAACAATTGTAATTACACTAATCCATTGACTAATCATACAAGTCGATTGCAATGTGCCACTCCCAAGGTAAACTCATCTGTAAGTATTGATCATAAATTAAGACAATGATTAAGATTAAGATCAGATTAATCTGCTTCTATTAATATTCCAAATAATTACTCTTAATTATCCTAATAATCAAAGTTTTCTGAAAATCCTTAAAGCCTTTCCAATTTGTTACACAAAGTTAACTTAAATCACATTACCATAAATTAACTTAATTAACTTTAATTTCGTAATACAAACAACATTTCAACAAGATTGATACAAACAGATAAACACGATAATCCTTAATCCAAGTAATGAGTTAATCTTAATTACATAAAACTACATAACACTTAACTTAATGCTGCGGTTCTTGGATTCAGATAATTATCCTGAATTCATCATAATGATTGACCAGTCAATGATTTCTTATTATGGTCAACAAGCCAACTAAGAAAAGAGTAACAATCATGAATGAATAATGAATGAAATTGTCACGTAAAAGAAGAAGCAAAAAAAAAAATGAGATTATGGTAATTTTTTTGTTTCTCTTTCACAATTAATCAAACCGATTGATTAATATTCACTACTCATTGATAGACACCAAGAGAGATAGAGACCCATTTAAAAATAGCGAGATAATAATGTTCGTTAATAGTAAATAATTAATCCGATTTGATGGAGATTAATGTTCAATCAACTTGACGTTGATTCGTTAGGATAACGATTGTTATTTAAGGAAAGCAAAACTTTCACTTCTCTTGGCCATTCAAGTGCATCAACTAATCAAGATCAACACTATCGATACTCACAATGTTAATCCATTTAATTGTTGCTCTTTTTTTAACTAAACCCTTAAATCGTAATCAGTTTGGTGATATCCGTTCATCTTAACACTCTCATCATGTTAATCACTCGAAATCGAAACAATTTACCTTCAATTGTCTACAATTTATTACGATTATGACCTAACCTTTTTTTTTCATGTTTACTTTTTTTCGTAACCCTTTTTTTTTGCTGTTCGTATTTTCATCTTCATCGTTTTATATATCTGATTCATGTCACAATTTACTAATTGTGGTTGATAATTTACTCTCTACTATTATCGGTTATTTGTTTAGTGACATTTATCTTGATATAATTTGAGGATATTAATAGAAGGTTTTGTTTGGAATTGATATCGGAGAGAGATTATGATTATGATTCTGATTATGATTCTAAATTGAAATTTGCAATTTTCTTTCTTTAAAAGGATATTTTGATTGCTAGTGGCTCGGAATTGTTTGGTGCTGAACTAAATGATGCTTATCTCGCCGAAATGGAGAAACAATATTTATCCTCCGAACCATTTAATCAATTGGTTAGGTCGTGCCATAGTGAATATAGTAACGGGTATCCAACAACACCCATTGGAAGTTATGAGAAAATTCAAGAAGCAATAACTGCGATCATACCTTCAATTTATCTCTATATTGGTTCGGACACTATGGTTTATCGAACGGTTCCTGGTGCTTTGGAAACATCGAGATTCGTTGCTCAACTGGCTCATGAAAGTGAATTTTTTACACTAATTACTGAATATCTTCTTAAAATGTAAGTAAATTCACTTTGCAATCAGTTGATATTCGCACTTATCCACTAATAGATTGAGAAATTTGAAAATCTAAACCAATTGAGTTTACCCGCTTCTTTTTTTCTCTCCGATTATTTATTGTAATTGTTTACTAATTGCGCTTTTCTTTTCTCTTTTTCTTTAATTACTTAATCAGGCATTGTGCTACTAAACTTGATTCTGCAATGAAATTCCCGAAACTCAAGGTTAAAGGTAAATTAACTGAAGGCCAAGTGGACAAATTTGCCGTCAACAGTTGTGGATATCGTAAAGATCAATTACAATTTGGCTGTAATCCAGCGAGTAAATTTCCCGCCTACGATGGTTCTTGTAACAATTTAATAAAACCGACCTTAGGAATGGCCTATTCATGCCATCGTCGTTTAATCCCTCCCGATTATGGTGATGGTGTTAAAAGTTTAAGACTCGCAGCTTCCGGTCAACCCTTACCCAATGCTCGTTTGATATCAAATGAAATTTTACCCTCAATCAACGAAGTTGACCCTGAATTAACTCAGATGAATATGCAATGGGGACAATTTATGGTACACGATATGGTTCGAACACCGATTACTCTTGGAAATACTCCTGAATGTTGTCCACCCTCAACTCTCAACCATCCTGAATGTGTAACAATCTCACCTTTACCCAAAGGCGATTCATTAACATCCATTTTCAACCAAACTTGCCTTCGAAACACTCGAACTTCACCATGTCCAAGATGTAAATTAGGTAAATTTTTCGATTGTTTTTTATCTCCCCTCTTGCCTATTCCAATGATCAACTTTCCTAATTATCTTCAATTCTTTCTTCATTGATTGTAATAACAATCTCGCAACTGTACTTGGTCCTGTTGATTGTTAACAATCAATTAGTCAACCAACCAAAACAAACAGATTACAGTGAAAATCTTAGCTTAAAGTAACAATCGTATTTACGTAAAGTCATTGATTCATTAACGTGTTTTAATTTGAATTAACTGTTTATAATCAATATTATTGTCCTCTCATGATTAACTCAGATGATTTCTTAAATTCAGTTATCTTCATCTCGTCTTCCTCTCTCTCTCTCTCTCTCTCTCTCTCTCTCTCTCTCTCTGACTCAATGATTTAGTTAATTAGTTTCACGATTTTCAGAAAAACTATCAACTCATGAATTATTATCAACTAATCATTACTTGAATCTTTTCTGAGCTCTTTCCTTTTTTTCGGTATCTCAACAATGTTTAACTTTTTCTACTTCCACCAACAATCAATTAATTTCATTAATAATTCTAATTTTTTTTTCCAATTCTGATAGAGTTTTAATTATACCATAAATTGCTAATTTTAAGCTTCGATTTCAGTCTAATTGTTGTTTACCACTTTATTTGCATGTTACTTAGTATCAACTTTTTGAAATCTTTTTTTCACCACTTTCACTTACCTAATTGACTTTTGATTAGTTTTTATCAATATTTTGATTGTTGTCCAAGTTTTTTTCGTATAAGTTGATTAAGACAAAATAATCAATGTATCAATTCAAAGTTATAATCAGCATCAGTTGTTGACAAGTTAATTGTCACTGAGAAAAAAGTAAACTGTGTTTTCGTTTGATTAATCGTTCCGCTAATATAATTTATCTAAATACATTAATTATGATTTTTACAACTCAATTGATCACTTTTTTTTGCTATTCCAACATTAGACTAATTGTTGTCATTAACTAATTACTCACTTACTAGTAAACTGTTAATTGGTTATCTATCAAACCTTAAAACCGATCTGAATAAATAGCTACTTTTGATTAACCATTATAACATATTGGTTAATTATCTTGTTATTAGCCCAACAATTATTGATTTTTACCTCAACAATTTAACAATAATCAAAATTTAGTGAAGAAGAAGCAAAAAATATCATCAGTATGATCCAATTGTATTTCCAATGAGCAAATTGTAAACTAATCAGTTGATAATCATGAACAATTTGATTGAATTTCACAATTTTTCAGATTGAATCAAACCGGAAATGATAAATCAAAGATAAACCTTATTAATATTAATAGAAACACCAACAATTAACTAATTATTACAAGTTAAGCTATGATATAATGTTTGTTAAATCGTTTTAATTGTTTGAAAAGCATTGACGGTTCAATGTTAATTGTTTACTGTCACGTAACAATTGTAACAAACAAACGCGATTATCAATAATTTAATTACAACGAAAAAAGTTATACACATGATTGAAAAGGAAGAAGGTAAAAAAAAGTTTACAATTAGTTTCACTATTCAAGTACAACAATCAACAAATTACTGGACTATAATCAATCATGGTATGAGTATTTTCATCTTTGATTTAATCCAGTTTGATATTGATTGTTAACCGATCAGTTGATATTCATGAAAGTGGAAACAAAGAGCCGATCGTTTTTTATTGCATTTTCTAGTTGTAAACCAAACAAATTGTAACAATTTGTTGATTGTAATTCATCCACTGATTAGTGGATAACAAGATTGTTACCAGAAAATAGCCACTTACCAAAATAGATTATAATAGAGTTGAGAGTTGATTATTTAGTTGATTAGTTAAATGGTTGATTCTTAATTTTTGATTGAAAATCTCCTGCTTTTCATGATTTACTTTGAGAAAAAAAGTTCATTTGATTGTTGACAATTAATGGATTTGGGTGCGGAAGTACATGTATTATAACAGTTTTAAAGGGTTCAATTGACTTCTCACAATTAAGTTAATCATCACCATTAGCTGATTGTAATAATCAATATGTTACTCTATTGATACTTATAAATATTTATAACAATTTCAGTTGATTTAGTTTGACACTTTCCAACAATTTAATTGGTGTCGACAGTTAAACTTACATTTTTTTTATTCTCATTCCATTTACTAACTTTTCAAATGGAGTTTTTTTTTCTCACTGATTATAATTAACATCCAATGATTATCTAAATTGTTGTAGACTTTTAATCACAACAGATGATTAGGAGTAAATAACATGATCTATTTGATTGTCCTGATGGTCAGTTGACAATCAAATGTCAATCTCAATGAATAAACTCCAGTGTTTGCACTGGTCAACAATCAACTAATTGTTTACAATTTTATATATATTAATACAATCAGATTACCCTGTTGATTGTTGAAACGATAAAAAATTAGACTTTTTTTTCATCGACAATCAGTTAATTCACTTTGAACTCAACAAGATCAACGATTGGATTTGAAACTAATTGTCTCTTAATGGACATGAGAAATTAAATTGCTAATAGAAAAAATCTCCAACAATTAGGTTAATCCTATTCTGAACAATGTTAAATTGCTGCTGATTGTAATGGCACAAATTAACTATATAATCAAACAAAGACAATGTTTGACTGCTAATCAATGAATCATTTTGAATATGTAATCATGATTAAGATGATGATTTATTAAATTGTTACGAAATGATAATCATTTTGATTATGTTAAACGTCAATTAACTAATCGTTTTGACCTAAAATGATCTTAATTATCTTCTCAAGTTAATCAAGGTTGAACCATAGTGATTAACTGATTACCTTTAGAAACTTTAATTACCTTTTTAGTGTTGACACATTATAAGAAACAATCATAATGATAATCAACTGTTAATAGTTTTCCGACAGAAATCAAATAACAAACAAACTGTAACAATTAAAGTTTAACTAATCGATAGTTTTGTAAGTGCTGGTCAATATACTAAATTGTATCTCAGCATAGGGTCAACAATTAAAGTTGATAATGATTTCTAATGATGATTAGGTTGATGATGATAATGATAATTACTTGTTGACAACAAACTATTTGGTCAAGTTAATTGTACCAACCACATTGTTTGATGTTGATTAATTTGTAAATTGATTACTTGTAAAGTAAATCAATCAATTGGCTCAAATTGAATTATGATTACAATTGATTTTCTTCATAACCTGATCATTTGTTAATCACATTTAAAGTACAACAATCAACTGGAATTGCTCTTTGTTTATGATTTCATTTTCATTCAGTGTTTTCCATTCACAACACTAACCTTCAATTTCCAGTTTCAAATCTCTTAATCACCGTTAACAATTATAATCATCATAGTTAATAATCATTTGATTTTACGGTTGATTGTTTATACTTCCTTTTTGATTAATATCGTGAAAAGCACAATCAAAACGACAATCAATGAGTTAGTATTTTTCACACTTTCCAGGCCTGGAAACAAAACTTTCATAATGTTGATTGTTTGGTGAATGAAAAGTTAATCAACAATTAACAGTTTGTTATTCATTAATTAGGATCACAATTAGATATTGATTAAGTAAACCGATTGATACGTTCATGTGGTTTTAGCAAGTGACAGTAAATTTTGTAACGACAATTGGACTGATTGTTTCAACACAATAAACTAATTGTTGATTTTTGTTATTTAATTGCAGGACCTCGGGAACAATTAAACGCTGCTCCTCATGCATTGGATTTGTCAAACATTTATGGTTACACTTATCAAGATAATTTAGGATTAAGATCATTCAAAGGAGGTAAATTAGCAACAGCATTGGATGAACAAGGAGGTGAAATAATGACCACAGCGGAGGGAAACTTTGACCCACTGGCCATTCAAGCTTGTAATGTACCACCGCAGTTTCCTAATTTCATTTGTTTCAAAACTGGTGACGGGATTCGTGGTAATCAACATCCATCATTAACAGCGTTACAAACAATTATGATTCGTCGTCACAATCAGCATACTGATGGATTAGCGGCCGTTAATCCTCACTGGTCAGATGAGACCTTATTCTGGGAAGCTCGTCGTTTACTGACCGCTGAATATAATCACATATCTTTCGCTGAATATTTTCCAACCCTTTTCGATCCTGAGATATTATCTTATTTCAATCTTAATCCAGTTAAATCAGGTTATTCTAAATACGAACCTGAAACTGATTTCTCAACAATCTCTGAATGGGCCACTGCTGCTGGACGGTTTGGTCATTCTCAAGTTAACGATGTTTTCATGGTTAAAAATGGCCCCGATTCGAAGAGCTCATTTTCATTCCGATTGAAAGATGTTTTCTTTGAAATGTCACTGATCCATTTGGGACAAACTGACGGGATTATCCGTGGATTAATCTCAGAACCAGCATTCGAGGTTGACCCTTTCTTCATTGTCGATGTTAAAGATTTTCTTTACCAAAATCCTAATCGTACAACTGGATTAGATTTACTGGTCGCTAATATAATGAGAGGTCGTGACCACGGAATACCTGGTTACGTTAATTACCTTGATTACTGTTTTGGTTACAAAGCTAATGATTGGCCTGATCTTTACGAGTACATCCCACAAACTCAGGTTCATAATCTTCAACGTATCTACAGGTAAGAAAATTAAAATTGAAACTAAATTGTCAACATGATGAATGTTTTTGTTAATTATTAACAATCAACTTCAATTTTCGTCGGCTATTAATTTCGTAGGGATGTTCGAGATGTTGATCTATTCGTTGGAGGAGTTTCTGAACGACGAGTACCCGGAAATGCTATGGGTCCAACTTTCTCATGTATTAATGGAATCCAATGGTATCATTCAAAGTTCGGTGACCGTTACTTTTATGAACATGGTGGTCAAGCTGGTTCATTTACTCCTGGTAAGTTAAGAAAATTTGATAATTTTCCATATGAATTTGATCAACTTAATTTCCTTTCATTTCTTTTTTATACAGAACAATTATCGAATATTAAAAAGACTACAACATTGGCTCGAATTATTTGTAGAACGACACAAACTGGTTACCTTAATCGTGAAGTTTTCCGTCTTCCATCAGCATCCGGTAATCCGACAGTTAATTGTCGCGATTTACCTGAAATTGATTATTACCTTTGGGCTGATCCTCATAAAGCTTAATTTGTACGAAATACAAATTTAAAGTTATATATTTTTACTTGTTGGTCTAATTTAAATGATTAGAAACAAGTTAATTGTTAATAATAATTTCATATTTTTTTACATATTTCAAACCTAATAATATCCATAAATATCTATATCATATATTGTCAACCACGATGATTAGAATAATATTTCTCCATTTTATCTGAATGACTTTAATTTGATTCTCTATTGAGGATTGATTTATATTTTTGTTGTCGTTTCAACCAGAAAAAATGGTTTCCATCATCAAAAACAATTAATCTTCTCTAGTTTAACAATTAACGTTAGATTGTCACACAATCCGATCACAGAATTGTTGATATAAGTGTTACATGTAAATAGACAATATATTGTAATGATGAACAAATAAAGTTATTCAAGTTGCTTACAAAATGATCGTAACTTTTAATTTCAGTTATCTGATTTTCAAAACAGCTCTTCAGATTGATTGTATCGATACTTTTTGCGATTTTTTTTCGAAGTGAGGATGAATAAGGTCACTTATTAGGATTTCAAATTGAATTTCTGGAATCACAATCGTTTGTTATTGGTACGGTGAGTGGAATAAGTCAAAGCACTAAATCGATCAACGAAAAGTTTGTAGATCAGAATTTTATCATTGCCCATATATGCGCTTTCAAATGGCTCTTTTTTCATTGAAAAAGTTATCAACGTTGACAAATTAGCTGAAGCAATCAGTTATTGAGAGACTTTTAATTCAGTTCCTAATTTTATCATCGGAGTAATTGAACAATATGAGTAAATAAAACTAATCGAACGGTTGATTTGATTATTGTGGTTTGTTCCAATCCTCTTATTTTATCCATTCATGTATATTGACTAAGTTGCTGATTGATTTGATCAAAAAACCATAAAAAATTTAATCAAATTCTAATTTACATAAATTAATCAGCTTTGGGTAAATATTTAATCATATACCAGAAAAGTTCAGCAAAAATAGTGAATTTTCCTATTATAGCATATTCTCATTGTAAGTTTATCATCCCTAGTATTAATAAATTGATATTGTTTAATTGTTATTAAGTAAGAGAATATCTTATTAATAAAATGAAAGTTTTCCAATTCTCAAGTTCCACCATCGTCATTGTGATTGTAACTATTTCCATGTTGATTGAAAAAAGTAAAGGTTCTGATATTGATGGTGAAAGTCAACTCGTATTCCATCAGGGGCGTACATCCGAAAAACCTGAAACCGATTTCTCGATAATCTCTGATGTTTTGATGAAAGATTTTCTTTACCAAAATCCTAATCGTACAACTGGATTAGATTTACTGGTCGCTAATATAATGAGAGGTCGTGACCGCGGAATACCTGGTTACATTAATTACATTGATTACTGTTTTGGTTACAAAGTAAATGATTGGCCTGATCTTTACAAGTACATCCCACGAACTCAGGTTCATAATCTTCAACGTATGTACAGGTGAGAAAATTAAAATTGAACCTAAATTGTAAATGTGATGAATATTTTTGTTACTTATTATCAATTAATTTCAATTTTCGTCGGCTATTAATCTCGTAGAGATGTCTATGATATCGATCTATTCGTTGGAGGAGTTTCTGAACGACGAGTACCCGGAAATGCTATGGGTCCAACTTTCTCATGTATTAATGGAATCCAATGGTATCATTCAAAGTTCGGTGACCGTTACTTTTATGAACATGGTGGTCAAGCTGGTTCATTTACTCCTGGTAAGTTAAGAAAATTTGATAATTTTCCATATGAATTTGATCAACTTAATTTCCTTTCATTTCTTTTTTATACAGAACAATTATCGAATATTAAAAAGACTACAACATTGGCTCGAATTATTTGTAGAACGACACAAACTGGTTACCTTAATCGTGAAGTTTTCCGTCTTCCATCAGCATCCGGTAATCCGACAGTTAATTGTCGCGATTTACCTGAAATTGATTATTACCTTTGGGCTGATCCTCATAAAGCTTAATTTGTACGAAATACAAATTTAAAGTTATATATTTTTACTTGTTGGTCTAATTTAAATGATTAGAAACAAGTTAATTGTTAATAATAATTTCATATTTTTTTACATATTTCAAACCTAATAATATCCATAAATATCTATATCATATATTGTCAACCACGATGATTAGAATAATATTTCTCCATTTTATCTGAATGACTTTAATTTGATTCTCTATTGAGGATTGATTTATATTTTTGTTGTCGTTTCAACCAGAAAAAATGGTTTCCATCATCAAAAACAATTAATCTTCTCTAGTTTAACAATTAACGTTAGATTGTCACACAATCCGATCACAGAATTGTTGATATAAGTGTTACATGTAAATAGACAATATATTGTAATGATGAACAAATAAAGTTATTCAAGTTGCTTACAAAATGATCGTAACTTTTAATTTCAGTTATCTGATTTTCAAAACAGCTCTTCAGATTGATTGTATCGATACTTTTTGCGATTTTTTTTTCGAAGTGAGGATGAATAAGGTCACTTATTAGGATTTCAAATTGAATTTCTGGAATCACAATCGTTTGTTATTGGTACGGTGAGTGGAATAAGTCAAAGCACTAAATCGATCAACGAAAAGTTTGTAGATCAGAATTTTATCATTGCCCATATATGCGCTTTCAAATGGCTCTTTTTTCATTGAAAAAGTTATCAACGTTGACAAATTAGCTGAAGCAATCAGTTATTGAGAGACTTTTAATTCAGTTCCTAATTTTATCATCGGAGTAATTGAACAATATGAGTAAATAAAACTAATCGAACGGTTGATTTGATTATTGTGGTTTGTTCCAATCCTCTTATTTTATCCATTCATGTATATTGACTAAGTTGCTGATTGATTTGATCAAAAAACCATAAAAAATTTAATCAAATTCTAATTTACATAAATTAATCAGCTTTGGGTAAATATTTAATCATATACCAGAAAAGTTCAGCAAAAAATAGTGAATTTTCCTATTATAGCATATTCTCATTGTAAGTTTATCATCCCTAGTATTAATAAATTGATATTGTTTAATTGTTATTAAGTAAGAGAATATCTTATTAATAAAATGAAAGTTTTCCAATTCTCAAGTTCCACCATCGTCATTGTGATTGTAACTATTTCCATGTTGATTGAAAAAAGTAAAGGTTCTGATATTGATGGTGAAAGTCAACTCGTATTCCATCAGGGGCGTACATCCGAAAAACCTGAAACCGATTTCTCGATAATCTCTGATGTTTTGATGAAAGATTTTCTTTACCAAAATCCTAATCGTACAACTGGATTAGATTTACTGGTCGCTAATATAATGAGAGGTCGTGACCGCGGAATACCTGGTTACATTAATTACATTGATTACTGTTTTGGTTACAAAGTAAATGATTGGCCTGATCTTTACAAGTACATCCCACGAACTCAGGTTCATAATCTTCAACGTATGTACAGGTGAGAAAATTAAAATTGAACCTAAATTGTAAATGTGATGAATATTTTTGTTACTTATTATCAATTAATTTCAATTTTCGTCGGCTATTAATCTCGTAGAGATGTCTATGATATCGATCTATTCGTTGGAGGAGTTTCTGAACGCCGAGTACCCGGAAATGCTATGGGTCCAACTTTCTCATGTATTAATGGAATCCACGAGTATCTCTCAAAGCTTGGTGACCGTTACTTTCATGAACATGGTGGTCAAGCTGGTTCATTTACTCCTGGTAAGTTAAGAAAATTTGATAATTTTCCATATGAATTTGATCAACTAAATTTCCTTTCATTTCCTTTTATACAGAACAATTATCGAATTTCTAGAATCACCGAGTATTAGTTAAATTCTCAAAATCTAATTCAGTTATGATGTATACGAATATTGATTACTTAATCGTTATAAGAGCTGATAAAATAAAATTGATTATCTAAAATAAAAAAATACAAATAAAACTCATTTCAAGCTATTTTCTAATCAATCAACTATTAATATATGCAATATACAGGGTTGTAAAAAAGTCGAATGAAAGATCGTAATAATATAAATTATCTGAAACAAGCATGAGTGATTACAAAATTATTACGAAGTATTTGAAGTCAACAGTTATAAAAGGAGATTCATTTAATGAAAATTCTGTACCAAAATCAATCAACTTTACTCGTTAACAAATGACTCATGGTAAGTGCCATTGTAATTTAAATTTTTCGTTGAAGATCAATTCTGAAGATGATCAACTTTGGGACAGTTAATTTTCTCATGTTATTTTACTCACAAAGACATTAACTATCCATTAGTCGAAAATTCGACCTGATTAGAGCAACAGAATTGTAATATCCCTCCAACCGATAAGTATAAAAGTGTTATCATTTCTGGATCACCACCGAAATGTTTGATGTTTTCTCGCGTCCATTTTAAGGTCAGTATAAGATCGCAAAGCCTGAAATTACCCGGCATATCATAATAATCTTGAACCTAAGATTTGTGGAAGGCTGAAGCAATAGCAATTAACTAATCATTCTCATAATTTTGCTATGTTGATCTCTGTGATAATAACTTTGAAAGTAAAAGGTCAAACTAAGGTTGACAATGAAAGCTTTACACAACAACTGATGAGTAAATGTAGTCATTTACTTGTTAGTATCTTCTTACCTGAAAGGTAAGATGGATTATATTATTTTCTAGTTTATCTTTTAAACAACAAACTCTAGAAAATAACAAGTAACCCAATCAACAGAAAACTGGTTTCTTCTTCTTCAAGGTCAAACCTCTAATTACTCCCAAGTCCATAGGAACTTGATAGGGAACGGTCAAGATACATCTTGTACTTGGAAAAATATACAGAGAAAACAGGAATGGAACGTTTTTATTTTTAGTGACCTTTATGGTCTAAGAAAAAGTTTATTTTTGAATTTCGAACAAAAAAGAAATTTTTTTATAATTTAGAAATAAACACGATACATTCTAGCCATAAATCGGCAAATGTCCAGTTTAGGACTAACTTTGATATTTCGAGTGTCCACTTGCTCATCAATAATCCATTCGAGTGGTAAAACTTTATTCCTTCTTGAGGCCAACATTGGTGGCCAGGGAATTTCACCTCTGGCAACAAAATCGGCCAAAATTCTGATCATTTTCTCGGATATGACTCGGTCTCGATCGGAAAAGTCTGGGCCAATGAAAGGATGACCAAGGAACATGAAATTAGCTGACCCATGCATTGGACCATGTTGATATTTGACCTCAGTTGAATTGGCAAGGGAATCGAAAGTATAATTGAAATAATAGTAGTGAACGGGATCAATTGTAGCCCATTTTTCAATGAACAATAACAATGGACATTGGAAAACATTATCACCAATAAGTTGACTGAATCGCTCCTTTAATGCCCAAGTGTCATTATCGGTTGTACCCTCGAAATAATAATCGTAAATGTAATTCAATTCATCGGTGATGTTTTCATCGGGCTTAATCATGTTGTAAAACATATTATTCAAATGCTCCTCAGCCTCAGCTCGTGAAGCGGGTTGATAGTTACCCGATTCAACGTCATCAAAGTGATCTGATCCAACCATGAATCTCATATTTCGTCGAGCCTGTTTTTTAAGTAAGTAGACTTCGGGTGAAGAAGGCATGAAATCATCACCATAAATTGGCATGAACGCAAAATCAGGACAACTTCCCATAAGTGTCATGTCATCAGTTGTATCGGCATTAACAATATCGGTCGCATTAGCGGCTTGAAGACACTCTAATTGTTCATAAGTTATCCTAAAGTTGTCATTGGGAAATTCACCACAGCCCAATTTAGCGGCAAGTGCTTTAGTTTTATTGAGAGCACGTGAGGTTGGTTCGATGGTGGTAAATTTCATGGGAACAGCGGACATTAACAAGACTTGATCGAAAAGGAAAGGTGAGACACTTGGTGATAATGCCATCATGGCGGCTAAAGCTGAACCAGCCGATGAACCAGAAATTGTTATTTTATCTGGATCACCACCAAAGGCGGCAATGTTTTTACGTGTCCATTCAAGAGCGGCAAGAGTATCGTAAAGTGCTTGATTACCAGGCATGTCTCGATCAGCACCATAAGCAAAACCAAATGATTGAAGTCGATAATTGAAACTGACAAAGATTATTTTACCTTTAGCAGCGACGGCACCACCACGATTCATATGGTAGGTTGATGAGTATTTTTTAAATTGTGAACCATAAATGTAAAAGAGAACTGGATAATTACGCTTTCGAGGTTCACTAGATCGTTGCCTGGGTGAGAATGATGATCGTCGATCTGATCGATAATCTGAATGATGGTATGATCGACGCTCTGATTGATGATCTGATCTATGACTTGATCGATAATCTGAGTGACGGGGAGATGACCACCAGCGACTATTAGAGAAACCATCTTCATGGTGAGAAGATGGAGATTGTCTTGACCATCGTGATCGCTGTTCGTCTTCATCGTCTCGTGGTACCCAAATGTTCATAAAGAGACAATCCTCACTTATGGGCTCTTCATTTGCTTTTCCGCTGAGCACTTGCATACACGCTGGTTTAGGTTTGGTGGCATTATAAATACCTCGATGATGACCTTCCAGTTTAACGGGTAAACGGAAACGTAACCTACCTACCGGGGGCTCAGCATAAGGGATACCATAGAAAACGGAAACATTAGAACCGGCAACAGTTTCGACAGTACCTTCGATGGTTCCCCAATCGATGTGGACAACTGGACCTGAAGGTGGTGGTGGTGGTGGTGGTGACGATTCCCGATGTCTTGACCATTTAGAATGATCTTCATTCTTTGAAGATTCATCTTCGTTTTCTTTCATGGATGATTCGGTTGATGAACTATCATCATTAGCGACACTTTCATCATTTGTTGAATTATCATCATGTTTAAATGGTGACCATCTTGACCGGTCAGTTTTAAACGGCAGTGAAGGATAAGTGAACTCATGACGATCATGATGATCTGATCGTGATCGACATTCAATCTCAGTGAAAACCAAGACTAAAGACGACAACACAAATAAAAGAAAAGTTAATTTCATAATAAACTAACAATAAAAGAACAACAATTGACCAAAACAATTAAATACAATTCACAAGGAAAACTAAACAAACTTAAATTCGTATGTTACTTATTTAATTGTTGACCAGCAATGAACTAAAAGTGACCAACCAACTTTAAGTCTTTAACCTGAAGATAAACAGAAAATGTTGAGATAAATGTTGGGCGGATGGATAAGATTATCGATTCGTTATCTTTGTTTTTACCAAAGAAAATAGTTCTAAGCCAATGGGCGAATAGGAAAAACAAGAAGAGATTTTTTCAAGGTCATTTCGTCTTCTTTTCCATTATAATCCAGATTGACCAGTTTTCTCTATTCTCACCTTACCTCATGTTCATAACATTAGTACATATGAACCGGTCTTCGGGTACAGATAAACTTTATCAGTTCTTCAACTTTTTCTTTTCTCGAGACATTTTGGTCCAAACAAAATAAACATTCTAATCAATTTAATTTTGTCACCTTCTCATTTGATATCGACTTTATTACGATTGACATTTATGTAAAGATTATCTCAATTTCTTGCAGAATCAAAAATTTCCAAATAATTTTCTTTTTGTTTCTCTTAATTGTTTTCAAGCATTTGATTTTCTTGTCGTTTCATTTAGAGATTTAGAATTGTGGTTTGTTTGGAATTTTGTAAACGGATTCATTTTAATTCTGGAGAAATGGATTAATAAATGTCTCATATTCAAATTCCCTTGATATTGAATTACATTGAATTTACTTCTTTTTCCATTATTCTGGTTAATCGGTTGATTTTATCTTCGAAATTACCGCTTTTCTTATTTTCGCCATCTAGTGGATCGTTTTGTAAATGAATTTCGATTTTTTTAAATTTTTGTCGATCAAAATTTTGAAAGAAAAGAAAATGTGAGTGGCGTCACCTTTGGATTTATTTGCAAACTGATTTATTGATATTCTAAATTTAAATGAACATTTTGATTAATTTTTGGTTAACAAAAAAATATATTTATTATAATATTAAACCATTTTATGGTACGTATCGGCTGAGATTATATTTTGCTTTTGTCGATCAAGAAAAAATTATTTACAGGGTAAGTAAATAATTAATTATAAGTTAAAATATTTTAATATTTAAAATTTTATTTAGACTTCATGGGTTAAAACTAACAAGATCGTTTTGGTCGGTGGACTTTTAAATACTAAAGGTATTAAGGTCGATTTTATTTATGAAATACCCGAGGTTATTAAATATTCACCAATGGCTCCATATATTTATATGAAATATGTGTATCGATCGAGACTCAGAATTTATGTTGAGTTATACAATTTCAAATATCCTGATATTTTGAATGAACATGAAAATTCCGTAGGCAAAATGACAATTTACGGTATGATTTACGTGGTATTGGTACTATTTTATCAAATATTCAATTTGATAAAAAATGGTTGAGTTGGATTTACGATTTAATCAATTTTGAAATTGGTATTCAAAATTACAAAACACATTTTTTTTTATTAAATTCTATGTTAAATGATGTAAAAAAACAAGAAAATCAAATTTTTACTCGGTATTTTCATTTTCAAGGATTACTTATCAATCTACAAACTTGTTCAATAAATGAATAAACGAGTGAAAGTTATATTTCGATATTTAATTAAATTAAAATTGATTAATTGATTAACATTTCATCTAATGTTATTGATGTGATTGAGTCGCAAAGTGATACAGTTTTGGACCCTTCAGTTGATGAAAATCTTAATGGGGAGCAAACAATTGGTAAGCCTTCAATTTTGAAATTAGATATAATTTTTGTTATCTTTTGTATAAACTGTAGCACCTTCAGATGACCTTGAGCTCATAGAAACCTCACAACTTGTCAGTAATGTCTCTGAATATTCTCCTTTGTTGAATTACCTTCAGATGACCTTGAAACGTGTTACTTTACCGATGTCCTGAATGACCTTATCTTTTGATATGACAATTGAGTATCGCGCTATAACTATAAGTATAGTAACTTCAAAATATTAAAAAAAAATATAAACGCAAAATTAAAAATCTTAAAAATAAAGTGGATATGTTAAAATTTAAATGTAATTCGAAAATAAAATTTATAAAAAAGTTGAAAAAATTATAACAAAAAAATGAAATAAATGATGTTAAAATAAAACAAATCGTTGAACTAAAAAGAAAAATTCAGCATATTGAGAAAAAACATGTTTCTTTTCAAAGTATTGTAAAAAAAATTTATCTTGATTCAAATCAAGCTCTACATAAATAAACTAATTATATCAACTTTGTATGAATATTTACTTTGGAATTGTCTTCATTTGAAAATTATTATTATTTTTTTAACACCTTCTTGTTTGTTATATTCAATTTTACCGTTTTTAGTTTGATTTTAAACGAATAGTTGGATTTTAGAAAATGCCAGTCTGGGGTTTATTGTGCTAAGCAAACCTTCTTATACTAGTTTTCCATTATTCTGGTTAATCGGTTGATTTTATCTTCGAAATTACCACTTTTCTTATTTTCGCCATCTAGTGGATCGTTTTGTAAATGAATTTCGATTTTTTTTAATTTTTGTCGATCAAAATTCTGAAAGAAAAGAAAATGTGAGTGGCGTCACCTTTGGATTTATTTGCAAACTGATTTATTGATATTCTAAATTTAAATGAAGATTTTGATTAATTTTTGGTTAACATTTGGAGGGAACCTTTTGATTTTATTGTAAATCCTCCTTTTCTTTGTTAATATTGATTAATATTTACATTAATTTGAGATTATTGTTTTGACTTTTGCGATTGATTGTCAATCTATTTTGATTAATCAAAATGCCTCAAATTGCTCATCTCAGTGATGGTAAAAGTGTCATGATTTTAGGAACTGTTGTTGGCTGTTTAATTATCTTATGGCCAAAAATTTTCTATCCAATGTTACAAAATGGATTCCAAACCATAAATCAAGGTAAGTTAACATTGACAAAATCTTCTAATTTCACTAATTGTCCATATCTTACCTTTCAGGTGATGTAAAACCTAAAATTCATCCCAGGATGATGACAAGTAAATCACCACCCAAAGGCTTCAATGGTCAGGTAAACAAATTGTTGGTCTATCAGAGATTCTAATTAATGTCATCGAGATGTTTAATCATATCCAATCCGCTTTTCTATTTGTAGACAAATTTCTACGGACCTCGTTCTCATATCCCTTCAGTCGATGAAAATAATACCATTGGAGGAGCATCGGTTGGCTTAATTATGACCATTTATACAATTGGAATCATTTTCCTCTTTTTCTATACCATTTTCAAAGTGAGAATTTTATTCGATTTTTTTTTCATTCTTCAATCTTGGACTAATTTGTTTCAATCTATTCCCATGAAATCGAACAGTTTATGAGCTCGAATGATTCCTTCGATCACCTGGATAAAAATGGTGCTCATTTTGATTCACGATCTAAAGACACTAAGAAAGATGAAAATTCATTCGATAAAGTCGATCATAAACAAGGCGAATGTCTAAAGAAATTGGCAGTTAATTATGTCCGGTGTAAATCCAAAATTTCGGGTATTGATAATGATCCAATGATCGTTAATGATCGCGATGATGGTGGTAAGAAGATGAACATTTTTCCCATCCAAAATTGACCATTTTTACTAATTTTATTTCTTGCACTTCTATTGATCAATCATTCACGTTCATCAGTTTCCATTGCATATCGAACTCTACTCGGTGATATGCTTGAATTACGTGATTATCTCTCTGACCTCCAATGCTCAATTAATGGATGTCAACCTTGTGATGATGAATTTTGTAATTGTTCCGATGAGGTTAGAATCAACTTCAATTCAATAATTTTATAACTTTATTAATCCGATGTAATTCATTTCCATAGGTAATTTATGAGTCCGATGATATTTGTGATTCACAAACAAATGACTTGGGTTTCGACATTGATGTGAGTACTTCCATCTCTTTAATTGCTACTTTTTACTAATATTATCCCTTAAATGTTGTTATTTTTTTTTGAAACTCAGGGTACGATTGATCAGATTCTGGATTCTGAAGATGTTTCGATGAAAAATGAAATCGACAAACCAGAAGAGGAACAAATAATCAATCAATCAGAAAATGAGATGGATTCAGTTGAAGATTTACTCGAAACTATTGACGATTTAATTGATTCCAAGATTGAAAGTAAAATCAAGCGATTAAACAAAAGAAAAACTTCCAACGAGGAATGATAACTAACCGTTCTCGTCTAAATATTCACCTTCGACGATAATTATTTAAATTAATTTAATTTATTTCCAATTCAATTTGATGTTCTTTTCGTTACAGTTTAGAATCATGATTGTATATAAATTTCTTTTCTTAATTAGATTAATCAAAATTCATGATTTGAACAAGCAAACGTTATTTTCGTCTAATTAGCCGTCGACCGCTAAATCATTTTGTCCCAAAAGATCACAACTCGATTGATTCGGTGTCTTATCAACCAGTGGATTTTTATGATTAACTAATTCTTCATCCTGATTATCCTCTGTCGTAGTAAATTCAGTGTCGGCAGCCAATGAAAGTGAAGGTGAACTATTGGAAGATCTTGTGGGTAAATGGACTCGAAAAGAAGGTAAATATTTTAGGCCCGATGCTGAGGTCGCAGGTTCTTTGGAAACGGGAGATTCGGAGCGAGAAAAAAGTGATCGACTTCGATTTAAGATCTGATGGCAAGTGGACTCATTTGGTAAAACCTCCATGACCATTTTGAACAGTTTCGGTGTTGGTGTTCGTTCCGATTCTTTAATAATGGCCTCAGCTTCGATCGATGTATCTGGCGAAATGTATCTTTCTCGAAGGGCTCTTTCTCTCATCACTTGTTTAGCTTTATTCAAAAGGATTGTCTGAGCTTCTGGATAATTACGAAGGGTGTCCCATAGGTCAGCTTTGGTCAGTTTAAATAAATTGGAGAAACCGACAGACCTAACGGAAGCCGTTCGCCTTGAACAACCTGGAATACCGAGGACAGAAACCTCACCGAATACTCCGCCTGGACCGAGTGTACATATCACAGATTCGATGGCATCGTCACGTAAAACTTGAACACTTCCCTTGGTTACAATGTACATTTCGGTTCCTATTTCACCCTTTCGACAAACATAATCTCCTGGAAGGAAAAGAACGTGCTTCAACTTGACCACAATATCACGTAAAATTGTCCGCTCGCATCCTTGGAAAAGGTCAACCTGCCGTAACATACTATAATGTATGTCCATTGCCAGGTCAGTTCTTATCTTTAACGGGATCGAGTAAAGAATTGACGATTCATCAAATAACTTTTGCTGTTCCCAAGTATGAGTTAACCAAAGACGAACTCGTGTTTGCAGGTCACAAGGTAAATGAAGACTTTCCATATAACGGACAATTGAATCAAGAAGCTGACGAAATGAGGCCTTATTTTGAGTTGCAGTGGCCACGATATCGCGAATCTGTCCAATGAGAAAGGCGAAAACAAAAATACCCAATAACCAGGAGATTGTCATGAAAAGATATTCAGTTGTATTGGTTGGCTTGGGCATTTTCCCACTTATCGAAGTTGCCGTTCTGATCGCAAAATAAAAACACCTTATGTAGGCATTACCTTCACCCCGATAGACCCACTCATTTGCGTTGAAACCCTCCAAATATGAGACATAATAATAAGCACAAGCATTCAGATGGATGAGGAACATCATATAAATAAGTGTTCTGGTTACACGAAAAAAGTAAGGCCACTTGGCAATGGCATCGATGGTGTCGAAAAAGGTAGAAAATGTTTGAAATTTAAGAAGACGGGAAAATCGTAAAATGGGCTTACAACCGATGAAAATGTAAAGAAGGTCAAACGGTGCCAATGAGATAACATCTAATTTAAATGAGGCCGTTGATAGATAATGACGACGGCAAAGTGTTAAATCCTTAACAATTTGACCTCTTTCAAGGTAAGTTAAACGATTCTTGAAAAGTAAAATGTCCAATAGGTAAATTATATCGGCAAGATAATCAAGAGTTAACCAAATCAATAGATTGTCACTTGTTTGGTAAGGGAAAGTTGATCGTAAAAATATTATCCAGCAATTGTAAAGATAAACAATTACAACAATCAATAACCATGAGATGTAAAAATAACTTTGAGGATCGATAACATCGAGTGACCGTTTTGACCAACGATAATAAAATTCTTGACCAAATGTTTTCAATGGTTCAAGTGATTCAGTGTCATGATCAAAGTGTTTAACATGATCATTATCACTTTCATCATCTACATTATCCCAATAACGTTGATATTTATCTGCATCTTTAGCTAATTGATTACGTTGATTGTTTGATGAATATTTTGATGTACCACTGGGTCCACGTGATGAAATGATAACATCTACAGGGGATTCACAGGGTGAGGTCAAGGGTAAAGGTAATGGTTTAACTATACGAGACTTAATTGTTTGAGCACGTTGACGGAAAGCGGAAACTAATGAATGTAACCTTTCATAGATTCCAGTTGATTGTGATGGATGAACATTATTACTATTATTATTATTATTATTACTATGAACACTATTATTTATTTCAATGTTAATTTTATTCACTGAATCGTTAATTGTTGTTATTGGTGACACTTTGGTTCGTTGATGATGTTTACCTAATTGTGATGGACGATGAAATTGAGATGCATTTGAAGTCCAATTAGCAGCTAAATTATGGTTAACATGATTACTATTAACAAAACAGTTACTGTTGGTGTTTATTATATTGGTTGAGTTAAATTGTTCACTAACATTTGATTGTTGTTGTTGATCAAGATTTTCTTCAATGTTTAATGAATCACGATGATCAGTTGATTGTGATTGTGAATGTACACTCGAAGATGATACTTCTTGAGAGCTCCTTTCCTCAGAGATTCGAGAATTTGAATTATCTCCATGAACAGAATCATCAATATAATCAATGTAATCATCATCCTCCTCCTCCTCCACCACCACCACCACCACCAACACCACCAGAATCAACACTAATACCACCTCTTAATTGTTTCTTCATCTTTGCACTTTTAGACCTTCGTCTTATATCAGCCTTATAATGATTTTCTGATGTTTCCTTTGAATCAATGACAATATCCCAACTCAATGATCGCCCTAAATACTGTCTTGATTTACCACCAGCACCACAACCACCCACCGAGGGTAAATCACTTGAACCCGAATCATTGATTGAAGAATCATCTCTCGGTGGAGTTGAAGTTGATGAGGAAAAAAATGATGGTGTTTTGGGTCGAGTTGTTGATAGAACTACTTGTTTAAACATTTCGTTTCGATTGATTAAATTATCTTGAATAGAGAGAAAGAAAGAGACAAATGGGAATCACAATTAAATTACAATCAAGATGAACGAGAAACAAAATTAAAGATGAAAACAAGATTATCTTACTTATTTTATCTAATATTGATGTGACTATGTGAACAATGATAATAATAATATCCAAATGATTTACTTTCTGATTATGATAAACACTCACTGGGAATGAAAATGAATCAACTTAGATCAATGTTGGTAATTATAATAATATTGGACAATCAATTGATCAGCAAATTATGGTGGATGATGATGGTTAATAATTTATGGATCATGATCTAAATTGGTAACATTGACTTTCCATTGCATCTAAAATGGTAACAATTTAGTTACCTATCAATATCTGACTGGGAATATTAATTGATGAACAGAAAGAATAATTGATATTTTCAATCAGAGGATAAGTTTTAAGATAAAAGGGTGAAAATTTGATGGAAATAATTATATTCTTTGTGGTCACATTGTTAATTTAGGTTCGACTTTAATGAATAATTTTTTTCTCTCCCAGGTAAATGTGATTAGAATTCGAGTTCTGTTGTTATCCTTATATATTTGACAATCGAATTAAACTGATGATGATAAAAGAGAGAGAAAGGTTTGTATTTGTTATTAATCCATTAGGAATACAACATGATGATAATGATGAAGATAATTGTCTCTTGGATGGATTGACCTGCGCCTTCATGATTATACATCGATCCGAATCACGAAGGAACAAAAAATAGAGAATTGTATACAGAGAATATTTTTTCCTTCTCCTGCTTCATCTTTTATATCCATTGTTTTCTTTTTTCTCTTACTTTCTTCTTTCTATTGATATTTCTAAAGATTCTGATTTAACTCTTGATTATCTAAGAATCACCATGGAAAATGAATCAATTAGTTTCCATTAGATCTTTCGGTATAATGAAAAGAGAATCTGCTTGTAAATACAGTCAAGTACCTAAAACTGTCAAACTGTTATTCGTAGAGCGGGTGATTTCAAAGGGATGTAAATTTATCGATTATTTCGATCAAAAAATATTCTACTTGAACTAGCCCTCTAAACAATCAGAAATAGAGAAAATGATAATTTTAATCTTATTAAATTATTCTGATGAGATTTAATTAAGAAAAAAATAATCACTCTAATTAATTCAATGGCTAATTCCAATTAGGAAAATGGAGCTACGATCGTTGGACAGTTTTGGGTATGGACAATTTTAGGTACTTGACTGTATTGATAAAATGTTATTTACGGCATTCTCGCTATTTTTTTGTTTACTTTTTCATTGTAATTTCATTTTCTGTTAACATTAGTGTTTCCCGATATTCAAAATTATTAGATTTTATTTATTAGAAAATTATCAGGAATTGAAAATGTTGATAATTTATTGAGAAGATATGGGTCTGATCCTTTATGGATAATGGAGCTATTCACCCTCTATCAGTTGGTCGTTACAAGAGAGGGACGATATCGCGACGATGGAGCAAAAAACAATCAGTGAGTAGTTTTGCCTTTTTGTCTTCAGGACAATCACAATGTGATTTTATATTTAACCATTTTTCACCACTTTTTTGCAGTTTTATTAGCAGGATTATTATAAAAAGTTTCAAATAATAAATATAATCAAGAGACAATCGGAAACTCCTCTTTCGCTGAACAACATATTAGCTAAAAATATTGTTGAAGTTAACGATCAATACAAATGTGGGTACCGACAATGTATTTGTAAAAGAAGCTTTTCGCCGTGAAACAGGATGCCATCTATCAATTAGAAAAATGTGATTTCAGCTTCGTTTGTTGCGAATGCAATCAATCATCTCAAATAGTGAAAAAGGCAAAATCACTTAAGGATTGTCTTTAAGCTGAGGTAATCTATTAATTGGTTGACTTGAAAGTTAATGAATCAATAGATGAACTCAACTTAATTAAAAGCAATCCTCAAGTTGATCCTAATCCTCTACTGAAAAGTACAATTCACTCTCAAACCTAAAGTATCTTTGCTGGTATAAATAGATTCAGCGTGCAAATAACATCATTAATAATTATCATCATGGACGACTCATCTCTTCGTGCGAAACTTGAAGCTTTCAGTTAAAGTTGGACCAATCACCCATACAACGCATTCAGTTTACGAGAAAAAATTGAGTTCATTAGAAACTGGTAAGTTTTATTTCTTTTTTCTTTTAATTATTTTATATAAATTATTCGTATGGATTTTTCCAATCATTTAGAAGCTGCAAACAAAAAGAAAATTAAAAGAAAATCTAACCACAAATCTGAACCAAAAAAAGAACCATGCCCATCAACATCAGAAGGGAAACAAAATGAACTCCATCATTACCACTATAATTTTCAGTTATACAAGGACGAAAATAATTAAGACACTCCCGATGTTCATTTCATTCATTTTTTGTGAAATTTTTTTATAATGTTTCTTGAAATTTGATGGTTAAGAAAGTTTTCTTGTACAACGAGGGCAGCAAATGAAATAAAAACATGAAAATAAATGGTCTTCTACGTATTGTTTTTTCTTAAATTGTCTTTTTTTACATTTTTCATGCAAGATACAGGTGTACTGCCTTTTCTTTGATGATTCTGAAAAAAACAGGTTCATGCATTTTTTAAAAAAACCTTTCGCTTGCTTTAGCGAGATTGATCTATTTTCCTGATCAAAAATATAATATTTAGTATCTCTGTACGGAACAGCATGATCAGAATTGATAACAAATTCTGGTTCTTTAATTCTTTCGGGCTCCACATCTACGAAACTTTCACTTAATGGTTCATCGATGACACTTTAGTAACTTTCACCGGTGGAACTTTAAGGTGTCTCTTGTCTTTTCCTCTCTTGGTTTGACTTAACTCTTTCTTCCTTCTCTTTTCTTTTTTTCTCTTCATTATCTCGTCTCTCTCTTTTCCACTCATCTTCTTTCTTCTTGAAATGAGCCATCATGTCCTCATGCAATGAACTCGGATCGGACATGTAACAATTGGATTGTCTAAAATCTCGGGCTCTTTGTTCACGGGGAGAAGGTGGTAGATTATATTTTGGGTACGGTTGTTCAAATTCTTGTTGCTGTTGTTGCTATTGATGTTGTTGATAGTATCGTTGCCGTTCTTGGTGTCCGGAAAACGCAGTCCCATTCACCTTAAAATTTTCTTTTATTTTTGTGTTTAGCTCAATGAATTGGTTAAAATCGAATGGTCCGATCTTGTGAACTCTCTGTAAACTGGAATTCACTTTATCGGGGTGCATGGCCAAAAGAAGCTTTTTCGATGCCTTATTATATTCTTGGAAAGTGACACTTGTATGCAGAAAATAGCTAAGGATTGTCTCAGATTACACTGACTACACGCGCGCTTTTTGATTTAGTAAAAAATGCATTTATTGACAATCCCAATGTAATTTCGTATCTCACCATCTTTTCACCAACTCTTGTTAAATGAAACAAGTCGATTAAATGGTGAGATACGAAATTACAATTAAACTTCTTGTCCTTTTTTTAATTTTTTCACCTTCACTTTTACTTTTACCTTTTTCTATCTATATTTCTATCTTTCTTCTTATTATTTGCTCGACAATCCCAATTTAATTTCGTATTTCACTATTTTTTCACCATATAATACATTGAATCATTCATCTTTGTTTTTTTAGTTAAAAATAAATTTCTTTTCCTCACTTATAATTGTTATCACCAAAAAGATGTTTTTTGAAATTCAGTTGACCATTTATTGTCATGCGATCGAAATTTAATTGTGATCGCGTCCTTCCAGGAAGTAAAAACTTCCACCATGGTAGCCCTTGGAAGTGATTTGACCAGAACTTGGCCTGCCAACGATCCTCGGTGCTCATTCATGTATAGACTCCATGGTAACGAGCGAATCACACTTGTAGCTCAAGCTAAAGTCACTCGCATAAAAACGTGCCAATGTCCCCGAACGGACATCCAGTGTAATTTAGTGTGGTTGCGTTCGGAAAATTCACGAAATGGAATTTTTTCAATTGCCATCATTAATCTTCATAGAAGACCCGTTAATGATGATGCGAATTTGAAAGAGTTTTTGGCCTGCTTGCTAACCCTCATTGCGTTGGTAGTGGAAGGGAAGACGCCGATGGAGCCCAATACGAACCAGTGGATGGGTTAGTGTGTGCTGGTGATTTCAATATTAGAAATGTTTATTCATCCGACTCTGTGAAAAGATCGAGGTTGGACAAGTGGGAACGAATTCTCAAGTTGATATTGGTTGAGTACAATCTGGTTCCCAATTCAGATGCGCCTACAATTGCCGATTGTTGTTTAGATTATGTTTGTGCGTCAACTAATCTTCAATTCGAATCTAAGGTCGATTTTCCTGATTTTGGATCAGATCATAAAGCTTCGGCCAGTATACATTTAAAAAAATCAGCCCGAAACTGGGTCAGGTCCTTAATAAGATATGAAAATTTAAAACCTGGTCCTTATCCCTTAAACCTTATCGGGAGGCGGAATAAATTTCCGTTGGAATTTTTTCTTGTGTTTAAAGTTTGGGCATCACCCATCTTTTTATGGTGAAACAATTAAGAGATGCTTAGTTAATTGTCTCATATCTTTGGAAGCACCAGAGTTATAAATTACTTCATAATTGATGAATGTGAGTCATTATGTGAGTAATGATTGACAAGCAATGACCAAAAAAAAAACTAAATATTATCAACAGAAAGTGAATCATTTATCTCAATATCAAGATCGGTTAATATTTGTAATATCAACTTATTTTCAAATCGATTAAAGCTAATGACTGATTCGTTTGACTTATTTTGTGAATTTGATATTGAAATCCTATAGACCCTGAGATGCAGAATTTCATGAAAATTATAATGCAATATCTAGATCAAGGCAGATTGCCTTGGATCGTTATCAGATCGATAACGATCCGAGTATTATTTTTCTTAGGAAGGCTAATTCCTTCCTCGAAGATCTAAATGTAATTGTAAATAAAACTATAGCTGGAATAGACCAGCTACAGTTATAACATTATCGTTAATGGAAAATACATCGATACTCTTACTAGTGAAGACCCCACGATAACACCGGCTTACAGAAATGTAAACTTATCATCGACGCATTTCGTAGTTAATGAAATTCTTGAGCCCTTAAATCAATTCTGTATCATTTGATAGAAAGTAATTATATTTCAATGTTCTAAATTATTAATAAATGTATAAATTGTATGAAAATCTAACATGCGGTATAATTTAACTCGGTTGGAATCCAAAAATGTCGAAAATTGTATCGAATATTAATTAAAGATTTTATGGAAACCGTCCCTCGAATTAAGCGCCATCTCTTGAGTGAAATGAAAGAAATTCTTTGTTTACTTTTTCATTTGAATTTCATTTTCTGTTTGTTAATGTTGATATTTTTGTGAAAGTTTTTGGACAGTCTTTGAGTCATAATAACCAGAGAAGAAAAGTTTAATCAATTATCAACTTTAATTGGTGAATTCATTGAATCTTTAAGAAATTTATAAGACAACTGCCTCCACCTGACAATTGTTACCATGGATGGTTTAGAGTTTGTAGATAACTCTACTCCAATAATAATTGCCGATATTGGAGGTTATTCCATTAAATATGGACTGAAAGATTCACCTGAATCTCCCCAAGTGATGCCGAATTCAGTGTTCAAGGTTAAAAGTGAAAGGAGAAGATTGTACATTGGAAATCAATTAGATGAATGCAAAGATTATTCTGGTTTATTTTACTTATTACCTTTCAATAAAGGTTTTCCAATCAATTGGGATGTCCAGCGACAAGTATTGGACCACGCTTTCTATAAGAATTTAAAAATTGAAGGTTCAAATAAAGAGAAAGTTTTCCTGTACACTGAACCATATTTCAACTTTCGACAGGTTCGGGAGACCATGTTGGAGGTACTTTATGAAGAATATGGATTTGGAACATTGGCCAAAAGTGTACCCGCTTTCCTTTCGATGGCTAAACATGTCCAACAATTAGATGATGATAAATGTTGTCTTGTAGTTGATTCGGGCTACTCATTTACCCACATTGTCCCATTTATTGGAGGTAAAATTGTCAAAGGTAAACAAATGATTTTTTCAATTTTCTTAATTTATTTTCATTTTCATCATCTTTGTATCTTTTTTGTTTAATCTCATTTTAAACAGGAGCAATTAGGAGGATTGATGTTGGTGGAAAAGCTCTCACTAACCATCTAAAAGATATTATATCTTATCGACAACTTCATGTTTTAGATGAAACCTTTGTGATTAACCAGTGTAAAGAGGATTGTTGTTATGTTTCAAATCAATTCACCGTTGATCTTGAGATTGCCAGAGAAAAACCTTCACCAATTGCCAGAGATTATATTTTACCTGATTTCATGACCATCAAGAGAGGTTACATTAGGGATGAAAATGATTCAATTAATTCCGATCTTCAATGTATTAGACTGAACAATGAACGTTTCCAAGTTCCCGAGATACTTTTCTATCCTTCTGATGTTGGTATTGATCAGATTGGTATTTCACATTCGATTGTCCATTCAATTGAATCATGTCCAGAAGAATATAGATTTAGTTTGTACAGTAATATTGTTCTTGTTGGTGGAAACGCTTCACTTCATGGATTTAGGGACAGAATCTATGGTGATGTCCGTTCAATGGCTGACTCGTTTTATGATGTAAATGTGACTCTATCTGAAAATCCAATCATTGATCCTTGGTTAGGTGGTAAATATCTGGTTAACAATTTACCAACCATCATGGATAATTTATGTCTCACAAAGAAAGAATATGACGAAATTGGACCACTCAACAGTATTGGAAGAATGGAATTACCAGTTTTCAATTTATCTTCTGAATCTTCAGCTCCCAATTCTGATGATGAAAATTTGTGAAGAAAATTATGAATTAAGAATTAATTGATTGGTTTGAAAAGCGAAATTGGTAAGCATTTGATTTCGATTCGATTTTCTCAAAAGGGTTGACAATGATTCTTAATAATTGTTGATCTACTCATTTGGAATTTAACTTTTCTTTTCTTCTTTTCTAATTTTAATCAATCATCGCCATCATCATTGTCATCTTCATCTTCTACATCATCACAAACAGCAACAAAAACAATCAGACGACAACAAAATGGTCACATAACTATTAAGTCGCCAAAGAATAAGCAACAAGAATCAGAATTAGCTTATTCTCCTGGTGATCATTTGGGTATTTTTCCAGAAAATTCACCAACCCTGGTTAAAGGGATTCGATCACGTTTGAATAATATTGACTTTACCACAGTCTATCAAATTATGGTTCGTAAATCGGGCGATGATAATTCCAGTGGTTCCAATGATGAATAAGCTCCACAACAATTATTAACCTCTTTTTGTAAGGACAATGGTCAGAAAAGTTTAATGGAGAAACTGGCAAATGATAGTGAACGTTATGAGGAATGGAAAGCTCATCAATATCCAAATTTATCGGAACTTTTAACTCAATTTGATTCACTTGATCCTTCACCGGAAATCATCCTAACTCAACTATTTAATTATAAAATCAATTATCTTTCAAAAGTATTATCAATAATATACTCAGTTTTATTATCCGAAAAAGATATTACTGAAATGTGAACATTCATATTAATAATCTAATGAATGAAGATAATGATGCTTATTTTAATGTGAGACAATTTAATTAGAATGGTGTTAATCGTTGATTATCTTTCTCTTTATCCCAATCTCATTTTACATGAAATTTAACCAAGTTTCCAACAAGGTTTTCTTAAATAACTTTTTTTCGTTTTTGAGTATTTAGACCTCAGACTAGAGTTTGGGTGATAATCAATTGAAACACCATAAGTATCAAATCTTAATTGTTAACCAATTAAAACTTTCAATGGCTGACTTGTTGAATCAATTTCGTGCAATCGTAATGATAATTTCCTTAATTAACGGAATAATTATCAAACATGAATAATAATAAAATACTGACAAAAGTGAAAGAAACAATTTATATAAATACAAGTGGAATAATTAAATGAAGAGGAAAATAAAAGTCCAAGTTAAAAGTTCATAATTTAGTTAATGAGTAAACTAAAATATACAGCCAAAGACTTTGAGTTTGCACCCACTTTTTAAATCATTCACGCAGGTAAAGATAATCAATTAGAGATAAAGTTAACCCAGAGATATGATGTTAAGTTTGTCCACTAATTTAAGTGATTTAGTCTTAAAATGGTCAATTGATTAGATATCAAAAGTTATCTTTACTTGCTTATCATTAACTACGTGAATGATTTAAAAAGTGGGTGCAAACTTAAAGTCTTTGGCTGTATAATCAATTTTGCGAAGTTACGATTCGGTATCAGTGTAATGACAAATGTTCATTTATTTTGGTAGGTAATCTTCTTGTTAGGATCATAAGGTGTGTCGTGGATCAGGTTGTGGTTCCAAGAGCTCTCTAAGTTCTGGAAAGTTCACTTTTACTACTGAACTTACCTAGTGGATGATCAAACATTTATCCAAGTGTAAATAAAGTTAATTTCCGTTAGTAAGTGTTTCCGTATCCTAAATCAATTAAACGTACCTCTATTCTAATGAGATAATATTTAATCATTTGCAGGTATTATTTTTCCAGAAAATTCACTAACCCTGGTTAAAGGGATTCGATCACGTTTGAATAATATTGACTTTACCACAGTCTATCAAATTATGGTTCGTAAATCGGGCGATGATAATTCCAGTGGTTCCAATGATGAATAAGCTCCACAACAATTATTAACCTCTTTTTGTAAGGACAATGGTCAGAAAAGTTTAATGAAAAAACTGGCAAATGATAGTGAACGTTATGAGGAATGGAAAGCTCATCAATATCCAAATTTATTGGAACTTTTGTCTCAATTTGATTCACTTGATCCTCCACCGGAAATCATTTTAACCCAACTGTTTAATATTAATAATAAGAGTATTGAGAGTCTTAATAATAAAACCAATTCTTAATTTTAATAAGATCTTTTTTAAGAGTATTGTCAATAATACTCAGTTTTTATTATCCGAAAAAAAATATCAATGAAATGTGAACATTCATATTTATAATCTAATGAATGAAGATAATGATGCTTATTTTAATGTGAGACAATTTAATTAGAATGGTGTCAATCTTTGATTATCAGTCACTTGTTGATTATCTTTCTCTTTATCCCAATCTCTTAATTTAACTGTATCTTCATTTTTCTGATATTGTTTGGCCATAAGTTTCTGGATATTGAGAAAAGGCGATTAATGTGATGATTCAATTCATGATATCTGATTATTTACCAGAAATTTTAAAGTTTAAAAGTGAACTTTAAGAATAAAATAAACACGATAATTGGTCCCTTGAATAAATACTGAATCATTTTATATCTAGAAAGTGATTTTATTTCAATATTTTAAATGAAAATGATTGAATTTAATTTTATAAAAATTTCATATGCGGCATAATTTCATTCGGTTGAAATCCAAGCATTAATTTGAATATTAATTGACATGATATCTATTTTCATTAGTAAAGTGTGATTACTAAAAATCTGGACTAACTTTGAAGTTGTCCAGGCTTTGCGTTCATGCCAATTTATTTTGAAGATTTCATGCCTTCTCCACCTTAAGTTTACTTATGAGATTCATGGTTGGATCAGACTACTTTGATGACGTTGAATCGGGTAACTATCAACCCGCTTCACGAGCTGAGGCTGAAGAGCATTTGAATAATATGTTTTACAACATGATTAAACCTGATGAAAACATCACCGATGAATTGAATTACATTTACGATTATTATTTCGAGGGTACAACCGATAATGACACTTGGTCATTGAAGGAGCGATTCAGTCAACTTATTGATGATAATGTTTACCAATGTCCATTGTTATTGTTCAATGAAAAATGGACTATTTTGCCCTTTATAAGAAGGATGAGATACTCGCGGATGTACAGATTTACATTGTGTATCTGATTTATAACTTCGTCGTGAGACGGCAGAGGAAAGAAGAAAGACAGAGGATAGAATGGAAGAGAAAGGAAAGAAAAAGCTCTCAACGTCATTAGAACTGATTACAAACTTCAAGACTCGAAGCGTGGGATGCGATTTCCCCAACTCGAGTATATGAGTATATAAATCTCACGAGAGATGCCAATTTTGTCTTTCCCTTTCTTTTTTCCTTTTTTCCCTTTTTTCTTACCATTTTATGGTGCCTCTTTCAATGAATCATTGTAACATTTGAACAAACACGAATAGTCATTGATTGATTTACAATTTACTTGTTGAGTTTAATAAAATTATCCCAACTCATGGTGGATATTTGATCAGTTACCAGAAATTTTCAGTATAAAAGGTGAGCTTTCAAACGATAAGTTATCAGTTCAATTCTCTAGTAAGTTGTTATCATTTAATTAAATTGTTATTAAGTGAAATCAAAACTAATAATGAAAGTTTTTAAATTCTCAACTTTCTTCTTGATCGTGATGGTTCATCAAGTTATCTCTACATTAGCTTATACTCTTACTACATTAGCTCCAGTTGAAGTAACTACAAAGAATGCTTATACTATTACTACACTTTCTGATGAAGAATATAAAAGAAAATGTCTTGATGGTACTGCTGGTGGCACCATTGCTTGTGGTCGATTTATCCCGTCGACCACATTACCTCCAGTTGAAATAACTACAAAGAATGCTTATACTATTACTACACTTTCTGATGAAGAATATAAAAGAAAATGTCTTGATGGTACTGCTGATGGCACCATTGCTTGTGGTCGATTTACCACAACGACCACTTTAACCATGTAGAATCCAAATTTTATTCCAGATGCATCCACTTCTTGTGTTTGAAGTCCGAAACTGACCTACCTGCTCAAGATGACATCCGCGCAGAATTTAGAAGATTTACTGCGAAAATTATTCGATTATTGTTAACATTGTAAAACTAATGATCGAAAATAAAGAAGCAAATTGATAAATTATTTATTTGTATTTAATACTAAATTATTTAATATTCCTATTTATATTTAAAAATAATAATAATTATCGATTTTTTTGGTATCTGATTTGAACCAATAAGTTTGGTACTTTCTCTCTCTTTCTTTTTTTCTTTTTTATTCGGTTACTTAGCTCAGACGTTACTGTCACTGAAGAAAGTTTAGTTTATTCGTCTACTTCGTTAAGAACAAAGGAGCTGCGAGTGCATGGAATCATCAACAATGAAATCAAGCCTATCGCTAACTCCACTACTAATAATTCACGGATTTTCCTGTCTCCATATTTATAGGGTTACAAAAAAATACAAATTCCAAGTTATCATCCACATGATCATGATCACCTTCGTTATACATTGTATTAATGTTATCTACTTTGTCTTGTAAAAGTCAGTCCCACTTCCCTTTCCTTTTAGTCAACATTAAAGTTCTTGTTTATTATATAATTGTGATTATTGTTTTATTAATATATAAATTAATATTAGATAATATTTAAGGCGAACTTCGAATCTTCCGATTCGCAATCTGTTGAGTGAAATGAAAGAAATTCTTTGTTTACTTTTTCATTTGAATTTCATTTTCTGTTTGTTAATATTTTCGTGATAGTTATTTTCTGGACAGTCTTTGAGTCGTAATAACCAGAGAAGAAAAGTTTAATCAGTTAACAACTTTAATTTGTGAATTGATTGAATCTTTAAGAAATTTATTAGACAACTGCCTCTACCTGACAATTGTTACCATGGATGGTTTAGAGTTTGTAGATAACTCTACTCCAATAATAATTGCCGATATTGGAGGTTATTCCATTAAATATGGACTGAAAGATTCACCTGAATCTCCCCAAGTGATGCCGAATTCAGTGTTTAAGGTTAAAAGTGAAAGGAGAAGATTGTACATTGGAAATCAATTAGATGAATGCAAAGATTATTCTGGTTTATTTTACTTATTACCTTTCAATAAAGGTTTTCCAATCAATTGGGATGTCCAGCGACAAGTATTGGACCACGCTTTCTATAAGAATTTAAAAATTGAAGGTTCAAATAAAGAGAAAGTTTTCCTGTACACTGAACCATATTTCAACTTTCGACAGGTTCGGGAGACCATGTTGGAGGTACTTTATGAAGAATATGGATTTGGAACATTGGCCAAAAGTGTACCCGCTTTCCTTTCGATGGCTAAACATGTCCAACAATTAGATGATGATAAATGTTGTCTTGTAGTTGATTCGGGTTACTCATTTACCCACATTGTCCCATTTATTGGAGGTAAAATTGTCAAAGGTAAACAAATGATTTTTTCAATTTTCTTAGTTTATCTTCATTTTCATCAACTTTTTTTTAATTTCATTTTAAACAGGAGCAATTAGGAGGATTGATGTTGGTGGGAAAGCTCTCACTAACCATCTAAAAGATATTATATCTTATCGACAACTTCATGTTTTAGATGAAACCTTTGTGATTAATCAATGTAAAGAGGATTGTTGTTATGTTTCAAATCAATTCACTGTTGATCTTGAGATTGCCAGAGAAAAACCTTCACCAATCGCCAGAGATTATATTTTACCTGATTTCATGACCATCAAGAGAGGTTACATTAGGGATGAAAATGATTCAATTAATTCCGATCTTCAGTGTATTAGACTAAACAATGAGCGCTTCCAAGTTCCCGAGATACTTTTCTATCCTTCTGATGTTGGTATTGATCAGATTGGTATTTCACATTCGATTGTCCATTCAATTGAATCATGTCCAGAAGAATATAGATTTAGTTTGTACAGTAATATTGTTCTTGTTGGTGGAAACGCTTCACTTCATGGATTTAGGGACAGAATCTATGGTGATGTCCGTTCAATGGCTGACTCGTTTTATGATGTGAATGTGACTCTATCTGAAAATCCAATTATCGATCCTTGGTTGGGTGGTAAATATCTGGTTAACAATTTACCAACCATCATGGATAATTTATGTCTCAACAAGAAAGAATATGACGAAATTGGACCACTCAACAGTATTGGAAGAATGGAATTACCAGTTTTCAATTTATCTACTGAATCTTCAGCTCCCAATTCTGATGATGAAAATTTGTGAAGAAAATTATGAATTAAGAATCAATTGACTGATTGGAAAGGCGAAATTGGTAAACATCCGATTTCGATTCAATTTTCTTTGAAGGGTTGACAATGATTCTTGTTAGTTAATTGTTTGATCTTTTCATTTGGAATTTGATTTTTCTTTTCTAATTTAAATTGTAATTGTTTTTTATTCTCTCTGCTCTCTTTGCAGCTCTTGCCAAAAGCTCTAATCGAAAGGTGATTCCCTTCCGTTTGGTCTCAACGGTTGCTCTTCATAAAGGAGGTGATAAACAACGACAAACAATAAGAGTTATTCTTGAATTGGATAAACAATATCAGTCGAAATTGTTAGCCGATCAATCATCTTCATCATCAGTGTCATCATCTTCTTCTACATCATCACAAACAGTAACAACAACAACAATCGGACAGCAACATTCACATAACGATTAAGCCGCCAAAGAATAAGCAACAAGAATCAGCCAGCGATTTCTCATTAGCTTATTCTCTGGGTGATCATTTGGGTATTTTTCCAGAAAATTCACCAACCTTGGTTAAAGGGATTCGATCACGTTTGAATAAGATTGACTTTACCATAGTCTATCAAGTTATGGTTCGTAAATCGGGCGATGATAATTCCAGTGGTTCCAATGATGAATATGCTCCACACGAAAAGTTATTCAATCTCATCTTCCAACAAATATTACACTTGGACATCATCGAAATCATCATCGTCATCATCATCACTTCCTACCAAAACAACAATAACATCGAGTAACAACATTAATAACAATCTAATCAGCAGCAATAATATTTCATCATCTTCTTCTACTGGCACTTTAACTGTACAAAATTCTGTATCAACCCAATGGTCACTCCATCATCAGATAAAGATATTAATGAAATATTAAAATCCATATTTATAATTTAATGAATGAAGATGCTGATGCTGATTTTAATGTGAGATAATTTAATTAGAATGGTGTTAATTGTTGATTATCAGTTACTTGTTCATCTCTCTCTCTATTCCTCCGGGACGAAATCATTGGAAGACTTTCGGAAACCAAAATCATAATCCGTATCATCTTCGCTTTCCTCTAAAAAATAATAAATAAATAATGTTTAACAAGAACCAAGAAATTGTTTAAAAATAAAAAAGATCAGTTTGTAGTAATTAGTAATTCTACTTATTTAAAGAGTTCAATTAGACAATTAATTTAAAAGAAACTTTTATTCATAGATTTAATTGTGACTCTTCTTCTTAACTTACGCATAAATAAAATGGGCCGATTCTTCGTAAACATTGACATCAGCATCTAGATTCTTCATTTGGTCTTTAATTTTTGCTGGCGTTTTATTGCGATTATGAAGAGTATTCGAAAACCTTACAAGACCAATACTTTTGCCGATCAACAGGAAAATAGTTGAAAGCACGAAGATGAAGATAACACTTGAAAATTGACAAGAACTCATTTCATTTATAATCGTATTAACTGACACTGGTGGCTAATAATTATGACAATACTTCTAAGCTTCTAAACCCGACAAATTAACGTTTATGTACTTAAAATTCTCTGATGGCTGATTAAACAAATTATTCTGAAGGTAGAACAAGTAAATTCGTTCAACTTCATTTTGATGCACTTTGATTGCTGTATAAATATTATGACAAATAAGTGATAACTTACAATGGTTAATGTTAGTTAATATTAACTTTCTTCAAATTAACATTGCGTTGAAATGTTTACCATTAGAAGATAATTTGACTTTGAATTTTTCACTAGTGTTTAACATGATCATTATCACTTTAATCATCTATATTATCCCAATGAATCTGGGATAATGTATCTGCATCTTTAGCTAATTGATTAGGTTGATTGTTTGATGAATATTTTGTGTTTGCATAAAATTTTCTTTTTTCAATTCTAGAATTGAACATCGATCAAATTATTATAATGTTCGTGTATTCATACAAGTTACTGAATTGAAATCAATGTTGACATGAACTCAATCGGGATAATTATTTGAATTTTGTATTTTTAAACTAAAAAACATTGTGAACATTCATATTAATAATCTGTAGTGAATCAAGATAATGATGCTTATTTTAATGTAAGATAATTTAATTAGAATGGTGTTAATCGTTGATTATCAGTTACTTGTTGTTTATCTTTCTCTTTATCCCAATCTCTCAATTTAACTGTATCTTCATTTTTCTGATATTGTTTAGCCATAAGTTTCTGGATATTGAGAAAAGGCGATTCAAATAGTAGAGCTGAAAGGACACCAAGTATTTGAGCCAAAAACCAATGGGAGATGAACATGTTAATCTAAATAGAGGAAGATGATAATTTGATTAATCAATGGAAGTTATCTTTATATTTGTACTAAACTTACTCCAGTATAAGTGCTTGTATAAGACAATTCCCGTCTCGACCCCATGTATGTCCAAATAAGAAGCATATGGGTCAAGTAAACTGTGTACGAAATCTTAGCCAATGGTCCGAAAATGGGTAAACTTAGGAAACGGCCGATTGGACCACCATGACCAGAAGCCGATGAATAAATTATCCATGATAATGAAAGTGACCATAATATACGATTGGTACAGTCGAAGAGGGTATTCAACTCTCGTGGCCAAGTTTTACCCAATGTTAGTGGATAGGGTACATGAAGTACTCCGAAAATGATGACCAGTGTCAAGATCCATCCCAAAATGGACATTGTTTTGGTCATTTTTGGGAATCGTTTTCTTGCCAGCAAATATCCAAGATGCAGACCAATGAAAAAAGGTGGACCATGTAGATGAGGTTTCCAAAAATGTCTAACCACTAAATCATACCAGTACTCCCTGTAAAGAATCACCAATAGACCAACAGATTTATTAACAATTTAAACACTTACAATGGTCACTAGTTAACTTACTCAACCTGAGGAAACGTCGGTAAAATAGCCGGTGGATAATCATTAACGTAACTAATGATTCCCGATATTATTGTGAAAATCGTTATGAGTAAAATGTTGATTGTGATCCCAAGTTTTTTACTCCTCATCAGGGGAACCAGAATTACCAAAGATATTATATGGAAAATCATATCATTAGATAACCACCAAGTTATTGGTAAACACTTGATTAGTAAAAAATGAAAGAATTAAGTCAATAACTAAGATAATTTCCTGAAACTGACCAATTCATTGGACTGAACTCACCATTTCATCGGGTTTGTAAAATGCTTGAATATAAAGTAAATTAACCCACCAATTTTTTTCGCAATTTTTTCCCACCGGTGCAACAAACTCATTCCACAATGGGCCCGAGCCCATTAGCGGTAAAAATAAGGTCAAACACATAGCGGTCACCAGGCTAGGGGTCAATCGAGTATAACGGGAAACAATGAACCAGAATGAATTGAACTTATCGTAAACACCATCAGTTGTTTTCCAGGTGATATAAGAAGTCAATAAACCACTGGACAAACGAACGGAAAAATGACCAATTCAATTAATACAAATCTATCCAAACAATTAGTCTAATTGTCTTACCTGATTAGGAAAAACGTATCAACTGAGAAAGTTACATTGAGCAAGGCTTGAGCTCCGAAAGGTTTAATTACATCAATGATATTAAATGAGTGACCTTTAAAAGTCCAATAAATTTTGATACGAAAAAAATGTAAACATAATTGCTGCGATTATTATCAATTGTTGTTGGACTAATTACTTACTAAATGCTTGATAGTGAATCCAAACTGATGTATGTCCAAATATAATCCAGGCCATTGTGATGGATCTGATTCCGTTCAAACATTTGAGCTCAGAATTTGTGGTTTCCATTTTAAACAGCGAATCAAAGTTTCGCCGTAAAGAAAAAGCAAATAGAATCGACTTGAAAAAAGTTAATCGTGATTCTGAATAAACAAAATTAGAATTGAAATTAAAATCATTACAATTATCAATCAATAAGATTGAAGTTTCATCTTCAATTGTTGATTAGTCAATAAATGAATTGGCTAATTGTAAACACGAATCTCGCCACAAGTTAATCGTGATAAGTTACTTAATGTAGTTAAATTGTTTATTATTGTTTGATTGTTGATCTAATTGATTGGCTAACTATGAATGTTAATTTTTACTTCAATCACAATCAATTCTAAATCTAATTATATTTCAATAAATCTTAATAACTAAAATTCCCATTGAAATGATTTAGATGGTAAAGTTGATTGAATCTTGATGATTTAATAATGAATTGTTATTCAATCATCAATATATTGATTGTTGATGAGATAATTTGAACAATATTGATTGCAATTGTTACCTGATTTGATTAATAGCTCGGCCAGTGTACCAATCAGTGTAATCGTAAGTATGATTAATATAATGGATCTTTAAGTTGATTGCCAGAAAAATAGAATTAGTTAATTGTCTGTTGATTGACATCCGTTTTCTTTTAGTTAGTAAATTGTTTGAGTGATTTATTGTTGATTATTTGAAAATTTCTATGGATATAATTTTGATTTACTTTTTCTCGTTAATCAATTGATTCAATTTTCTTTCAACAATTGAAATGAAAGTTTAATGAACCATGAATTCAAATTGTAACAAGTTAATTAAACTTACAGAGCAATTGTTTGGTGGTAATTAAGTCCAATCGTTGTTGTTGATTTACTTTCACAATTAATTAAATCACCTTTCAAGTACATCCCTTGGGCAACTATAATTATTATGAAATTGTAACAATTAAAAATTAAATTCTTCTCATAAAATATTGATTAATTACTTACTAGTTTGTACCATTGATTTGATTTCATCTTGATTACAATGAGTTGTCAAACAAATACCAACCCTTAATTGTGTATAATAAAAAAATTGTGACTTTGATTTAAGGTAATCAACTGCCTGGAAAAGATAAACAATTTAAATTGTTAATGATTTTTTTATAATTTCCAACAATTAACCAATACAATTGATTGGAAAGTTTTGTATTGTCAAAAGTTACACTCGAGCCCAATTGAGACAAAAACAACAAGTTAATCACAATTAACTTGAAGTTAACCAAGTGTTCCAATGGCTTACAATTTATGGTAATTAAACCAATCGATTGTTAATTGTGATTGATTGATAGCTTACATTATTATTAATTGATGATCGAGGAATCGTTTGAAAGATACTTGGTCTATCAAGGATATTATGGAATCGAGGACGATGAGGTAACATTGGACGAAACGAAACTGAACAATATTGAGTTGCGAACGTTGAATTGATTGGAATCACATTTAAACACTGATCGTATGAACCAAATGAAGTTGTGGTTCCACTGAATAATCCAGGGGGTGGGAATCGTCCCCATGAATCGAGAGCTTTGAATGAAAGAGAGAAGTTGATAAATGACCAATGTCCGAAAAATATTTTCTTCACTTACTTTGAATAGCCCAAGTTTTTTTAGCTTCACCAGAATCGAGTAGAAACTTTAATCCATTAGCACATTTAGTTGATAAAACTGATTTACTTATAATCTCATTGTAATTATTTGCTAATCCTGAGGTATACAGATTAAGATCAACCTTAATCTCATCTCGATAAGCATTCCAAGCTGAGATAACTAAATCAAAATCAGCTCGACCATTAGTTGTATTTGAAATGGCTGCAGCTAATTCACTTGAGTAACAATTAACTGTACTAATAAAGATCCAGATTAAACTGATCACATATAAAGTAAACACAATTAACTTCATTTTCAACCAATTAACATATCAATTATCAATGATTAATATCAAGATAAACTTTCACTCTTGAGATTAACGTTAATTGCTACAATCATTGTTTCTTGATTGTTATGGTTTTGTAAAATAAGTTGTAAGTGACCATTGGAAGTGAAAAAAAATAACAACACCAAATTGTAGATGAAGATGATAAATGAAGATGATAAAAAGGCGTAACCAATAGTGACCTTCTTATAATATCTTATTCCAACAGTGATATTGTTCATTGTTATCATCTTCCTCATCTTCATCCTCATCCTCATCATCATCTCCCTGTTGTTATCATCCTTTGTTCAGGTAACACTAAAAAAAGTTACCTGTTTTTTAAAATGTATTATTGTTATGAATTAAGTGCTAATTGTCAATAGTTAGTTAATTTTTTTGACTTATCCTCCTCATCATTATCACCATTATCATCTTCATCATCATTTTACTTCTCTCTCTCTCTCTCCCTCTCCCTCTCTTCCTCTTCCATTATCATATACCTTGATTGCTTTGGAATTGAAAGGAAAAAAAACTTTTTCTACCAAAACAATTAACCATTACAATTGAATTGTATTGATGAGTTACTTATATTTTCTGAAAATTGTTGATTAATTATTTTAAATGGTTAACCTTATCTACGTAGACAATTAACACTAATTAACATTAATTTTTCTTGTTGTGTATTCTTAGCAATTTGATTGTTGGCAAATTGAACTTTCTAAACTTTGTTAATTTGTTTGGGTCAGTTGTATGTCTTGTTATTGGTCAATCAATTGGTTTCATCTTAATTGTGAAAAAAAAACTTGTTATACATTGTTATTGTACTATTAATAGATTTGAACAATTGTTGTTTAATTGTTACTGTATTGTCCAAATAGTATGTTCATCGTGAATGACAAATTAATAAATCACCATCACAGGTATTAAGTCAATATTTAATTGTTCAAATTTTTCGGGTCAATTCATTTTTTTCATGATTCTTCTGTTCATTTGATTACATTGTTAATCATTGTGATTCATATTGTTGATTGAAAACTTTTTAAGTTTCCATTAGACACTAATGCTTATTGTTAATATTAGTTATTGATTAGAAAAAGGTAAAATTCAAATTACGTGGTTAACTCAATTTGACTAATAAAAATTAAAATAATTACTATAGTTATCATCACCTTAGCTAATTAAGTAATTGTAAGTTTCGATAATTAATTCTTTCGATAGGTGAATTCATTCAAGGTTGATCAGAAACTTTATTATTATTGTGATACTTTACTTTTAATACCTGGTTGGCAGTAAATTTTGAAGACGACCAACTCATGAAAGTTAATCTTTGCAATTAGAGTATTAACTAAGTTAATGGTTACCTCAATTTTTGTAATTTGTAATAATTCGTTGTTTAATCATGATCAACATACAAAATATGATCAACTCGGAACTATTAGTTTCTGGTTGATCAACCCAGCAAAAGCAGATTGACCTTAGTTGGGTCTTTTCAATGATCAAAATATGATCAACTAGCATCAATAACTAGTTTTAATTGTTATTTCTAATATGATCACAATATGATCATCTTGAATCTAATAAATTTCGGTTCATCAACAATCAACTACAATTGAATACTAGTTTTAATTCGCTTTTGACTTACCTTTTTGCAAAGATTGACATTTTATCGAAGGACTGACCTTGTGGCGATTGGACAGAATTTGAATCCAAATGAAGCAAGTTTTTGCCTAAGATTTTCATCTTCATCACAATTCATTTTATTTATTGTTGATGTAAAGGAAAACAACGGTTGAAAGATTAATATGGAGATGACAGTGAGAAGGTGAGTATGAAGTGGAAAGGTAGATATGGAAGTGACAAGGTGAATATACAAGTGAGAAGATGAATATAGAAGATGAGGCGGAGAATCAAATGCGTCCACATTTTGGAAGGTCGTATTGCATCAACTCTTTCCTGGAATGGTCCAAGTATTTATTTGTTCTCGGGTATTTTATTTCAGGGGTTAGTTTGTCTCACTGATTCTTTTTGAAAGCCGCTGAGACTCATCTAAAGAAGATAAGATGAAAAGATTAGGATCATATATAAATATTATGAATATAAGTAGTAATAGAAGAAGAAGTAGAAGAAGAAGTAGAAGAAAAGCTTACCTTTCTTAGTGGATGGTCTTTACAACAATGACAACTATGAACCTTTATGAATAAATGATAAATAGATTAGACTTGAACTTGTTTTAATACCCTGACCGGTACCATATTAGCTTTCCCCCGAACGCCACCAACATCAAGTTCCTTGGTACCTTTATGATATTTACAAGCATTCATATGCCGAATCACATCAGAAATTGTGGAAAACTGTCTCGAACAATATCCACATCCAAAGGTCTCGATTGCTTTACTCTGGATAAATTCCTCCTCGAAAGGGACCCCAGGCTTAAGTTTTCTTGAGATGGGTGCATTTTCATCATCGGCTTCATCAACGATTTGGATATTCGATGACTTGACATAATGAGGTCGATGAGGCAACAATAGCTTCCTCAATCACCACACAGAGAAAAAGGAGTTGGCCATAAACTAAAAAGCGATTATATACCTAAACGCGAAGAAGAGAAAAAAAGTTAGATATGTGTATTTGAACAACCAAAATATTTATTCAAATGAACTTACATCGCAATCGCGCTTCCTTTCGGACATTTTGATCAATTGAATTGATTTAGTTTAATTACGATTTATACAAAAAATTTCATTTCAATGTACTAGCTAGTCTGGAATCAGTGCCTATTTGTTTTATTCAGCAGCCTAATTGGCCTTATGATAAACTTGTTAAACGACTAACGATGAAGATTCATTTGTCTTAAATACTAATTTCGGCTTTTCTATTCCGCTTTCATCTTTTCGTTAAAATCATTTGTGGTTCTTAGAGCAGTTTTTGCCCGAAGTGGCCTTTGAATAAAAAACTGGCACTGGTAAACACTAGATCCTTTAGCTATCTTTGCTTTGAACTTTCTAGTTTTTTAACGATAGTCTCGCCGAATTGAATTCCACTGGGTCTTGATCTTACACATTGTATTTGTGAGATATCAATAATGTACACATTTTCAGCTGTTTACAACCAAGTTGATTTCACCAGAAACTCATTTGCGTCTTCAATGTATGATAATATAGAAACATCATGAAGAAGATTACAAATTCTTGTTAAGGCCTAGAAATATAATTAAGTAAAAAAACTCGACTTCGTCACTTAAGAAATTTGATACAAAATCATGTTATCATTATGGATGATGAAAGTTACTTCGATCTGGAAGGATTCAATTTCTATGATGCATATCGATTCGCATTCGCATTCGATCATATTTTCATCTAACAAAAGGGGCTTTGAATTCTGAATTATATTCTCGTCAGTGTTTGAAGAGAGATTAATTCCTTGGATAAAAAAAGTTCATAGTGATGATAAGGTGCTATTTTGGCCTGATTTAGCGAGTTGTTACTATGCAAAAAATACATTAGAAACGTTAGAGGGCGCTAGTGTCAACTTCGTTCCTAAAGATGAAAATCCCCTAATTGTCCGCAATTGAGGCTCATCGCAGACTTTTGGGCTAATTGAAAATGTTTGAAAAGTTTTTTCTGGAGGTTGGATACCAAATAGCAAAAAAGATCTAATTAATCGAATTAGAAATAAGCTCAAAACATTCGATCAAAGTTATTTCGACGAATATACAGAAAAAATTAAATCTAAAGTGATTGAAACTGATCGGTTCAGATTAAACGAGTTAATTCACTAGTATACACTCAAATCTATCTTTGTGAGAGAAAAATTGTTTCTATGTTAATTATTTCTCGAGAAATCAACAATAAAAAAAATTCTCATTTTTATTCCCTTAATTTCTTACGTTAATAGCACACATATTCCTGAATTTAATCAGTGAGTAAAGCTTCAAATATATTAATAATGGGTAACTTCCATCGTTACTGATAAATTATCCTTTTTGCGTCAACTGTGTTCGCTGTTATTATTTTAAATCAAATATAAAATGGATTTCTCGCCTTGTTTAGTTACAATTCACCATCATCATAATTTCATTGATTTTCTTGTTGATTAACGGAAATGAAGCAGTGGAAAAGATTCAAAGTGTTCGAAAGAGCGAGTTCTAAGCTTTAAAATGAAATCAATCTAATAATAAGAAAATCTTATCTTCTAATATCTAATACAATAAAATCAACAATAAAAAGAGTGCAAAAACTTTTGTAGATACCTAATAGTTATTCATTGGGAAAAGTTTAAATTCAAAATTTGTGGTCAAAATTTTGTATTCAATGAATGGTCAACACAATTTGACTAATAAAATTTAAAATAATTACTATCGTTATCATCGCCTTAGCTAATTAAATAATGCAAATGTTTCGATTTCACAAAATGATTACTTTTTCACACCTAAATGCTTGTTAATCATCGTGATGATTTCAGTTAATCATTTCAACAATGAAAACTTTTCAATGTAATAGATGATAAAACAATTTGAACGATCAATTTAAACTTGATTTATGATTTATTTATTATAAAGTAATCATGATCATGATTAACTTGAGTTAATTTTGTCTGGATGTTGTGATGATAATAGTTGAGAAGATGAATAAGAAAAAAAGTTCTTGGGCTCTTATTGATCTAATTCGTGAACCGTTTACTCAATTAGCCCAAAAAAAAACTGTTTTAATTACGTTTAAAGATTTCAAAAAGTTAATTGTTACTACAAATGAGCGAAACTATTAATAAATCACCTCGATTTTAGTTCTTTCATTTAAATCACGCGCGAATGCAATCGACCAACTTTATTTTCTAATCTCGTCAATAGATGTCACTAGTTTTTATTTTTTCGAAAATTTTGACAAAATCAAAACAAACAACCGATTAAAAAGGTTAATTAAATAATTATTTGTCAATAAGATACATGATCATGTTTTACTAAATTGATGGACTGAAAATTTTTGATTGAAAGGATAAAGTTTAAGAAGAAAATGTGTTAAAGAAGATGGAACATGATAAAGAAAAGGAAGAAGACGAAGACGAAAAAGATAAACAAAATGAGGAAGAGGATAAAAAGAGAGATAGAAAACCGAAACTGTGACAACAAAGAAAATATTCAAAAGGAAATGTAAATCAATATGGTGAGCTGATTATCCAAATCGAGGAGAAAAAAAGAAAAACAAATAATTAATATGTAACTCTACAAGTAACGTTATTGAACTTGAAAGATTTCAGGTAAGTAGAAAAATACAAATAAATGAATGAGATAAAAAGAGAGAGAAAGAAAGAGAGAGATACATGAAGAGATACTTTCGATGATGATTCAAAGAGAGAGATGAAAGAGATGAAAGGTGTGGTCTGTGTGAAGCTCAAAAGAGTTGGTGGATGAAGATAATATAATGATTTTGATGGAACTTCATTTTTAGTTTGCTTCATCGAAAGAGAGATGATGGAGAAAAAGACAGAAAGATAGACAGAGAAAGAAGATGAACAGACGAAGATGAGAGAGAAAGAGAGGGAAAAATATTAGATTTGAGACGAAAGATGAAGAAGAAGATGAAGATGAGGATGATAAATGCTCCCTTGGAACCTCCTCTTCAATAGGACCTTTAATATGTTTACCAGTTTTTCGTTCTCAGTGTCACTTGTACCTGTCAACAAACAATCATCAAGCTGATTTTTTCTCAACTTCCAGTAATCGACAATCAACAAAATTGTTTCTCTTTTTTAATAATCTCTTCATTGTTTCTCTCACTCTCTCATCTTCTCATTTTGTGTCAACTTTTTATCACCATAATAATCAAGGTAACCGGTGAATCTATTGCAACGTTAATCTTTGTTTTCTTTTCCCAAATTTTCCTATTCTATTGACCGATTTTGTTTTTGTTTTGTTTTTGTTTTCATTTTTTTTTCTAATTCATTTTTCTCTATCTAAAGGATTAAATCATGTGGTCAGGAACAGTTGGTCTTGTTAATGGTCAACACAAATATCTAACTGCTGAAACCTTTGGATATAAAATTAACGCCAATGGAGTTGCTCTTAAAAAGAAGCAGCAATGGTCAATTGAACCTTTCCCTTTATCCGGTGGGTCAACTGTTGGTTCCAATGGGGCAAATGGAACCGCTGCTGCCGCTGCGGGTTCGCTCGATGAATTAGCTGAACTTGAAATTGTCGCTCTAAAATCGCATCTTGGTTGTTACCTTGAGGTTGACAATTTTGGAAATGTAATCTGTGAAAACAAGGAACGATCGGAAGGAGCCCGTTTCATCATCAACATTTGTGTCATGTCCAATGAGAAGGGAGTCTGTAAGTAACTATCTCGTCATCATCATCATCATTATCATCTCCCCATGATAATCATAATAATTCCCATGATAGTTGAGTTGTTTTCTTTTCACAATATCTCTTAGAATCAAAGTTCTAAATTTCCTGTTCCATGTTAAAGATTAATCAGATTCTTCTATTCAATTTCCATGTTTTCCTCTTCTTTTTTCATTACTATTTCTTCAATTCTACTGAGAAGAAAAAATTCTGATTCGACTCGAATTTGTTTCCATTAGAAGTACCATGAAATTCAAAAGGCAAAGGGTTCATTCACCTGGTTCCTTTTCCTTTTTTTCTTCATGATGATGATCATCATGATTCTCAATTCATCGATATTTTCAATAATTTGTATGTGAGAGATTTTATCAGGAATAGAAAAGAACAAACCAAAAAAGATGATTTTCTTTTTTGGTTCATTTGAGGTGAAAGTTTAGATTTTTTTTCTCTTCAGTTTTTTGATTGTCACAATCAACCAACCAAATTAAGTAACTAATCTTAACCCAAGAATATCAACAACAACAACAAAAAAAGGTTGACATTGACTATAAGTGATTATATAACAAAAAAAACATAATGATAATCATGTTTTTCATGATGATTTCATGAAAATTCAAATATCATGTCTATCTTTATACTCACACAAGTGAACGTTGAATGTTTTTCAAAAATTATCGTCTCTTGTCCTCTTCAGGTTATTGTCAATATATAACAATTTAAATTGTTACCAACTCACAAAATTTAATGCTGTTGATTGTCAGTTCGTTACCCGAATCATTATACAGCAATTTTGCCAATAATCATTATGATTGTGATTATATTTATGATTGGAACTGTCTCTTGATTTGATTTGAACAAATAAAAAAAAACAAACTAATTCATTCGGGTGGTGATGGTTACCCATTTGAACAGAATGATGAATTTCTAATCAAATCAATCAACAAATTGTATCCTCTCAAAAGTTAATCGATTAGGAATCAATATGATTTTTTTTTCTTCCACAGGAAAAGTAATGATGATCATTTAGAAATCTCATCAATTGAAGTTAACACCCAAAAAGATTACCAATAGAACCAGAATTCAATTAGGTTTCCTTTTACCTTTTAAGTCTCCATTTTTTTTCTCATCATCTTTCCTTTTCCTTTTTCACTTATCTTCCTCATCTCTTGAAACATTTTCATCTCTTTTTATCATCATCATCATCATCATCTTCTCCCCCATAAATAAATCAATTCCCTATGAGAGAGTAAAACTTCAATGTCCATAGAGATTGAGTCAATGGACATTTAAGAGATGATGAAAGAAATGAGATGATGAGAAATCTTTTCATCCTGTTTACATGTTAATCTCATGTTCATCATCATCTTAATCATCAGTCTTAATTAAATCACAATCTCCCAAACATATATTCATGTATTAGAATTGAATTAATGAAACAACAAGCAAACAACTTAATTGCTAATTGGATTAACATACATGTATATTGAAAGTAAATGACAATTTGTGTTACACAATTTATTTAATTATCTCAATGGAACACAAAACATCAACAATAACAATAATAGTAAATGTAAACAGCTGATTACAGTCAAGATTAATTCAGATTAATTGTTACTGTTTTTGTTGTTTTTATCTACAATAAAACATTATGTAAACAGGAAGAGAGTGACCCTCACATATTATTAATAATGTAGTCCTGATGATTATGTTGATAAAGGGACAATTTGAAGGGTCAGTTAATTGTACCCAGTGACCTAGACAATATTATCAACAAACCTTAAGTTTTTGTTATTAGTTTTTTTTTGCTTTATGATAACCTAATCACTTTTGGTCACGTTAACATAATGTTGTAATTATTATAATGGTCAACAATTGACATTAAATTACATGGTTACACATAAATACACTTGAATGGTCAGTATCTTGATGTTGAGATGACCAAGACTTTTTTTTTGTAAAGGAAAACTTTTTGTTTCCTTGACCGTATGAGCTTTTTCCCACGGAAGTGACCTCGACTGCCCTCACATTTGTTACACATCTCATCGTAGTCCTTATTTGCCCGATAGCCTAACAATCAAATCTAAAAGGATATTAATTGTTACCTTTATAACAACAATCAGCCAACATAATCATCTGATGATTTGAAGGTTTGATTTAATTTGAAAATGATTCATTGAGATTTTGTTGCTTCTAATTGTTGACATTTTTCAAATATTATTCATTGAGAAATATTCATTGAACAATTTACTTATTAGTAGAAATCAATTTCTCAATAAATTGTCAGTTGATTTAGTTAGTTTTTGTTTGATTCTATTGTTTTTCTTGTTGCAACCTTAATCATTAATTGTTTGTTTTTTATTTTGATTTTGACAAAAAAAGTTTAAATTGTTAATTGTTGATGATGGTCAAATATCCTAACCCAATTACGATTACTTTTGTTTATTTCTATTTAAAGTTAATTGTAGAAATATTTTTGACGTAATTGTGACAATATTTCAAAATCAATCATCAAATCAATTGATTGTTGTATCATTAATATGATTAAGGTGCAAGATAAAGTGATGATTTCAACAATTACGGAAGGGAAACTGATTTACTCATCATATGTTTAACTGATTGTCATGATAATCAACTGAACAATTAAACAATCATCTCAACTATTACATGTTGACATAATTCAATAAATTGAAATCAGTTGATTATTAATTGTTTGTTTTTGTTTCCACTGAAATTTAATTGTTCACCTAATTGGTTTAATTTGAAAGAAAAAAAGTTAAGAGACCAGAAAAATTAACTATTAATACAATTTGATTATTCCGTTAGTGTTAATGATTATCTTGATCATCAAGATGATTATATTATATATGATTACCCTTTAACCTTACACTTGAAACTGTTAATTGTTATAACAATTGAAATTATCTTAAATTCATATCAGACTTTTAAATTGTTCAGTTAGTGTGTGGATACAATTTTCTGGTTCGATTGTTATATTATCTCAACAATTAACTCTAAAAATAAAATGATAATTGATCAAATTTAGGATAACAATTAAAACTGATTATTTAAATTGTGTCTCAATCTGATGAGCTACAAGAAGAAAAAAATTAAATTCAAAAAGCAGATCAATGATTTTAAGAGAAAGATGTGATTTGATTAACTATTTTACTCATCAACAATTAATTCAAAACGCTAATTACTCTTTTTGTCTCGTCAAATTGTAACAATCAACTGATTCGTTTTCATTTCGATTGTTTTCCAGCTTCGATTTACTGGGCTTTTCGAAACATTCTCGAGGCTACTATTTAGGTGCCACCGGTGATGGAATGACCTGTTGCGTCGCTAAACAACCTCAATCACGAGCAGAACTTTGGCACGTTCACCTTATACCCGCTCGAGGTGCTACCATGTTCGCCCTTAAATCGGTTGGCCGTAAACGTTATGCACGAACCCAAGTAACTTCGGAGAACGGCCCTAACGGTACCAATAACAATAACAACAACAACAACATTATCAATAACAATAATAATGTTAACAGTAAAATCAATGACCCATCAGCTGTTGATGAACAGGTACAAGTTGATGCGACAACACCTTGGGGATCGGAGACATTGTTTCAATTTAAATACTATGAAAGCGGACGATATGCCCTTTTAACCTCAACCTGTAAATATTTAACCTCAGAGGGTAATTGTATTGAATTTAAGGCTGGATCAAGTGCTAACGGTTCAGGTACCAACGGAGTTGCCGCTAAGATTGCTGGTTTTACCAATGGTTCGGGTTCATCTGGACCTTCATCTTTGGCCTCAACTTTTCCCGTTCTACCACCGGCTGAATGTCTTTTCACCATTGAATATCATGGCGGTTTCATTGCTTTCCGTGATATAAATGGCCGTTATTTAGCTGGAACTGGACGTGCTTCCGTACTACGAACTCGATCCAATAATGTTTCTCGTGATGAACTGTTCACCTTTGAAGAAGCACCAATTCAGATCGCACTTCGAGCCGATTTCAACAATAAATGGGTCAGCGTTAAACAAGGTAAGAATTCATCTTCAATTGTTTACTTAATTAACAATCAAATGTCAATCATGCTAATTGTTACCATCATCATCATAATCACAATCGATATTTGATTTTCCTCTCTCATCAATTGATTCACTCTAAGGGTTAATTGTTATTGATCAGCAACAATTGATGATATTTTTGACATTTTAAATTGTCACTATTTATAATCTGGATTAATCAAAGTTCATTGTTATTGTGGTGATGATGATTAACTTTAATTAACTATTTAGATGTTTAAATTAATTTTAGAAACAATTGATTGATAAATGTAATGATACTTTCACTCTCCCACTTAAATTGTTGAGTTGTTTTCGGTTTTTTTTATTGTAATAATAATTTAATTGTGATCACAATGGATCAATGATTTACAGCAATTTAATTTTAATCACTCAACAACACCAATACTTGATGTCTTTTTAATTAATTTCAGCCTGTTACTTATTATATTATCACGTTAGTGTAGATAACAATTAAGACTAAGTGTTAATTGTTACTTTCTCTTTCTTTTCCAGTTTAACTGAATCAACGTTTACTGTTTACAATTAGTTAATTGCTATTGAGTAGCAAGAATAGTTTGCTCTTGATCTTGAACAGTTTGATGATTGATTTTTGTTTCAATTAATTGTTGATAAGATCATTTTATGCTAATCATTAAGAGTTAATCATAATTATCTGCTTAATTACAATCAGAGCGTTTAACTCATTCACATTGATTAATAACTATTTACTTTTCAAGTTAATCATGATCATATGGATGATACAATTTAACAGTTATTAATAAATTGATGGTTAAATATTTACTAGTGCATGTAAATTACATCAAGCAATTAAATAACCATACAGAAAATAAATTAAGTAAATCAACAATCAACTAATCATCTACTACTGGTTTGCTAACTTGAATCGTTAATTGTTTACAGAAGAAGAAAAAAATTAAACTGATTCTGGTTTTTGATGATTAACAATCAGATTAAATAACTAAATCTATTTGCTTCAATTGAATTTCAACTGATTAACATTCAATTTCCTGCTTTCAATCACCTTGACTGTAAACAATTTACTCTAAATTGTTATCAACTTTTAAAAAATTAAATTCTCTAAACGACTAATTGTTAATTATTATTTTCCTTGTTGTCTTTTCTTGTAGGAGTTGATTTATCTGCCAATCAGAATGAAATTACTACTCAATTTGAAACCTTTCAACTTCAATACGATAAAAGTAACGACACTTGGCACATATTGACCAAAGACGGAAACTATTGGGCTCTTGGTGCCGCTTCAACCATTCAGGCCTCATCACGGGATGAGAAATCTGGCCTACACTTTAAATTGAAGTGGAACGAAGATGGAACATGTTCAATTCTGTTGTCCAGCGACCCAGGAGCTCATGAAGGTGACATGAAATGGATCTGTAATCGTAAATCGGGTCAACTTTGCACTGGAACTTCTGATCCGGTCAAATTTTACCTAATGTTCTGTAATCGAACCTCACTTAACCTAAGATCTATTTCGGGAAGCGGTTTTATTGGACTTAAAGGTCCAGGCTCGGGTAAACTGGAATCGAGTAAAACTTGTCCCGATTCAATTAAAGTTGAATATTGTTCAGCTGAAGGTAACGGTGATTCCGATGATACCGCTCCCTTTAATTGCTGCTTCTTCAAGATGCCGGCCAACAACAAGTACTGGTCAATTGTTGACGCTGGTTCGGTTGCTTGTGACTCGACCTCACCCACTTGCGCTCAACGTTGGGTCATGGAACTACGAACTGGCTCATGTATTGCCATTCGAGCTTACGAAAATGGCTCTTACTTAACCCTCACCGGTCAAGGGGCCATTCAGGTGGCCAATGTCTCACCTAAAGACGCAACTCTATGGGAATTTTAATTGCTACTCTTTTAAACTTTTTTTCCATGTCTTTTCATTTGAATAATATGATTAACTAATCAACTTGAAAAGATGATGATTTAGTTTCCAAATGTGATTCCAATGAAACAAAAAAAGAAAACAATTAACGAAATTGCCAAAATTAATCAATTTACTTAAAAAATTTTCACATCTTTTGCAATTAAAAACAATCCAAACAACAATTTAAACTTTTAAAAGTCATCAGGATTTAATATTAACATTTAACTGAACTTTCTTAATTAATCAACTTCAATCTCCATCATGATTATAATTGATAGGCAACAATTTAATTCTCCCCTTACATTTGTACTTTCATAATTTTGGCCAATCAAGTCAATAACAAAAATTAATAACCTTAATTGTAATCATTTGGTTAGCTGAAACAATCAAGACAATTTAAGTCTCATTTATATTGATCAACTTTTTTTCACTGATTTTTTTTACTTGTATTGTCATAATTTAAGTTTGAATAATCAATTAAACATAATAATGATAATTAAATTTGATATTTTAATTGTTTCAATGTTTGCAGCAATTAACATGAATCAGAAACTCAAGAAAGTGATAATATCATCTGACTGAGTCGATTTACAGTATTTATGTATGAGAATCAACCATAGACCCTGATGTTTATGATTAAGTGCGACTTTACTTTTCTCGCAGATTGAATTCAATCAACAGTAATTAACCAGATAATGAAACGAATGTAAATTCCGTATCCTCATAATAAGGATGTTTAATGTATTATTTTACTCTCTTCAAATGCTGTCAAACTAAATAGATCTGAGTAAACATTAGTTTGATCTACTAATTTCAAATTGATTCATGATGGTTGAATATTTGATCATCTTCTAACTTGAGTATAAAAAATGAAACTTCTTCCAATAGATTATACTTGTAGTTTGAAATCCAATGTTTTAACATCGAGTTTATAATTATTTTTTGTTAGTACTAATCTATTAGTTGATTGCTATATGATAATTTTTAGTTTATTTAAAAGTTATTAAGGTGAATATGAAAAATACTATTAAATTTCCATGTTTTTTCTCAGTGATTTTCATTTTAAATGTTTTCGCGATGCTCCAGTATTCATGTTTCGGTTCAACTAATAATTTGAATAGTTCTGATGACAACGGAGGACCTGATAGTGCTTATAAAATTCCTGAGCAGACGTATGGCGGTCAAAGACCTGGTCAAAATAATGTTGGCCAAGGTCAGAGTTCGACGTATGGCGGCCAAAGACCTGGTATCAGTTATGGCCTTTAAGCTCCTCGTTGTGGTCATGCTGGTGCTTTTGGCCTTGACGCTGGTTTGCTTGAAAACTCCAATACCAATTAACACTACAATGTGGGTAAATGAGTATCTTGAATCAACTTCAAGACATTTTCATCATCTTATCAGTGATAACTATCGAAAACAGTTTCGAAAAATTTCTTAAATCCAAATTCCTCATAAAGGCATAACACCATAACTTTATTTCAACCGATTTTTTTTACTTGTATTGTCATAATTTAAGTTTGAATAATCAATTAAACATAATAATGCTAATTAACGTTTGACATTTTAATTGTTTCAATGTTTGCAGCAATTAACATGAATCAGAAACAAAAGAAAGTGATTGTAATAATAAGTTTGTTTTGGAAACAAGTTTGATATAAGAAAAATGAACAATTAACTGATTGTTTGTGTGATGATTAAGGAATCAATTTATAATTAAAATGGCAAATTGAATTAAATGTATGATTGATTGTTATAATAGTTAAAATTAAGATAATTATAACAATTAATAAGGGTTAAAGTTGATAAATTGGTTTTTTTGTTGGTTGTCCAATAACTTTGTTATGTGCATTAGTTGATGATAATTAATTAACAACAGTTAACAATTTAAAAGTAAATTTAACATTTTACAATCAACCAATTAAAAGCATTTAAATTGTTGATAAATTGATGGCAATGGTGATGATGAAGATGAAACAATTGTCTTTTTTTTAAGTTGATTGTGTTTAATTACCAATCCATTGGATATAATTAAAGTTTCTCAATAATAATGATTTGTGGGTGGTGGGTAACAATTAACAGGATTAAATTGTGTAATTAATAGTGATTAAAATTTGGTAATAATTGTAAATAGAATGATAAAATTTTTCTGAAACAATCATTTGGAAATTGACAATTTTTCTCTTATGGGAAATTGGATTTCATTTGCGATTTTTTGATTTTTCTTGATTGTTGATTAATCGTTTTGTTTGAATATTAATTGAATTTGGATCAAACGGTTGAAGCACTTTTCCTATTTAAAGCATTATCACGACCTTTCCGACGGACTTCATCAGTTCGCAGGGTAATACCAAAAATATCTTCATGATAACGATTATCTGACCGAAGGTACATAATAACACCGTCGGGATCCTCGTAACCCGCTTCGGAGAGGAGGGTGCGTAAAGTTTGTGAGACACCTTCGGCCATGGAGACATCGCCGCAAACATAAAGGTGACCTTTCTCCTTCATCAGCTGATGTAGTACCTCTTTTGCCGATGAGCGAAGTTCATCTTGAACATATCGCTTGGGTTGTCCAGCTACCCTGGAATAGGCCACTTTAACGGTGGACAAAATTTTCTCATGCATCATGGTTCGAGTTTCATCTGAGTAAAGCTCCATAAAAGGTAAACGACAACCAAAGTAAAGGGACATTTTACCGAATGAACTTTTAAGCGAGGGATTAGTTAATCCATCGGCATATCTTTCAAGCCAAAATGCTCGGAATGGAGCGATTCCCGTTCCCGGTCCGACCATAATTATGGGCGCCGAGTGGTCATCAGGCATACGGAAATTTGGTGCACTTCTTAAGAACCCATATACTTGGTGTCCATCTTTAATATTGGCCAAGAAATTTGAGCAAACCCCATAATGTTGGGCTCCTGATCCGGTTGTATAACTAACAACGGCAACAGTTAAATCAATCCTAATTGTTTCACCTTCATCACTATGGTTAACATTGGTTCCAATTGTGTTAATTGTTGTGCTCGTTGTTTTTTCATTAATTGATCCGATTACTTGATTGGTTTTGGTAATAATTTGCTTATTATTAAAGTCAATTGACTTTTCCTTATTATTATTATTATTATTATTGTTATTGTTATTATTGTTGTTGTTGATAATATTATTGTTACTCTTGGAAGATGAATTGTTATTGTAATTATTAAGATAATTGGTTGTATTATTAATTGCAGATTGATTCTGATGGTGATGATGTTGATTGCTTGAGGTATTATTGTGATTACTTGTCTCAAATCCAGTAAATTTGGAAAACAAACTAAACAGACTTAGAGTTGAATCTTTATAAAGGGTTCCCGGTCTTCGAGGGCTTCCGGTTATATCAACAACAGATGAAGGATCAATGAGAAATGATGAAGATGAATTTTCAGCTGATGAAATTGGAGAGTGACCATTGGTTGATACAGAATTTTGTACAGTTAAAGTACCGGTAGAAGAAGATGAAGAAGATGATGAAATATTATTGCTGTTGATTAGATTGTTATTAATGTTGTTACTCGATGTTATTGTTGTTTTCGTGGGAAGTGATGATGATGATGACGATGATGATTTCGATGATGTCCAAGTGTAATATTTATTGGAAGATGAGATTGAATAGAATCGAGGTTGAAGAATAGGAAGTTGGGTTAAGATGATTTCCGGTGGAGGATCAAGTGAATCAAATTGAGTTAAAAGTTCCAATAAATTTGGATATTGATGAGCTTTCCATTCCTCATAACGTTCACTATCATTTGCCAGTTTCTCCATTAAACTTTTCTGACCATTGTCCTTACAAAAAGCAGTTAATAAACTTAATAATTGTTGAGTTGGAGGTGTGGTAATGTCAAGGTAACGGGTTAAAGCTTCTTCCATTGAACAACAAGGTAACTTTTCATGTGGAGCATATTCATCATTGGAACCACTGGAATTATCATCGCCCGATTTACGAACCATAATTTGATAGACTGTGGTAAAGTCAATCTTATTCAAACGTGATCGAATCCCTTTAACCAGGGTTGGTGAATTTTCTGGAAAAATACCCAAATGATCACCAGGAGAATAAGCTAATGAGAAATCGCTGGTTGATTCTTGTTGCTTATTCTTTGGCGGTTTAATCGTTATGTGACCATTTTGTTGCTGTCCGATTGTTGTTGTTGTTACTGTTTGTGATGATGTAGAAGAAGATGATGACACTGATGATGATTGATCCGCTAACAATTTCGACTGATATTGTTTATCCAATTCAAGAATAACTCTTATTGTTTGTCGTTGTTTATCACCTCCTTTATGAAGAGCAACCGTTGAGACCAAACGGAAGGGAATCACCTTTCGATTAGAGCTTTTGGCAAGAGCTGCAAAGAGAGCAGAGAGAATAAAAAAACAATTAAAATTTAAATTAGAAAAGAAAAGTCAAATTTCAAATGAAAAGATCAACAATTAACAAGAATCATTGTCAACCCTTTGAAGAAAATTGAATCGAAGGCCAATAGATGGCGACAAATTAATTCGATGGATAAGTTTTAATGAAGAAAAAATTAATTACCAAAAAAAAGCTAATCTCCAATCTTGATTATCTTTTAAATTTAATCTACTAAATTTGTTTGTTTCTATTCATTAATCTTAATTGTTATCAGGAGAATATTAAATTACCATCTTACTGTGTGTTTTTCTGGTGAGATAAAACAAATAAAACTCAAACGATTCATAATCTTAATGTAATATAAGGTAAGTGGTTTTTTGTTTTCTTCCAAATTCTATATTTACATTTTAACGGTCATTTGATTTTAAATTGTATTTTAATTCTTACCTTTAGATGTATCAGTTAATGATTTAGGGCCATTTGGGGTAACAGTTAAAGGCACCAGTTTAACACTTTGGACTGACCATGTTTTAGGTTTAAGTGTTGCCGTTTTCATAACATCATTCATGTTTATCTCATCAGATAAACAGAAAACATTACAAGCCTCAGCGAAAACATCTTTTGACCATTGATTAAATGATTGCTCTTGACCACATAATTCATCACCAGTGACCAGTTTAAATATCCTCTCACCACCTAATTCACCCAACATATTATCAAGATACTTGGCGAAAGCACAAAAATTTGGATAAGCTGATGACCCAAGACCGAAAACAGCAAACCTAAAGTAAATCAAGACCCAAATCAAAATGGAAATGGTCAAAGACCAAAACATCAACCAAATAAATAAGGAAGGAAAAGAAAAGAACAATAACAAAAATTAAGGTCAGTAAATGGTCATTTTGTATTTATATAATTACCAACATGGAAAAACATGAAAACAAACATCTAAACAATTAAATATTGACTCGGTTGTTTGGATTAGATTGAAAGAAATCAAGGTTGATTTTCTTAGGCCTTTGTACTTGTAATTAACTTGAGTAACTTTTTTTTTCTTCTTCCTTTCATTTGAATATAATTACACAGATATTTGGATTTGTGTTTACCAATTTCGCTTTTCCAATCAATCAATTAATTCTTGTTCAATTAACTCAAGTTACCATAATAAAAACATTGGATAATAAATGTTGTCTTACCCAGAAGTATATATTATCAATAGTAAAGGGATTCACCTGTGTAAGTATTATATTAACGATTACAACAATTTACAATAACAATAACAATTTATCATTGATTATAAATTTTTAATCATTTACTTTTCTCTGTACTTTTTTAGACTTAATCTTTACAGTTATAATAGTGACCTTGGATATCTTAATCCGTTACATCAAATGATATAAAAACAAAGTGATGAGTTTTTACCTTTGATCAAGAGTTTGAAGGATTTAACCAACATAAATACTTAATTGTTATAATTGTTATAGACGAGAGTAAGTATGTATAATAATAATTAAGTGTATTAATATTTAATTGAGTTAATTTAGTTTTTCTTTTTCTTTTCTTTTTGCCTTCTTCTTAAATCTAGATTAAAAGCCATGTGAGTGGATAAAAAAAAATTAGAGATAAACATAAACAACAATTAAAGATTATCAAGAGAAACCAAATGGACACGAATGAGTATTGACATTGACTTTTACTCATTGACACAGTTAATTGTTGTCTCTTAATATTATTACATAGACTTGATTAATTTTGCTACTTTCTCACCTTCGTCTTTTACTCCGGCAGAATTGTTTATACGCTTGGTAGGAGGTGAAGTGACCATTGGATTGTAATGAACTTTCACTGAGAACGGAGAAAGTGATGACCATTGATAAGAAAGAGAGGGAGAAAAAAATAAGGATAAAAATAATATCATGCAAATCGAATAAAAAAAACAATATATGGTAGAGGATGGAAAAAATCAATGTAATTTGCCTTCTTCCTTTTTCTAATTAGCTGTTAAATGAAGCGAAAAAATAATCATAATGTTGATCATTGATTAAACCATAATAATAACGGTAACATCGCAACACCATCGACATCGACATCATCAACAATTATGTTCATATAACAACAATGGTTAAAAAAAAGGTCCATGAATTGATGCCAAGAAACATTTTCTGCCAAATGATTGAATCATTAACAGTATTAACAATGGATGATGCTGATGAAGAGACAGAGGGAGCTAATAATGAAGTTAACAACAATATAATCATCAATAGGAGGAGGTGATGATGATAATAAAAAAAAATCAATGATAAACAAAATACATAATAATAATACTTGTTACCAGGTTTCTTATTATGCTTATTATGAATCAAAGAATTGACATCAATCAATGGTGACGATAATACATGTAAACAGGAAGAAGGCAGTTACACCCCACCATCACCATCATCAACTCTCCATCAACATCCAACACTCTCTTTCCACCCTCTTTGAATATTCATCCTCTATGAAAGATTGATGATCAAAGAAAATGATGAAGATGATGAAGATGATGATGGTGATGCTTTTGATGGCGAAGGTAAAAATATGGAAGAGATGGAGAAAACAAGAGAGAGAGAGGAAAACCAAGGAAAGGTGAACCCCCACCAGTGGAGAAAATGTTAAAAGGAGGAAACAGAAAGGATGAGGATTCGAATGTAATACCTTTTGGTGATTTCCGTTTTCTTGAAATCACTTTCCTTAAGGAGTTTACCATCTTCAAGTATTATCTTTGATGTTACATCAGATTCCAATTTAAGCTTCTCCAATTCCAATGAGTTTCCATTATGTATACTGTTGATTTTAGTGTAATATACATACACACATAATCATTATCATTTGATTATCATCATCAACAATCAACAATCAAACATGAAAAGAGATCAAGAAAATCTTCAACACCACCAAACCGGATGATAAACGATAACGTTGAAAATGGACACAAGAGAAACTTATTTTAACCTGACTCACTCATTTGGACAGTAATTATATAATAATTCCTATCATCCAATAACAATTAACATAAATCAATCTCTTATTTGATTACACACAGACAATCAAAGTCTTATATTGGACACTTGATGGACACAATTATTATTACCAAAAAAAAAGTTTAACCCAAAAATTGAACAAGACAAATTAATTGACATTAAGCGGATAATATTAGTAACTATTAACTTTAGATATGATATATATATCCCAAGGGTAAGAATTACAATTTTCCTTACAGTTATTTCCTGTTTCCGTTTTTCCACCCATTAATATTGTATATATATCATGATATATATTTCAAATGATGGTGAAAAGAAAGTTTCAACTGATCAACTTTTAATTTTTTCCCTTCTTCTCCTCCTTCTTAGAATCAATATTTAATATATTAACTATCAACAATGATATTAATATATCGAGTTTTATATGGTTTAAATGCTTGTGAATTATTAATTGTCAATATTTAATTGTTACTTAATTGTAAGTATGATCAATACCTTATATTACTTAAAGGTCCAATTTGTGAAGATCCAATATCATTCGGAGGGGTTTCTCGTCCTTCGTATGAACCCAATGTTGATATACGTAATAAAGATGTTGATACACTCCTGGGGTAGAGTTTATCAACATTATTATTACCGTTATCATGTTAGATCAGCATTTTATCAGGGAGAAAACGATGAGAATGATGAGAGAAAGAGAGAGAGAGAGAGAGAGATGAATATGAAAGTTTGAGAATAGTTTGTTTTTGTTACTTCTATTGGAAAAGATAATCTTTCAAATTCTGACTCTAAACTTATTAATATTTTCTACCTATTTGAATTGTGTTGTTTTCCTATTATCATTGATTATTTGATTGATTATCATCAATGATTAAACAATCAGAGAGTTTTTTTTATAACTGTTTCAATAATTTACTTTACTTGGATCATTATTGATGTTATCTTATTGTTTTTGGATAATATTTTGGTTTCACTTGTGAATCATCATTGAAACTGAATAAATCAATGTTGATGATATTCATGGTGAGCTTAATTTTAGGAATCATCTTCATGATAATCATAATGTTCAATCAATTCAACGCTCAATATTATGGTTATTATTTTGTTTACCATTGAACTTTTTTTTCAGTATTCAACTAGTTTTTTTTACTTCCTCTCTGTCAATTATGTCACCTATTTATCTGATCTGATTTCATGTTGACTTTCAATCTCATATCCTGAATTCATGGAATTGAAAAACAAACAAAAATCAGCCCACGAAAACAATTAAACAAAAAACAAATAAACAAAAATAAACATTGATAATTAAAAGTTAATTGTCCAATTGAAACTCAACTCGATAGTATAAATATTAACTCTTTGAACGGTTAACGATAATCATGAGTTAATTACTAGATTGAAATATCATCATCATCGTCATGAAATGATAATAATACTAAGAAAATGTGACAATATATCATAAATATTTTTTTTCCGTCTCTTCCTCAATGTGATATATTAACATTTTGTCATGTTGATGATGATGATGATTAGTTGATCTGTTGAGTGGACAATCAAATTTAAGTATAAGATGAGAGTGTATAAGTTTGTGTTACCTGACACTTTCTATATCAGGAGTAGTATCTCCGGTAACCTTAATTGCTTGTAATTGTCGTGCAAAAGATTCACCATTTTCGGGTGGATCACCATTACCGAAAGTGGAGGTAACAGTTAGAAGGAGGGTTTCATGTTCCAATTGGAAAATATCATAAGAATCCATTGGCATGACCTGAGAGTAGAGAAAATTATATTTTCGATAATAGTACAAAAAGTATAAAAAAAACAAATAGAGAAAAAGACAATAAATATTCATTCAATTTTGTTTCTTTCTCTTTCTCAGATATTTACCGTTACATTGAATGCAAAGGAAAATATTTGCTCCAATCTTTTAGCATATTCTTCGGATCTTCCCGTTTCCGTTGCATAAAGTATTGTGGCCTTGACCCGCTTGGACAAAGCTTTGCCGAACAGATTAGAAGTGAACTTGACTGCTCGAGCGATTTCTTTGAACTTTTTCTTTCGACCTTGAATCATCGATTTTTCACCATTCGGTGAGATATTCCAAGAATGTAATCTCCATGCTGGTTCCTGTGAATGGTCATCATGATAATGACCATTATTAAGAGAGAGAGAGAGAGAGAGAGAGAGAGAGAGAGAGAGAGATGGTCAATACAATGAGATATAAAAGAACAACAATTGAAACTATGGTGGAGAAAATATTTTCTTCTGTTCTAAGAATGATAAAAGTTTAGTTTTCTCTTCAAATTCTGTTATACATTAAGATTATCATGAACATCATGAATTTCCAGGGGAATCATTTTTTATTTCCATGGTTAACATTAACTCTTAACCATTATCATATTTTGTGGTTAATCAACCTGCAGATTCATTCGTTGTTTAGCCATGAAAAATAACGTTGAAAAAAAAACTCGCTAAAATTTTCATGATAAGATCTGAAATTTTCATTTTCTATTCATGTTACAATTTCATGATGATGAACTTTTTTTCCCCTATTCAAGTTAACAAAATTTTCCTCCATAGTTTTATATACATTGTCTTTTGGAAGTTTTTTTTTCTTCCATCTCATCATATCATGAATATAATCAACTTTTACTGGGGAGTTTTAATTGTAATGATTAAGTTAATGATGATGATGATTATTATTATTACAATTTCTTTCAACAATCAAGTTAATATTTCAACTTTACAACAATCAAATGTATTTACATGGACAAAGAATAGACTGAAACCTTAATTGTTTCAACTTTCAATTATTCTCTTTGTCAATTCCAAGCCATTTAATTATCACAAAAGAGACATTGAAATGTAAATATATTAACTAATTTTGGGACAGTAATTAACTTTGAATAACTAATTGTTGAAAAAAATTAGTGATTAATTAGAACAACAAATTATCAGATAGAAATAGTTAATCAATTTGTGTTTTATTGTAAACAAAAATTAAGTTGTAATCGATTGTTATTATTATTATTTGCTCATGATAATAATAAACCTTGACAATCAACTGATTATTGACTTAATCATTTATTATCATCATAAAATATAATCAAGTTGATGATTACAATCAACATTTTGACTCAATTTTCATGAAGATACACTTGAAACATAAACGAATCCGCTGAATACATGTAATGGTACAAGAATAGGAAATAAAAAGGATCCCCGGAAGTCACGATAATAGATGATGATGTTCATCATCATCATCATCAGATTGTCATCATGATGATGAAAAACAAGAATCAGAACAATATGAAAAAAAACAAGGAAATTATATATAACATAAGATGTTATTTCCCTCGGACTATGGTCAGTATATGGACAATAAGATGAGACAAGAAATGTTCAGGTAAATGTGAAGATCGTAATCATTATCATTGAAATGATATATTTTCATCTAATTGTGTTGATAATTTACACTGATTGTAAAGCTGAATAATGAATATAATTGTTGATCAGGGTCAAGAATCAACCAACTGACCATTGGCATAGAAAAAGATTTGAAAATTGTTTTTCTTTTTCTTTCCTTATTAGTCCCAAAAGTATTTTAAATTGATATTAATTAACATTCTGACAGTTTTTTCAGGCTAATTGCTGATTATCTGATCATTTGAGATTTTTTTTCCTCCATCTAATCAATTACTAAACAATGATCACTAATACAATATTTACCTGGATAAATTTCATTGCTGATTAACTTGTTATTCAGATTTGTAGCTCTTAAACCTCCCAAGTGAAGATATTAATCACAATTAACTTTTACTCTATTCAACAATAGCAAAACCCCCAGTAATCAAGAGACAATTAACATTTCCAATGCACTGAATTGTAGTAATTAACAATCATAATCATCATCAGTAACCTTTTTTTTTATCTTTTACTATTCATGAAATTCATCATGGTAACAATGCTCATTCAGAAATGATATTAATTGGAATCGTAAAGACAATGTTATTAATATGCAACAATCGGTTGAGTAGATTGTTGTTTTCATGGATTTTGTGATAAAATAAATTACCTGATATTCAAAGCTTGGTTTTAAACGATAATCCAACATTTCCTGGTGGAAAACTGGAGTTAAACTTCCGCCTGTGGGTGGTACTATCCACACCCAATCAGCTGGACATCCACCTCGAAGTCTTTGTTCATTTTCAAGGTGTTTCATGAATGATTCAGCGGCAGTATGATGGTCAACAATGGTCACTCCAAGTTTATGAAATGAATCAATTACCGCTCGATTAACCTCAACGAGAGCAGCGTCTTTCCATAAGGTCATATTGGATCGGGTATCTAGTCCCATTTTATCAGCAACCGTCTTTATATATAAACAAGAACAATTAGAAAACAATTAATCAGATTAGACTAATCATATTGGATTTAATCAAATTATCACAACAACAATAATGATGACAGATCAAGAAAAAGTTTCTTTCGAAAACTTTTTTCATCATCTCAAACTTTTAGAACTTTTTTCTTCTTCTTCTTCTTCCTAATCAACAATTAATGAGAATTAAAATAAAAGCTTAATCATCAGTTGGACAATTTTTTTCTTCTTTTCTAATTGTTGTTTGATTTCTATGATATAATTGAATAAAATTCTGACAGTATAAAAGTATCAAGATTCAGTTGATAATCAGATGATTGTCCATCTTGTTTACTTTTTGGCTTGACCATTGGATGATAATAAGAGGATATAGTTGACAATCAAGGGAGTGGACAGTTGACTGAGGGGGTGGGTAAGTTTCTTAAGTGATTATATATAAAGTGGACAATAAACATTGAAGATCAAGTCTAGTGAAAATGTTGATTATCAGTAAAAGTTATCAAAGTTGATCTTTTCCCCTGATTACCATGTTAACCCTGAAGATGATATTAGATGACGATCATGATGATAATCAGTTACAAGAATCTCAAGAAATTAGACTTATCATTATAATACAATAAATGATGATTATCATCTTGATGCAAGATGATAAATAAACGAGATGCAAGAAGATGAGATTGAAACAATATATTTAAATTTAGAAGATGATGAATCAATTGAATATGCTCCATGTTTATGAAAATCACTCGAGTTAATGTTATCATGAGAGTGGGTGGTTGGTAGAGACTGAGGCGGGAGAGAGAGAGGGAACAAGGAAGTGGTAGGTTGAGGGTGGATGATGAAGATTTACAAGGTACAATGGTCTTAATAAACCAAATATGTTCATCGTTGTGTTCATCTTATCATGTTATTACCATGTTGTAACTATGAGGAAAACATGAGAAGGATGAGGAAGTAGGAAGATGCTCATGAAGAGAGAGAGAGAGAAAGAAAGAATTTTCTTTCGTCGAATATTTCATCTTACTCTCTTCCTCATCATCATCATGCATTCCGCTCTCTCTTTTCCTCCATCAACATGATGAAAACCTCACTTCCAATGTTGTTGTTATTGTTATAATATTATTGACTTTTATCCAAAGGTAACATACACACAGAGATATAATATAAATCCTTTAAGGTTTTTACAAGCAAATACCTTTGTTCATTAATGAAATTCAAAGTGGTTTTCATCATCCTCATCATCATCCAATTCACATGTACATATAACCAATCAATTCCTCCCATCTTATCATTCACTCTCCCTCTGTCTCTCTCTCTCTCTCTTTCCTCCCTCTACCTTTGGTATAGATGATGATGAGCCTCAACTTTATCCTGAATTCATTTTCTATGAAAAACTTTTACTCAATATACTAATTTCCCTTGGATTCAATTTCAATCATTGACTTTCTGTCATGATCATTATGATTATACAATAACCTGAATATCATGAGAAACTCACATCTCCAACTTAGTTACACCTTTCCAAACAATCAGTGTTTGATTATCAACAATTTATATCTCTTCATTTCAGTTACAATTAATTATCTCTCATTGTTATCATATTAATATAATCAATGACATTTACTTATCAAAAGTTTACTCATCTGTTCATTTATCATGTTAATCTCATTTGTCTCATGATAGGTAAATGAACAATTCTGATAAAAGTTCTGGTCAGGAAAAGAAAAACTTATCTTGGAATCGAGAAAAATCAAAAAGATTCTTGATTTTTATTCAAAAAGTTCTCATTTTCCATAATATTACCTTCAGGGGAAAACGAAAATTTCCAGTTAGAACTTTCTTTTTTTTTCTTATTCTTTGTCGAATATTTTTCTCTCCTTCTTCACCAATCATCTATCCACCTAGCAAATGATTTCATTATCATAAATGACCAAACCCAAAGTGACCATTCATTTTTTTACTCGACTAAATCAACAATTAAAGGTAACAATCAAATACCCGCAGGGGTGAACAAGGTAGAGAAATGAAAAGACAATTAAATCAATTGTTTCAACTAATTGTTAACATGGTTTCTCATATTGATCAGCAGAGGAAAATCAAGATTTCTTAATCATACAGAGAGAGAGAGAGAGAGAGAGAGAGAGAGAGAGAGAGATATTTCACCCTCCCTCATGAAAATGCTGAACAATATCATTTTCAGAATTGATTCAATATCATCATGATCATTTGATATTCAGGGTATAAAATATATTGATTAACTTCAATGTTTGTATGTGTCTTGAATAGCAAACACGATCATCATCATCAACAGAATTGAAATCAATTTCAATATTTACATCACCATGATAATCATTTTCCTGCCTGTTAAATATAAAATGATATTCTGATATAAACACTGTTCAGGTAGATAGGTGGGGTTGGAGCTCTTTTTTTTGTGCCACCCTAATCGTTTTTGTAACACATTGTATTGGATAAATTATCATCATCAAATGGACTGAGTCTAAATGATTCAACTGAATCCATATACAGTCAATTTAATCTTATGTTCATGATAATAAAAGTTCAGTGTATCAACACCAAAAAGTCTTAGGTGTTAGTGTAAATAGTTTACAGAGAGAAATAAAAATATTGGAGTAAAAATTGAAATCCATTAACAGATAATAATAACTGACCATTGTCCAAACTAATGGTCAGTGGTTTGTGTAAACCATTTATGAAAATGATATGAATGAAAATCGTAAGATACAAAAATCGTTGTTGTTGTTGATACAATTGAAAACTAATTGAAATCCATCGATGATTATAATTACTTTGGATACAATAATGATAAGAGATGTGGATGGGAAATGGTCAGCAAAAAAAAAAGTTAAAAGGTAAATGGTCAGTGATTAAAACTTGTTGTTCCTATTGTATTGAAAAGATAATAACTAATCAATGGATTGATTCACAACTTGATTGGTGAAACTCAGATGATTAAGTGGAAAACATTGCAACCAGAATTTTGGACCTTCGAAAACAATTTACTTGATTCGATAGTTTCTTCTTGTTTTTGGAACATTTTTCTCATCTATTTCTCTCTTCTCACTTTTATCTTCATCATCTGATACACTTACTTTTTACTCACCATCAGTGAGAGTACACTTATCTCTCTGTCTCTTTCTCTGTCTTCATTTGTGTACCTTCAATTGTCTTGTCAACAACTTAATGGTCAGCAATCATCAAAAGGCTATTTAAAGAGTCACCATCATCATAGCCACTTGAATGAATGAATGGTCAATCATTCAAATCCAATCAATCATCATGACTGAACAAAAATCATTCCCATTTCATCATCACCATGATTCTGATCAAGATTCAACTCCGAAGGCAAAATATTGAGATGGAGTAAATAAAAAAAGTTCTGAGCAAAACAAAAACACTCAGGAAATGTTCATGTTTCTTCATGATATTTATTCATGGAAATAATCAACTAATCAATTATGATTAACATTCATTTAACTCTAACATAGACAAACAATTAAACTGATCACTTTAAATGAACATGATTGATATTCAACAATTCAATGGTAACTCAAATCACAATTTAAAGTTAATTGTCATCAAATAATTTGATTTATCCTTTTTCCTTTTTCAAATTTTTTTTTAATTAGCTAATTAATTAACTTTCATTATTTAATTTACTCTAAGTGGTAACAAGTTAATTGTTATGATAATTGATTGAAATTTAAAACAATTACAATTATCCTTGGACTAGATTGAAAAATTCAAAGTTAATTGATCAAATATTACAAATATAGAAAAATATTCACAATCAACAATTAACCAATTTTCAATCATAAGCTACTTGATCATCAAATTATTTTTCCAACGATAGTAACAATTAAATCAATTGTTAAATCGATAACAATTAGATTTGATTCCATGTCAAATGATAACTTTTATAAGTTATCATTTATTTTCAAAGATCAACTCAAATGAAACAAAATGTTACAACAATTAAATTGTTACTTCATAATCATCATCATCAACTTTAATTCAGTTCATGATGAAAACCTTGAAACTCAATATTTTACTTCATGATTCTGATTTAGTAGTAAAGATTATCCTTAACCATTGATTATGTTGACATTTTTTTTTTACTTCTTCATGTCCAGTTTATTTTTCGTAATGGTCACAATTTAATCTCAATCTCAATCCATTTATCATCATGAGAAAAAAAAAAGTTTAATCTTAATCCAATGGGTTCGAGGTAAAAATCGTTTCAAGTTCATGATCTGAATCAGAATCATAATTCATTGGTCAACAGTCAAGGGACACGATTAACAATCACCCAAAGAACAGTTTAATCATTGTACCTTTATTTTTTGTAGTAATTAAAGAGAAATCTAATTTATTGAAAGTTTAAACAATTTACAGAAAAAACTGGAAGAAAAAAAGTTCTAATCAAAATCGGATACGGAAGTAGATGAAACGGAAATATGGTGATAGTATTCACATGGAAAATATCAGTTCACAGGAGTATAACTTTCACCATGAATCTTACACCAGAATCAGAATTTTTGATTCACCTTAAAATTTAGAAGGAACAGAAAAGTTCGAACAACTTTTCGAAATTAGAATTAGACAAAAATAGAAAATCACCTTTTCCATGATATTCATTCATTCACTTTTTCTCATTACAGGTTATCCGATTATCTTTTTCACTCAATGAAAAGAATACTCATAACTTCAAATATTATAATTCTGTTGCTCGAATTTTCTGATTATTCGAAAAAAAACAAAAATTCTAACAAATTATTACAAATATACATTTTCTCATGAGAAGATGAAGATAATATAAAACCTGTCACCATGAACATGAACATTTACCCTGGAAATCTAGTGAATATCCATGAGGAAAAAATAAGAAAAAAAAAGTTTTCCTCAGAATCCAAAGGTAATCATTTTCCCAATTGAATAGGAAATCAAAGTAACATTTATGTTAAATTATATTCTTAATTGTATCACAATCAACAACAATCAATAAGAATAACATTCAAACAATCGTGTTATTAATAACAATCAAGAAACAACTAAATCAAAAGTTTCACAATTCATCATCATCTAAATATCAATAATATTAACGGAAATTAAATATTAAAATATTTACAATTTAAATCAAATGATAATGATCATGATAGAGTAAAAATCAATTGTTACTCATCTTAATTACAAATTAAATCAAATCAGTTTAACAGGTAAACACATAAGAGTAATAATAGATTTCAACAATGATATTAAAATTTCCCAATCAAAGTGATCAATTTGTTATCATTATATTAATACTTGTGTGATAAATTGAGTTGTATTCATGTATTGGTCAGTGAATGTCCACTACCACTTACCTTAAGTATATTGTATCTATTAGGATCACATAAATCCCTACATGCAATTTCAGTTACCATGTACCAGCCTGAAAATGGGGCAGCAGGAAATTCAATACCACCAACATCAAATAGCATATTGGACTGGGCAGGAACTGAATACCATTGAAGTTGAAGGTCAGCAAACCATTTGAAACTATTGGTCAGTTATGAGAGAGAAAGAGGTTAAGTTAACAAAATGATGGGAGAAAGAAAACAAAATGGTCATCAAATGGTCAATCAGTTGAATCGACTACGATAATCAAAAGTAAATCGTGTTGATTAATTTTCTTCTAATTCTTTGGCTACCTGATAACAATTGAACATGATTATTATTGTTCATGTTTAATAATATGTGTCATCTAATTGTTGTTCTTGATTGTGATATGATTATGATTTTCCTTTTGTATTTGATTGTCCATCGAATTGTTTTCGATTATTTTCTTTTTCGTTTTCTTTTTTTCTTCTTCGATTTCGATTATTATTATTATTACTTACTTAGGATGTTCCAATGGCACTCGAAGTACGAGTTCTTCCGGGATAACGAATAACTGTGGATCTTGGCCTGAGGCCGAAACAACGATCGGCAAAATGTCCCAATTAGTTCGTGGTGGTTTCCAGCCGAGATTAATACAAAGCTGAAAATTCAGAAGAAAAGAATTAGTTAATTTTCTGGTTGGTCAGTAAATTGCTTCTCTTAATTGTTGTTAACAATGATCACGATTTAACAATTACATTTGTTTCTTATTTTATATGTGATTTTCTATCAAGATTAATTGACAATTTAGCTCATCTAATCAGGTAATCTATTAATTACGATAATTAGATTTCACTGAATTAACTTTGACTATTTTATCATTAATTGTTTTGTCTCTTTATTGTTACAACTTGAAGATTAACAATCAAATGGTCACCAACAATTAACCCATTAGTTTATATTGACCGTTTGTTTGTTTTAATTGTTCACCAAACAATTAACTTTATCCTCATGTAAACTTGTTAATTGTTTACAGAGTAAAATTTCATTTAATTCATTAAATTTTGAATCAACGGATCAATTTAATTGTTGATTTAATTGTAATCAATATCATGTTTAAATAGCAGGTTAATTTGTCTATTAAAGTTTAACTTAAATTGTTGAGGTTAATTTATTTATATAAATCAATAAGTTCAAGGTAAATTGTTCAGTTGAAAATCAACAATTCAATTCAATTGTTGAAAGCAACAATCAACCACTAGTTCAGGTAACATTATCATCACCATGATCATCACCATCATGAGTCAATAATATAAAAATTATTCAATTGTCAACTTGAGGTGATGATGATAAGGATGATGATGACAAAGATGAAGATGTTAATATGAATGATGAAAAGTGTATAACTCAAGGTGAGCGGAAGGAATCATTGAAAATCATCCGAATCAATGATTTCCAATTCAAAGTTGTGAAAAAAATTCGTTTTTCTTTTTTTTTCGATTTCTTTCTGAAAAGTTCTAAGAATTAAAGTTATCTTCATCATCTAGTGAGTAATTGAGAGAGAGTGTGAGAGAGAGAAAGATAATCATTATAATGATAATCACCATGATAATAATGTAGATTAACAAGAATTCTCATTTTAAATTAGAAAACTCAAAGTTCTGTGAAAGAAGAAGTGGAAAAAAATTTTCTCCATGGAAAAAGTTCTGAATAAGATTCTTGTCATGATAATGTTGTCAAATTTTCCTCTCTCTCTCTCTCTCTCCGGAAGATAATGAGAAGATGATTCTGTTCATCATGATCTATATTTTCAGGGTATTTAACGTGTGTACGTACCTGAGTAAATTCAACGTTAATCGGATCTCCAATTATGTGTCCAGGTCTATCGGGATCATGATAACCAGCGTACGAAATTAATTGTTGATTCCAAATTCTGAAATCAGGAGCATCTCTTGTTCGTTGTGGAAAGATCGTAATCGCTGATCTAAATATAAAGGGAGAGAAAGATTGAAAGAGAGATCATCAGATTAATCGGAAAAAAAATTCGAGAAAAACTTTCTCACTGATTCATCGTTATCATGATTCAAGAAAAAGTTTCAAATGTTGTTTCAGTTCATGATAGAATAAAGAACTGATTCAAAACAATATCTCTCTCTCTCTCTCTCTCTCTCTATTTCAAGCTCTTATGAGGTAACAGGGGGAAAAGTTCTGAACAAATTCAGAGTTGATTTCTTTTTTTCTTATAAAAAGATTCTGAATTTCTTGATAGAATTTTGTTTTTACAAAATCGAAATGGAAAAAGAAATTTTCTTTTCATGTATTCATTTAAACATATTATCGGTCATCATGGTGACCAGCGTCATGGATTCACATTCAATAAATAATATTATCAATTACCATTATTATCATATTGAGATCATTTCAAATATCATCAATTCTGGTTGAAAACTCTGGAGGAAAAGTTTTATTTTTCTTCATTCATGATAATGTCAATTGATTGAACATTTATATATAAAAATTTGATATTCATTTCTTAGGATTCATGTACATTATATGATATTATCATTATCCCTTCATGGTAATGTTTTTCATCACCAATACCTCCTTTACACCTCATGGTGGGTATTCAATTGTTATTTATATACACCAATATAATCTGTGGGTGGTGTTGTATATAGTTAGTTTGTTATTAGAATTGGTTTAGTGAGAGATAGCAATTGATTTCAAACAAAGTGATTGAGTCAATAAATTTCATGAGAGAGATCAACATGATAGTGGTAATATTTATCTTTATAAATTCATTACACGGAAACGGAAATGATTAACGGTATTAGTTGGAAATGTTTCAAGAAAAGTTAATTGTTACATAGAATCTTTTCTCTCTTATTTATATTATCATTTCTCAAGTTTATCTTTAGAATCATTCACAAGATAACAAATAAGAGAGAATCAACTTTTCCCCTGAATTAACCTTATTATCCATTTAGTAGTTGAGGATCATGATAATTATCCAATGGTCATCAAAGTCCAACTTGAGTTCATCATGGTGATTATTATCATGATTTCTCATCATCATCATGAACATCATGAACAAACACATTTTCATATATTCGAGATTCAACTTCCGAGATTAAATTGGAATCACTTATCAACTTGGAATCGCAATTTCCATCATGATAATCATTTCATCCTCTCTCTATCTCTCTTTCTATGGAATCTAAAAAGTTCACCACCAATGTTTCAATTCTGATTCAGCTTTAACACCGATGGGTTGAGTTCATTTCTGTTCAACAGACTCAGCAGGGTGACAATTATCAAGGAAACATATTATTACTTTGAATTACTATCTCATTGGAATCTCAATTACTGACAGAACAACAAATCGAAACCTAAGAATTAGATCAATAATTTCAGATTCGAGAGTAAATCATCGTTAAGAAAAAGTTGTAGACAATCAACTCGTGCAGTTTTTAATTTCTATCTCATTTCTAAATACTATTGATTCTGATGACAGGAACAAGAGCAATCAAATGTTAAGAAAAATAGAAACATTGGAAATTTTTCAAAAAGAGACTCAGACTGACCAGTAGTGACCATGTGAACTCAACATATATACAGTATTATGAACAAAAACGTGAGAAACAAAAAGATTTGGAACTTTTTTTTTCAGGGAAATCAGTTAAATCCACATGGGATTTCAATCCTGTGACCAACTAAATGGCTTATCAACAAATCATGACTTGACTTTAATCAATTGTTATCATCATCTTAATCATCATTATCTGCTGATGAACAACCAAAAAGTTAACAATCTCAATCATCTGATGGATTGAGATATTAATACCTAATCATTTTCATCTTCATGATAAACAGTCAATTCATAATTAGATAATTATTAGATTAGCATGATGATAGTGATATTAATTGTAATACATCATCAACCTTAAAGATAAACAATGTTAATTTGATTTAAGAGAAAAGCAATTAACTTTTCACATGAATTAACCAACAACAATTAACTTTTTTCATCTTATATTCATCATCATTTAGCCTTAAACTTTTATTAAAGTTGATAATCAAAATGATTGATACAATTAAACATCCAAGATGACATTGTCATGATTATAACAATTAGATAAATATATTGAGAGTTTAATCAACTCTCAAATAACAACAACAACAACAAAGGTAAACAATTAACTGGAATACAATTAAGATTTTCAATGTTAATGAAAAAAAAACACATAATAATCATACCTATTGATTAAACTGGGAACAACAATTACAATCAAATTGTTGCAATAATAATAGTACAATTAGCTTATATCTTTAAGAACCTTCAACAATCAATAAATTGCTTGAGTGAAAAGGCAATTGGATTTGATAATCAAATGGTAATATAGCTTAAGGCTAATCAACAATTCAAATTGCCTTTGCAAAAGTGTTAGTTTATTTATCCTTATTTTTTTTTGATTGTGTTTAAGGTTCAAAGTTTATAAATTAGATTTGATTGTGTTTTAATTCAGTTTCAATTTTGAATCAATCATCAAGCAAACCGTTTAATTAACTTTGTAACAATCAACAAAAATGAAAAATGATTTACACATTGGACATTAATTTGATTGCTTAAAGAAAAAAACAAAACAAATTGACAAAATTTAATCATCAATTGTTGATTGTTGAGCCTGATTGTCCAACGAGAGAAACTAAATCAATCAATCACAATCAAGTTGATTGTTTAAAATGATTGTTGATTGTGTCAAAATCTGATTAAGCTCATTGATAATAACAGTTGATCAAATATACTTATTGATATTTGGACAATTAACTGATTGTAAACAATGAGTTAATCTTTAGTTAGTTAGTAGTAAAGTTTTCAAGGGATTCATCAGATTATCATGAAGATCAGAATTCAAAGTTCTGAGATTTGAGTCTAATTTTAGTAAATCATCATGAAAATTTTGCTGAATCGTATGGATTTTATTTGAACGATAAAAAAATCAACTAATAGTTAGTAACAATTTAGTTAATTGTTATTTTTATCATCACCCAAACGTTGAAAACACTTAAGGGCATCTCTGTAAAGTTCATGATAATAATTACTCAATTCAATTGCAATTGCAATGAATCATCATTGAAATTTCACCTAATCAACTTTTACCAATCTTCTCCAACAATTAGCTAATTAATTGACTTACAAAGTAGATTCAGACCAATTTAGTTCAACTGTTGATTGTGATTAAATTAAAAGACTCAACCAAATGAGAGATTTAAATTTCAATGAAACAACAAGAGGAATAGAAAAAAACTCCAAACAGAAAAAAGAAAAAAGTTCTTACATGGGAATCGAAACTCAATGAAAACTGACAGATAACCATGGAAACTGAGGATAAATATAAATTCAGTATTGTGGTTGGAACAGTTTAAAGTTAATATCATCATGTTCACCTTCATGATCAGAAATTGTTCATTACATTTAAAAAGAATGAAGAAAAAAAAATCTTTCCTTCTTCATTTTTGATTCCATCAAATTCAGTTGCAATATCTTAAACTTTTCATGATGATATTAAAGTTGTAAAACTATCAAACGAAACCACGATAATTATCATGGATTTTCAAGTGAAAAATATAAGAAAAAAAGTTGTGTTATTATTACATGAGACATACGAATTGATCATGTATCTTTTATGGTCAACAAATTGTTCAGGTAACAACAATCAGTAGACACAATATCATATTGAAATGTTGATAAAAGAAGATGAAAAGTTGATGGAATCCAGGGAATCATCTTGTTCAATTCTTAATTCATCTTCATGAAATCAGGATGAAAAACTCCCTCATGAGATATCAACATTTTTTCCTGAGTAATTTCATTCTCATTCTCATCTTTCTGATCATCTTCAATAAGACATATAAGATTATCGATATAAAATCTTTTTCCATGATGATGGAGAAAAATTTCCAAGATAAAAGTTTCGAATCGTTTAAATGTGAAGTCTGAGTTGAAAGATTCCAAAAATTTCCAACAAATAACAATCATCATCATCATTTTCTCGTAATAATCACATTCTATTTGTTAATTATCATGAACTCTAATTGTTCAGTTGTAAGAGACATTATCGTTTTGCTACATGAGCATCAACATGAATACACCTTAAGGCTTCCCAATGGTTCAGTTTCAATCTCTCATGATAATTCATCAACTTTTCTCTCTCTCTCTCTCACTTTCTATGTAATAATCACTCTAGTAATATAACAATTATCATGAATTCATCATGAAATGAAATCATTTTTTCTGTCTATTGTGGACTGGGGGGAGAAAAAGGTTCCAAATCTTAGCAAAGTTGAGTTCGAACCTGAATTGTTGATTGGAGATTCTGATGAGAGAGAGAGAGACACATACACAAAGAATATCACTTTTATTCATTAGAACAGAATTTTTCGTCTTCCCATTTATAGGATAGAGAAAAAGTTCTGATATAGTTTTCCTGAGCAATTCTAATGGTTATCATGCTCAAAGGATCACATCACCATGAGAGGAAAATTTTCAATTCCAAGAAATAGAGGAGAGAGAAATTTGTTTCCCTAAATTTCAATAACTTCCGATATCATGAAATCTACTCATTGAAATTAGAATCATGAGTAATTATGAATCAATGATAACTAATAATTGTGATTCCAAATTTATTTCATTTCCAATTTGATTGACACAATTGAATATTTTTTTTCATATGATTTTCAGGGTAATATAAACTATTTCCTTCACTGAGGATATCAGATCATCATGATAACTATCATCATGGTTAGAAATAGATTTTACAATTGATACTATTTATAAATTTATTCATCATTGAAACAATATGAAATTCAAGGTATACAACATGAGAAGTGAATGAGAAAAAAAAACTTGAAAAGTTCTTGATCAAGATAATGATCAGTTTTTGATTGAGAAAATGATTGAAATGTTAAATTAAATTGTGATCAAGATTCAGTGGGTGGGTCATATAATATTAATAATAGAATACAAGTTAAAACAAAAATGAGGATTAATCTGAATCTTGAATATCATGCACACAATTGAATTACAATCATGATAAAGATTTCAACTGTCAACAAGACAATATTCATCATGATTATCATGAAATTCATGATCATCACCATCTCCTCCTACTCTGATTCATTTTCATCCATCAATTCAAATTTGAAGATGATTAATGTTGAATGAATGGAGAACAAAAAAAAACTTTTTTCTCCCTCTCGAACTTAATCAAGACAGAACTTTGGTTCTTTTTCCTCACTTCGAACTCGAATAACTCTGATTGTCTTCATGAGAATCAAGATGATGATGATGATGATGATAATACCTCGAAAAAGCTTAGATGTAAATATGATGACGAGTGAGAAAGAGATGATAAAATCTTTTTCATTTCATGAGAGATTTGTGATGTGTCGTTTTCATTGACAAAACCCAAAGAGATTCATCACCTGAAGAGAGTTTTTTTTTCTTTCTATCATCCGATCATCATCATCTTCTTCATCACTCTGTACCACCAAGATTTTCATGAGGTATAATCAAAGATTCAAATTGTAACAATCAAGTAAATCGAAGGTGAGGAAAAAAAAAATCTCTCCTCTGATTGAGTGAGACTCGATTCAACTGACAACTAAAAAACTTCAACACAAAGTTTCAAATCATTTTCTTATCGATTACCAATCATTATCATGCAATCAACGAATTCAATTTAATCATCACACTTATTCAACAATTAGAAGAAAAAGTTAATTACCTTAAATTTCCTTTATTGGTTGCGTATTTAATGTGATTACAAATTGCATCGAACATTTCCTTGGCCGTTGTTGCAGTTCGAACATCGAAAACCTAAAAAAATTCGAAAGAGAACAAAAAAAGAGCGAATTAAGCTCACAATCGATTTTAATTGCTTATTATTTATTCTCTCATTCTATCAACTTGATTATGACGAACATTAAATTCATCACAATTAACTTAATCATTTCTCTTTTTCTTCACCAACTCTTTGATCATCATCCTGATCGGTGATGATTTTTTGTATTATCCAATTTGATGTAATCACTTAAACTACTTGAATATTGGTTAATTAATCTACTCAATTGTAAGTTGAAATGATTAGATTTAATTACTCAATAATACAATGACTTTACTTACTTACTTACTTGATTGCTTCAGGTTGATTGTATGATTAACTAATTGTAATCAACTTTACGAGAGAGATGATCAAACTTTTTTTTTGTTCATTGTTTTTTGTGTCTCTTTAGGTTTAAAAAACAAATACAAAACTTGATCACTTTGTATTTACTTAATTATATAATAATAATTAATGTGTAATATTGATTAACCGAGTTAATTAATCAAACAGAATCCTAAACGTTAATCAATTTTAATCACTAATCATTACGAATAATCAAACATGATATTTACTTTATTGTCAAAAGTTATGATTAATTTTCAAGTGAATTTGTTAATCACATTGAGAATGAAGCTAATTAATTATGTAATTATCCATTGATTTAGTTGAACTCTAAATTACATTGTCGTTGTCATTGATTTAATCAATTGGAAATTGTTATAAATCAATTACGACAACAATTTACCTTCCTAACTAATTAAACCGATTGTGTTGTGAGGTTTTTCAATAATCAAGTACATCCGCTAACAATTTGATTAAACAATCAACGTATTAACTATTAGTAAAGTAGGAAGAAATTTTTTTCTTAATCATATCAACTCAGCAATTAACTAATTGTTGATTTGCTTCTTTACATAAAGCAAAAAAAAAACTACTGACTGATTATCAATTACATAATATCTTCATCTAACTATTACTATGTTGACGTGATTTAATTTCAATTACAATCAATTTTTACTGTTTAATTGTTATCATAATCAGCGAAATCAAACTGATAACAATTAAATCATTTCCAATTGATTATCATAGTTACATTTTCACATTTGGTTTCTTTTTTTTTTGGTTATCAGACAATTATCAATCTAATTATCAAATTTATCAACTGATAATCAACCAATACTGAATTAATATTGAAGGAGACAACGATTAACTTGAAACAATTAAGTTCAAAGGTTAATTGTTGCAAGGGGGTGATGATCAACCTTGAATTAGATCATGAAAAAAGTAACCTTGAAAAACCTTGATCAGTTAATTGTTTGAAGAAATGAAAAATCAAACAATTAGCTCACATCATCCAAAGGTTAGCAATTGATTTAATATTTTTCAATAAAATCAAAGTTAATCATAGTAATTAAAACTAATCAAGTTCACCTTAGTCTCTCTCTCTCTCTCTCTCTCTCTCTTTGGCTGTATTGGTCGAGTTTGAATGATTCGAGCTTTTTTTTTTCTTACCTGTAGTTTTGACCATTGGATTCGACCGATACACCTTGAAGCGTTTCTCCAGGCCAATTTGGCACCGAAGATGAGTTCGGTCTCTTTCAACTGATAGGTGCCATGTTTGGCTATCGATGAACTGACCTGTGTCCATCTCTCAATGTGAGCGGGTGAGTTATGACGTTTAATTGATGTATAATATTGATCGAGAAAATTTTTCGCATGACAAAGTAGCTCATCATCGGTTCGTCGGTGTTTAATTGTTGTTGCTGTTGTTGTTGATGATGATGATGATGAATTAGAGAGAGGACAAGATGAAGATGAGGATGAAGTTAATTTGTGTCTCATCAATGAACCAGTACATAGTTTGGGTTCACAGTGGACACTCTGAATCGCGACACAAGAGAAAGAAACGAAATGATTTTTTAAAATTCGAATTTTTTTTAAAAAAAGAGAAAAAATTTCAGGTCAAAGTTTATCGATCGTTGGACTTACCTCAATCGCCGTTTGGTAAAGTGTATCAACACTTGATGATCCAGTTGAGACATTGTTCAACTTGTAGGGTTTACTTTTATTATTCATGATGATTTGGTGATTGATTAATTGTTCAGAAGAAGAAGAAAAAAAAATGAGAAATAGTTTTTTGATTTTTGGTGGAAAAACAAATAACACTAAAAATAAGAATCAATTGATTCTGAGATGAAGGAAATAAGTTCAGAACTTCATGTTCCTAATCAATGGATATATTCACATACACACAAAACACTGAACCTGAGAACCCACAGGAATGAAATGAATGGAAGGAAAGAAAGAGAAAGAGAGAGAGAAAGACAGATAGATACACACAGAGAGTGTGGATGAAGGTAAAAACAGGGTGGACGAAATAATGAGAACTCAGAACTTTTCTTGTTTGAGAGTTTGGAAAAAAATTTTCTCCAATGAATCCAATCTTCGCAAGGAAAGCACATATAACAGTAAAAAAAGTGCCCAACACTCACTCTTAAAGCAATTTACAAAGCTCCGGCTCCACCCCGTATATAAAATGATGATGATGATGATGATGATAAGGATGATGGAGAAAGAGAGAGAGAGAGAGACAGAGAGAGAGAAAGAGAGACAAAGAATCAAGATTAACATACTCAGACTTTTGATCTCCTTTGGGAATCGTATCGTTATCGATAATTACCTTGTAATCTGTTGATATTATTTTCCTTTCTCTTTCTCTCATTTACTCTCTTTCTCTCTATCAATTTGGTTCCATTTTTCAACAATTAACATCTTCTAATTGTCTTTTAATTTTGTAAATTCAATTTCGTTTAAATTTCGTCAGCATTTAACTAAAATAGAATCCGTTAGATGGGGTTAACCAATTTTCGTATTGACAAAAATCACGAGAAAAGTAACTCCATCTATTGGATAGTTAACGAAGCTTTTCAATGATAACTTTTTTTTTCTTTGTTTCTTTTCAACAATTTAATCAATAACAACCATTCAAGTGTTTTGTTTTCTGTATTTACTAATTTAATTGTTGCTCAATTTCTCGTAATTACTTTGATTTACTTCCGTTTATTTCAATCTGTTAGTCACATACACACATAAACATTGACTCTAATTAACTGTTGAGTTTAATTTCAATTTTAATCAAGGATAGTAAATGTGTGAGTGTGTTGATCAATTGATTGTTATTAATTATTGTAATCATTTCTAATTATCACATTTTTCTGGGTAAACATGTTTTCAAACAATCAAATCAAACCAATTTAATCAATGTTTAGCTTTGATTAAATCTAAATCTTTCTTACCTTAACCAGATTTTTCTGGTTTTCTGGTTCCAATTCTGGTTATATGATTTGTTATTCAATTGTCATGATAATGATAAGGTTAAGAGGTGAAAAGTAATTAATTGGTGTCAATTGTGGATGATATAGAAATGACAATTAACTTAAAATCAATCTAATTGTTTCATTTATATGCAATTTAATTGGATGTAAAACAAGATAATCAGATAGACGTCATCAGAACCGATCTGATTGCAAACAGTTAATTGCGATGTTAATTATCACAACATTGCAACAACCTTTTGATTAGATATCGATATTAATTGAGAGTTAATTGTGAATTGAATTGATCATTTTTTTTTCTAATTCATTTAATATTTTTAATATCATTTTGATTGACAAATTTTGATTATAACCTTTTTTCTGATTAACTTTAAATTGATTGTTCTGTTGATACTACAATTAGATGATTATTGGCCATTAATTTAGTGAGAAACAATTAACCGGATGTTATATGTTTAAGAAAAAACTTTGATACAATTTAATTGATTATGTATTTTCCCAACAATTAGCTGACTAATTAAAGACAAGTAAAAGTTGAGTGATTATCATGTTGATCATTTAATGATAATCGACTATAATTCAATCTGATAAGTGATACAATTAATCAACGATTTTAATCATTCTTTTTGATACAAATTTAGAATGAAAAAAAAAGTTCCGTTTACCCTGAAAAAGTTCAGGTAATCATGAGAAATTATTTTCTCTTCATCGAGAGAGGTTTGATTCAATTTAGAAACATTTTATTCTTATTAGAATTTATTATTATCATGTAATATTTTTATTCTGTTAACAAAATTGTTTCGTTATTTCTGTAGGTGTGGTGTGGATTTTGTTGTTGGCTTTCATGGTGGATCCTAAATGTAAATCCTTCCCGCTGGTGGGCGATCAGGTCAAAAGGCAAAGTGTGTGTAAGTTCATGTGTTTGAATCCTATTCATGGTGTTGAAACCACTTCAATATTTTCAACGAGATCAGCATAGATGAGATCAGCCTCGAGGTTCAATCCAAAAGGCTTTTGAATTTAATCAGTTGTATTATCGTAATAATAATCATTTTCAAAATGACGATGAGGATGAGAAGAAGAAGACAGTGAGAAGATAAAGGAGAAAAGATGAGAGAGAGAGAGAGAGGGTAAGACATGAGTAAAAGAAAGAGTATAAAGATGAAGATAATTAACAAAGAAGGAGATTGATGATAAGAAAGAGTAAGATGACAAAGACATTAAGGGGAGAATATTGAATCTCTCTATCTCTCTCTCTCTTCATGATGATGATGATGATGAGGGTCTGATATTATTCTGGTTTGTTTTTGTTCCCAGAGAAAGAGAGAGAGAGACAAAAGTTTAAATGTCAGTTTATCATCTTCAAGGCCATGAGAGAGTGAGAGTAAAAAGTAAGAGATGGAGCAATTATCATCATCAACATAGACACAGGTAAATTGAGGGAGTGGGAGAGGGTGACACAGGATACAAAGAGGGATGATGATGATGATGGAGGAAAATGTTTGCGTGCTAAGATTTAACTTGGTGCTTAAAAACAAAACAAAAAAAACAAAAACAATTGTCGAGTTTACAACGAGTTGCAAAATTACAAAGAAGAGGGAAAAGTTAATTGTTGGACATTGATTACAATAGAAAGTTAATTTTGATTTGATTGTTCAGAGGTATTAATTGTTTGGGCTTTAAATCAACAAATTGAAGGAGGTGAAGGTGTTTTATCAAATCTTAGGACAGCATAATCACTGATTCGGGATGAAGCATAATGAATCTGGTGCGAGGGTGTTGACAGTTCACTCGATGATTGTGGTGGACTTTGTTGATGATGATAATGATGAAGAGGAGGGAGAGGAGGATGATGATGACCATTCAAAGGTAAGGACGGATGCTGTTGATTATTATTAATATTATTGTTATTAAATTGTCGGTAACTGTTATTATTATTATAAGTATTTGGTTGATGCTGTTGATGATTATGATGAAGTGTCTGATGATGATGAAGATGATGAGGATGAGGATGCTGTTGTGATGAAGGTGGATTATTAAGATGATGACCAACAAGCTGATGATGATGATTTCGATATTGTTGATTAGTAGGATGAGAAAAAGTTAAACTTCTATTGGATGAATATAATTTCTTATTATTAGCTAATTGTTGTTGTTGTTGTTTAACATAATTAGTTGGATTGTGATAATGATGCAATTGCTGTTGATTGGGTTGTTGGTTTAACGTTTTAATTGTTGCCATTGGGGTTGAATTTTTCCTATGTAATAAGGTATCATTGGGAAGGTTAATCAGGTTAGAATGCATTTGATATCCTTTATTGTTAACAACTAAATCATTCTCATCGTAAGTTAATTGTAGATCAGCGTAAACTATATTCTGCTCTAATGGTCCGTATTTAGTCAATGAGTTTATATCCTGAGGCGTAAAAATGGATTCATGGTGATGATTAGTTGATAGAAAAGAGAAAAAAGCAAAGAGAGAGAGAGACAAAAATTAGCACGTTAGTACAAATATACATTAGATTAGATTATAAATATAAGAGAAAAAAAGTTCTAATAGAAAAAAAAAATTCGTAGTTTTAAAAAGCCGATGGAAAGATTTTACTTTTCCATGATCATTATCATAGTCGTTGCTTCGTGATCATAAACTGTGACCTATGGAGTCTCATCTTCCTGCACAACATGTTACCCATTCACACCCCAATCCTTGTGTTTACATAGAGACACAAGGTTATGGTTAATGATTAGATTGTGTTTAGTTAATTGTGACAATTTACTTTCTTGTTTAACTTTTTGTTTGAATCTTTCAATCCAATTGATTCAATTATTATTATTATTATTTCCGTTTGTTTATTTCTCAGTATTTGATTGCGTGATAATCATTAACTAAACTTAAACTTTAAGTTAATTAAATTTTCTTTCATATTAAATGCTAATCGTAAACAACAATAATCATTCACAATTAAAAGTTGATAATAATCAATATTGGCACTACAGATTATTGATTCAATTTATCTATTACATATTATTAACATTTATTGATTCAATGATTAACTTAATTGTCTTCAATTATCAATTTTCCTCATCATTATCATAGACAAGCCTTACAAAAAATAAACAAACTAAAATTGATTAACTTGATTAACATTAACAAAATTAACTTGGTTTTTTAAGGTTTGGTCTTGTACAACAATATTTGATTAGTTTTATAAATCATTACAATCAGTTGATTGTAATTGAATAAAAAAAACAATTGTTTCAATTATAATTTTTGTTTAATAATCAGTGAGAAAAACATAAATCATCAATTACATATCATGTAAATAGGGATAAGGTTTAATTGTCTAATTGATTGTTACATTGATCAGGTTGTTTATATGCAAATTATTATGATCAAGATGATGATGATGATGATGATGATGTTTCAATCATCTTCATAATCAACACACGCTGAGATGCTAATAGAAGAAGAAGAAATTTTTTTTTCTCCATCAAAAGTTATTATCATCTCTCTGATATCAACTCACCTTGTGAATTATTATCATCAAGCTAATCAAGATGTTGATAAGGCGTGACGATGATAATATTTGATTGACAGGTCAGGTTATCATCATTATCATCATCAATTGATGAAGATAAGGATGAATAGTAGCCCTTATCATAAGCATCATCTTCATCAGATTGGGATGATAATGATAAAAGAGTTTTGAAATATAAAAAAAAGTAGTATCTTGATAAAAGATGATGATGATAATAAGATGATGATGCTCATCCTCATCATCATCTGATGATAAATATGATAACAATACTGGACAAGTGAATCAATCATATCTGGTTAACCTAAATTTGACGTAAATTAAATTAGATATTGATTGTTTATCTTCAATAATCATGATAACAATATTTATCCAACAATAATAATTAAGATATTGATTAGCTGATAATTCACTTAAATAGCAAACAATTAACTTGTAAATCTAATCAGATTGTAAACTTAAGTGTAAACCAATTGATAAAAAGGGTGAAACGTTTATAACGAGACTGATGCTCATTGGTGGTGGTCATTCAAATTGTTGGAGAAAAGTTTTATTGGACAATTTATGGATTTTATCTGACCATCTAAACGCCCTTGATCATCATCATCATCATCATCATCATCATCATCATCATCATCATCATCAATTGTATCTTCCTTGTCTTCCTCATCATCTTCATCAAATAAAATAACAAAAAGAGACTGAAAGTAAGTTACGGTTTCGTTGTTCCCCAAAGGATGATGAACATTTTTACTCCAGTGATTGATAATGGAAAAGATGAATTTCATTTACAAGGAGAAGAGAAAGAGGAGGATGATGATAAAAGAAAGGGAGCAAGTGAGAGACCGAGAGAGAGAGAGAGAGAGAGAGAGTGGCAAGATGATGATAGGATGAAAAGAGGCAAAAATCACTGGCAATTGATGCCCATGAACCGTATCAGTTGATAGAAAGTAAAACTTGGTGTAAATATTAGTTGCTACTTTTTTCATCTTCCTTCATCATCGTTGTAACAAGTTTCCCTCCATGAGAGATATGGATGATCAGGATAAGAGACTAGGAGTGGGTGGTGGTGGTTGAAAGCAAAATAAACTAGTTCCTAGTGTGATTAATATATTTACCATTGAATTTTTTGCTTCTTTTCCTTTGGAAGAAAAAGTTTTTTTCTGAGTTTTTTTCATTCTATTCCCTTATTATTTCAATGATAATGATACATGGTGATGATTGAATGTGTTGTGTTTCAATGAATTGCTTGCAATTTCTGGTCTCTGAATTTTCAACATGGTTATCATGATGGTCTCTCTCGCTTTAAATCATTCAAGCATTTTTAGAATCAATTTTATCATCATCATCCTCATCACCCATCAATGAACCTCCTCTTTATATCCGCCTTGGTGTAAAAAGTTATGACTTGAAATGAAGTCTCTGAATTTTTATTCCTGTTCAACATTTAACCTTGTAAACGATATTATCGTTATTAGAACTCTTATTTTTTTTACCATGAAGATTATTCAGATGTTATCATTATTATTTCAGTGGATGATCATCATCAACATGAAAGATTTGATCCATTGGTTTTAAGTCAAAAATTCTTAGTTTTTTCTAACTTAAATTATGTTGAACGTTGAGAAGACATTTTTTTCTGATAGTCTCATGAATCTTCAGGGTGATGAGATATAAGAAAGAGACAGAGAAAGAGAGAGAGGTTTACCTTTGAATCGGAAATTAGAATAATATGTAATAGAGAAAAAAAATTTCGAATCGCAATTTTTTTCTTCCAAAAAAGTTACATCAACTTTCACTTTCGTTGCCGTTTCATTGACAAGTTTAACCAGGAAATGACCTGAAGATGAAGAAGATGAAGTGAAAGAGAGTAAGAAGATGATGAGAAAAGGTAGATCACTGAAGCTAAAGAAGAAAAAACTTTCCATTCAACATCATCTTCTTTCTCATTCGATATTCATGGTGATCTTTTCTTTATAATCATCTCCTTTCATTCCACATCTTATTTTATCCTTCATCATCTTAGTAACCTAAGAGGAGAAGAAGAAAAAAAAAAGTTTCCATTGATAATGATAACCACATGAGAGATTCAAGTTATTTGGTAACAACAAAAGGACAAGAAACTGACCAGGTCACTTTACCTTTTCTCTTCATCTTTCTTTACTTTTCTCATCATCATCATCATCATCAAATTCTCTATCATTATTATCTTCATCATCTTCATCTTTTGTGCGAGAATCAACACTGACCACTCACACTGGTCATCTCTTTCTTGTTCTTCTCCATCTTCTCTAAAAGTTTTTCTTTTTTTCTATTTCTCCATCTTTCCATTGTCACCTTAGTAGCTTTTTCTAATATCACTTTTTTTTCCTTTCATTTGTCCATCATCATCTTCTTCACACTGACCATCTAAAGTAAGATGACCATCACAAACACCACCACAGATTTATATACATACCCAACACTTTCAGGAGTCAATTGTTATTAGAAGATGAAAAAGAAGAAAAAAGAAAATCAGTTTCAGGGTAAAAGTTCATTACAAGGATGTTATATATTACATACACACCATGAAAATCTCATCATGATGAGTTTCCAGAGAAACGATAACATTATCATCTCAATCGAAACTCATTCTCAATGGTTACCAAGGAAACAAAGGTCATCATTGCATCTTTATCATCATTATCCTTATCATCAAACCGAATCAAATCCGTTAAAATAAATTATCACAACAACAGATTGATAATCAGTAAAGAAATTAATATTTACCTTCAAGTGTCAAAAAGTTAATTGTTCATCATTTGGACAATTAAAATAAATGGTTACATGTAACATTAATTTCGATGAGAAGTTGATTTTAATCAACTAATTTTCATTGATTGTTTTCTCATTGTGATTCTATTGTTGTTGATAAGAAAAAGTTATACACATTGAAATGGTCAAGAAATGATCATTTTATTGTCTTCCTTGAGAGATGATGATTATCATCATCACCATGACACTTAAACATTTTAATGTTCAAACAATTCAGAAGCCTTTACATTGTAACTTGTGCTACAAAACGGACTCGTCATTAGCATCATCATCATCATCATCATCATCATCATCATCTTCAAGAAAAGAAAGAGGAAAAGAAGCTGAAATGATGATGAGTCGCAGGATTCATGGGAGAGTGAGCTTAATGAACGTCAACAATGCAGAACCAAAATCGCCTTTGATAGTCAAGGGAGAAGTTGAATTAAGAAAAGAATAAAGAAAAATGCAAACAAGATGAAAGAAAAGAAAGAGAAAAAGAAAGAGACCAAGAAAAAACGGAAGATGATGACCTGCCATCAACCTCTCACTCCACCTCATCATCTTCATCTTCATGATAATGGTTCAAAATAGACACTCAGATTATTCAAGTTCAATGTTAACCCAAGATTAAAAGTCAGAACTTTTTTTTACTCAGATATTCAAAATAACCGATTCTTATTAAGTTCATTCTCAGAGTGATAGTAAATTTCACCCTCATCCCCATGAAAACGATGAAAAAAGTGCTCAAGAAGTTCAGGTAATCCAGATTAATGTTTTTCTTTATCATAACAATTTAGAAATTCATCTTAATCAACCAGAAAATAACCTCAAGTTAATCAAAAAAAGTTTTTCTTTCGACAATTCGATGAAAACAAAAAGTTCTAACTCTCATGTTATCATCAACAATATTTACCCAACGATAATTAAATCGTTACGATTGAAGATATCATTTGATAATATTAATTTACGACAATTTAAATTTAGATTACGATCCGTTAGAAATTTGTTCAGCTTTTCTCCGTGGACAATTAAAGTTAATCAAAGATAATTAAAGGTAAAGTTACAATTAGCTAATTACTTTTTG